ATGTATGACAGCGCATGTACATAGTCATTAGAGTATGGGGCCATTATTGATGTGGTGGAACTGCGAGGAGGCTCTGCTATTTTCCATAGCCTCGACTCTTCTACATGTATACTACAAAGCTACAGCATCATACCAATTCTAACAGCGGTGTCTATTTTACTCTTTGCCTCCTTCGTATCTCCTAACTGTTCCTCTTGTCGTCATCTGTTGTCTGCAGGCTGTCTGCCTCGTGAGATGTAGTCGATTTTTGGTCGCGATTGGTCGACTAACACAGCCAGGCCGCATATGCGGCCGCAGACCCCATCCGGCCCCAATTTCACAGCCACCAATACCTGGGACTGGATTTCACATGATTAAAATCCTTCTGCCCTATGCCTACTGTTTCGACACATCGGTCGCGAGGTCTCATAGGTCGGCCACTACAGGCCTGTTGGTAGATCCTGGGCTCGCGCGGAGATTGCGGCTGCAGGCGTTCAAGCCAATGATGCGGCTTGTTTTCTCATCGAGGCCGCCTGTTTGAGTAGGTCATAGATATGACGACCAAATAGAAACGCAATGTCAGCAAACAACGTCTTGTCTAAGCCATAGGAGAAAATCCCCCCTGGTCGGCTTTGACTATGTGAGGAGAGAGCTTGTTGGTTTACGGTGTCGCAGGTGCGACGAATTTGTGCCCTAGGAAAATTTCGTATACATTGCATTCAGAAGGAATAGCAAGTTTCATGATTATTTTCAATTGAGCAGATTTGATGCAATGAAGGTTTATGCGCATTACATACGGGCAGTGCTGGAAAATGACATGACATGAAGCATCACAGGCTTTATTTGGCCCACTCGTCGCAGCCTTGCTAGCACCCATGCAAGCATTCACGCATCTCCAGTAAGTCATGTGATCTTCGCAAGGCATACTAGATGGTGTGAGTAATGGTTGAAGAAAAGAAGACAGAGGTACATGGTCTGCGTCTTGGAACGCCCAAAATATGGCAATAGACTTGTGGGAGTCAATATCAGCTTATCGCTACTCCTACTCCTACTCCTACAATCTTTTTTTTCTTCCTTTTTTTGACTTGGCAGTATCGACTGAACACATAGTATGCCTGCCTATTTGAGTACTTACTCGTCTAGCCTTTAACCGGTAAGGAATACGCTGCATGGTCAAGTCTGACCCTCTTCGTTTAGCCGGCAATTTTTATATTGGAGATTGTGCGAAAGCTGCGCCGAAACCTAGGGTGACCTCTCTTCTCAACCTGTAGGTAACATCATACGATCGGACAATATCGTGGCATTGAACCATGTTGCTATTGTGGTCAACTTTATCCCGGCTGCCGCGATCCCGTCCATCCCGTCCCGTGTTCTCTCCATCACAAACCTAAACTCTGCCACACGTTCCATTTTCCATTGCACACACTGTCCAGTACCTTGGCTACTCTCGCTCAGTCTCGAATACATTTACAAAGTCACGTTTTCATCGCTTTTTCCCGCTCATTTAAGACAAGGCTCAAAGTCTGCGGGTCACGGCGGACGGGCGGGAGGGACGTTGCAGGGACACGGGTGGCTAGCTGGACATGGGGGGAGTGTAAACGGTTAGAAGCACGGGCCAGATGCGGAAAGATACGAGGCGGGATAAGGGAGGGAGGAAACAATATAGAGATCCGTAATTGTTGAGTTGATTCTATTTTTTAAGGAAAAGGGGGTTATTCTATAGAAGGAGATGGGGGACAGAACTTGGGTGATAAATGAGCATTGCAGTACGCTAAGAAAAAGTATAAATGCTTAATGTGTAGCTTAAAACAATGTCGATTCTTCTCTGTTCGGTTGTGCGGCGTTCTTCCTAAGTAGTAATACGAGAGCGCGGCTTTGCGTATATACAACGGCATCACGAAATGATGTATTCTTGCTAAAAGTATTGATGCGTACATCTCCAAGAGTCTGTAGAGAGATATTTCTGTGATACTGTATCAAGATACTAGAAATGGTAAAAGGATTGAGTTATTTCCCTCAATAGCTGTCTGGGGAGTAAGGAGCCGGAACAGACTTGTACGCAACGTATCACAACAGGGGGGAAACAAGAATAACCAATACATGCTAGCGATGAATGTTTAGTAGTAGCACTGTACAGCTAAAGAAAGTAAATGCGTATATCAGACTATCAAGAGAAGAAGACACACCGTCATGCTGTGGCCATACACCAATCTACACTTGCATACTTTCTTAGTACAATCGAAGAAGGCTTATAATATTCGTGGTCTATTATTCCATAATTCAAGGCAATGATACTCTTATATATAGCTTTTTCAGCCATGGCGGTAAATTGCTCTGCGGCTACTTGGATGACAATGGTTTGCTCTTTCGCTGCGACTGAGACTTGATCAAAAAGAGGCACCGCAGAGGTATGTAGCGGTCCAAGTAACGTCCTCCCAAGAAACGACGAATCAATAAAAATAACTCAGATATTGCAGTAAACTTTCAACATTTTGTGAAAATTGGCCTGATTATGCATGATTCCTGTTCAAACCCAGAGAAAGCGAAGCTTTGTGACATCTTTCTCAGACTTAACAAGAGCCCCTTACTCTCCGCTCCAATACATTCCCGAAACCACTGATATAGATGGCATTTTGTATTTAGTACTTTCTAGCGGCCAAGAAAATAATGCACCGACTCTTTTATATCCCATTGTAAACGCAAGATATGAGACTCGTTAATTTGTACATTATTACCGCTCATATACCCCTCCATCACTTGCATGGCAAAAGCTGCGTATTTAGTAGAGCATATTGGCTCTCGTAAACGCGCTCTGTGAGAATCAGCGCAACATGACAATCAATTGAACGCATTCAACTGCTTTTTATCTCCGACTGAATACAAAACTCGCTGATCGCCTCCATCACTGAGTACATTATTTGCACGCCTCTATATCCCCCGCTGTATACATGTAAGCAGAATCTTATCAGAATTACCCCGCAGTCATCACCAGAGAGTTTGGGACAGTCCTGAAGTGCAGGGAGACAGGGGGGTTTTCGAATTGCGAAATGGCTGATGGATATTACGGAGAGTATTACGACAATTCGGAGCATTATTACCAATCTAGCGCTGGGTTAAATCCGACTGGGGAAACAGGCACCTTTTCCAGATGCCAAACCAAGAAAACGATCGGGACAAGGCACATAGTCAGAGTGGAGAGCGACAACCGGCCAATCACGTGGCGGATGCCGTCATTCATCGACAAAAGCTCGGGAAACCACTAAGCACCGAGCGCGCTGACAGATACTGTAAAGAACTCTCTTTCTTATCTCCAGAGTTCCTAAACTCCTCTTTCTGGGACCAATTGCAACCTACGATACCCTCAATTGCCCCCCCCAAAAGACAAAAATGTTTGCCAGATCAGCCTTCCGCGCGGCCCAGCCGCTGAGAATGGTATGTCAAAGTTCAATGCTAAAAACAGCCCAATTCCGCTTCCAGCCGAGCGAAATGCAAAAATGACGCCGCAGACAGAGCTAATTCTGATTGCCCATCTTCTTCTTAGCATGCGCGCCGCTATGCCACCGAATCTGGCGCCGCAGGCAGCTCCAACACTCTCCTCTACGGCGCTGGCGCAGTCGGCGTCCTCGGTGCTGGATACTACTTCCTGAGCGGCTCTTCCTCAGCCAGCAAGGCCGAGGACAAGGTCAAGGAGGCCATTGGCATCGCTCCCAAGGCGGCTCTTACTGGCGGCGAACAGGGCTGGGTGTCCCTGAAGCTGTCCGAGACGGAGGACGTGAACCACAACACCAAGAGACTCCGATTCGAGCTCCCCGAGAAGGACCAGGTCTCTGGCGTGCAGATTGCCAGCGCCATCCTTACCAAGTTCAAGGGCCCCAACGATGCAAAGGCGACTCTCCGACCCTATACTCCCGTCAGTGACGAAGGTGAGCTATAATATTCGGCATATATATATATATACATACGTACGACAGGAATTGCTGACAGTACTGCCCGCTTCCAAGACGAGAGGGGCTTCCTCGACCTCCTGGTGAAGAAATATCCCAACGGCCCCATGAGCACCCACATCCACGACCTCAAGGTCGGCGATTCCCTCGACATCAAGGGCCCTCTCCCCAAGTACCCCTGGACCGCGAACAAGCACGACCACATCGCCCTCATCGCCGGCGGCACCGGCATCACCCCCATGTACCAGCTCGTCCGCGCAATCTTCAAGAACCCCAACGACAAGACAAAGGTCACCCTCGTCTTCGGAAACGTCACCAAGGAGGACATTTTGCTCAAGAGCAAGTTCGACGAGCTCGAGAACACATACCCCCAGCGCTTCCGCGCCTTCTACGTCCTGGACAAGCCCCCCAAGGACTGGGTCGGCGGCGGCGGCTTCATCTCCAAGGAGCTGCTGAAGCAGGTCCTCCCCGAGCCCAAGAGCGACAACATCAAGCTCTTCGTCTGCGGCCCTCCTGGCTTGATGAAGGCCATTTCTGGCCCCAAGGTTAGCCCCAAGGAGCAGGGCGATGTTACTGGACTTTTGAAGGAGCTTGGTTACACCAATGAGCAGGTTTACAAGTTCTAGACGATATATATACATGTATGGATTGGCGAATATAGAGCCTAGAGAAAGACTTTGTATGATAAACTGAAAGAAGGCATAGATTTGCTTGCCATTGGTAGAAAATAGAGTCTCTGAAGCTAAGAAATTGGCGCATGTAAATTGTTGTATTTGATTTTGATGAACCCAGTGTGAAGGCCTCTCGTAATTTGTTCCTTCTAAGCAAAGCAAAAGTGTTCCGATTTGCCGCAGCACATTTTATACATCACAATCAGTACTACATAGGTAGTCACGGAGTAGGTATTGACATTTCGAAAAAAGGGACTATCGACAATGACTAGCCCATTATGTAAACCCGTTGTAGATGATAATGCTTCAATTTCCTGTCTATTCTTTTCCAAGTAGTGGCGGTACAAAGATTGAAAATAGATACGTGTCTTACAAAATCGAGAAGCAGTTAGGATGGGATCAGAAATTACTCAATGCTCCTGGTAGCCTTCTCAACAGCGTGGTTGATAATCTCCGCCCACTTCAAACCATTGCTGTAATTTTTGGCGTCAATGCTCTCAACGAGGCCTGGATACACGGCTGCAAATAATTTTGTTAGCATATTCCATTGACATGAAAGCGGCAAGCCGAATACTAAAAGAAAGCGTAGACCTCAAGAGGGACAAAAACTTACCACCCGCGTATCCAGTCCACAGACCAGGAGCAAACACAACATGCTTGAACCAGCTGCGGTTATCAAGACCGCCCTCAAAGAGAAAGTGTCTTTCAATAAACTTGTACTGCTTGTTTACTGTGGCAATGGTATATCCTAGCTTGGCCTTTTCGAAGAGGTTCCACCACGGAATGCCATCTTCGAGCCTGTCTCTTGCCCAGGCAGCCTTTTCATCGAGCTTGGCGGCCTTATCTCTAAACTCAGAGATTGAGTGTCGGATCCTTTTGAGGCTTTCTTCGAAAGCATCTTGGCTTCCAACCACTTCTTCGGATGTGACGCTGCCTCTAATTGCAAAGATTTCAGCTTCCGTGGCGAGCTCGGTATCCACAGACTGGAGCTTCGCCTCGACTTTGTCAAGATAGCCATCAAGCGCATCTGCATACTCGGTGGCTCCGAATGGAATGATGATTACATCAGTAAGCTCTCCGATGAGTATGCCAAGAACCTGTGCCATGGTCCTGTGGTAGACAAAGCCTGGGTCGGCATATTCGCTCATCCAATGGAAGCTGTCGTAGTTGCTGTGATAATGATAAACAGGGCCACTGCCGTTACCGCCAAATCCAATATCGACACTGGGGATACCGGCATAGTCCTGGAAGGCAGTGAAATCGCTGCCACTACCCATTGTGCTGATTTTTCCATCCCAAACATCTCCCACAGACTGGCCTGGGACAGACTGATTGGGCGATGGAACAAGATGCGTTGCGTCTCGAAGAACTTGGTTCAACAATGGGGCTGCAGAAGCAGAAAAGTGCGGCCCAGAGGCACCGCCATCGACATTGACATATGCCACGTTGGCTCCGGAGAGCCATGGAAGGTACTCCTCAACCCACTCTGTGCTTCCAACCAGGCCATATTCCTCTCCGTCCCAGCTAGCGAAGACGATGGTTCGGACAGGCTTCCAGCCTGCTTCCAGGGCTTTGCCAATACTGCGAACTGCTTCGTTCAGGACTGCCGAGCCACTGTTGGGATCAGATGCTCCGCCGACAATCCAAGCGTCTCTGTGGTTACCAATGACAACGACTTCGTTGGGAATTGTGCCGTTGATGATGCCGATAACATCCCATTGAGGAGTGGTGACGTATTCTTGCTCGTTGAAGAGGTTAATGACGACGTCATCAGGCGAAGGACCAATGTTGTACTTGACGCCCTTGTAACCCAAGCCGAGATTCTTTGTCCAATATTTGTTCAGGTCACTGGCTTGAGGGCCATGGCCATTGAGAGCCTTGAGTAGAGGGAGAGCATCGGCGTATGAGATGGGAATAGAGGGAATCGATGGAGTGGTTTCGTCAGCTGGTGCACGAGGGACACCGGGCTTTGAAGGATAACCAGGGGTTGTCCTATCATCTGTGTTAGTTTGAATAAGCTGAGCGAGAAAAATTAACAAAATACTTACGGGTCGCCAGGACGCGAGCTCAAAAACTGGACACTTCCACGCTGCACGCTGCTGGGGTTTCGTGCCGGCCCCTCAGGATAGGCGGCATAGCCGTTTTCTTCGGTGATTTCACCATCATCGCCCGGGTCGCTATATATCAGAACGCCAACAGCGCCAAGCTCCTGAGCACGCTTCACTTTGAGGCCTCTGAAGATTCCTCCATATCTGGCGATGGCAATCTTTCCCTTGAAGTCGATACCGGCAGCAACTAGATCCGCGTAATCTTGGTATGTTCCGTAGTTGACATAGACAAATGAGCCAGTGACGTTTCCGCTGGCAGAGTAGCCGTGGAAGGTTGGGATCTTGTCCTCGGCAGAGGTGGTGGGATCCTCTTCAAGGACGTCCTCGGTCAGCGATGCCTTGAACGCGACATCCCAGGTTTTGGTGTCGCTCGACTTCTCTAGCAAAGAGACGCTGTGATCAGAGGGGTAGTTGATGTAGACGTCATAGGCGACGATGCTGGACTTGATGCCCCATTCCTCCCATCGCTCTTTAGTCCACTCAGCCTAGAGGTGCAGGCTTTAGTATCCGTTGTGTTGCATGTCGCCATCATTTACGGGAAAGAATGAGGAATAAAAATCAATGCATTCAGCTGACCTACCTGTGAGTAATTCTTACCAGCAAGGTGAGCTCCAGCGGTATAGTAGCGGCTCCATTCTTCGGCCTTTTCTGAAGAAGGCGTGTCGAGCAGGATCTTTTGCAGCTCCTCGTGAGACAGGCGTTTGCCCTTGTGAGGAGGATGGCCGTGATGGCCGTGGTGAGGAGGATGCGGGTGACGATGGTCCCGCCACGAGGGCCAGATGTACACGGCGTTGAGGAGAAACGTCGCAAAGCCGCAGAGGAGCACGCTGGCGCACGCAATGGTGCAGAAGCGGCGGACCGTGTTGTGAGGATATCGCCTGCGCGGAGGCCCGACGCGCACTGTCTGGATCAACGGCGTCGACTCGTTGGCCATTGTTTCAGGCTTGGTCGACGACCTTGTGAAGCATCAAAGTCAGTATGTGCTACTGTGGACGTCCAATCCAGGCTTCATTGCATAATGAGCTGTTGAGTTTATTGATTGTTTGGTAATCTTCGCAACTGAGGCGCGGGGCATGTGTTGCGTAAGTCTTTGCCTTGATTCGCTACGCCACCCAAAATGGAATTTGGGTGGGTGTGAAGCAGTGGCGAGGCAGAGACTGATCCGAGACAGAGACGGCACTTACACCTTGCCCATGCTGGGAATTAATCTTGCAGTCTGGAGCTCAGCCCAGACGTCACCTGTAGAATAGGGAGAGAGAAAGATGTAGAAGAGAAAGAGAAGAAGAAGGGAAGATGGAAGGGCAGGAGATTGCCATTGTGCATTGCGCGTCCATGATCCGCGCCCGGGTTCAATATTACAAAGCTGCGTACTAATGGGGATAATGCCTGGTACACAGTCCAGATGGCAAATAGCATTGAATCCCTACCTACATGAACTATCGCAATACCCTCGTAGGCCTATCGAAATCACTGCCAAAGCGCTTTTCGCCTATCTCATCGCCATATCGACGCAAAGGTTCCTGAGAGCACGCAACGACGTCACGCTATTGCGAGGCGCTATGAGCTCTCCTGCCTGATTTTGCCGCACGAAGAGGAGCCACATGTGGGGAGCTCTTCTTTTCCTCTCTAGGCAAAACGCAAGGGGAGAGAAGCGATGCAGCCGCCCCAGGGAAACATTTCTTGCATCAAAACCTCTGAGCCACGCGGGGATAAAGCGGTGGCCGGATGGGGCAAGCAATGAGCATAAAAATCCGATGAGGGTTTCTGGCAAGATTTACTTGAGAAGCCCATTAAACAGGTACTGAAGCGGTATTGACAGCTTCTTCAGCGCCCCCCCGGGAAGACAAAGGCGTCACCACCTACGCAGTTCACAGTTCAGTTGCTCTTATAGCTTCATGGAAATGCGACGGGCATACTGTGGTGTTTAGTCCCAAGTTTTACACCTTCAGTCCCATACCGCAACCACTCCTCCAGCACACCGAGGCAGCAACACATTCAGCCGTTCTACCAGCAGCCAAGAAGCACACTGTACATGGATTCAAACCCCCCTTGTCCCGCTCCCTGAGCGTGAAAAGCGGCTATAGCTCCATGTTAGCGGCCCACGGCGAAGCGAAGCCCATCACGAATTTTCAACCCCCGGCCAGCTCAACTCCGCCAGAAAAGACTCCAGAGACGGTGTTGCTGAAACGGGCAACGCGGGCCATTAATTCGCTCGGTGACGGGCACGCGGGGCAGCAGAGTCGCAGCACCTCGTCCGGGGAGCATGATGGCCGTGCCGTGTCAGGGCCCTTGAGCTGCAAAGAGTCGGTCTGCGAGTAGTACGGATACTACATAGTACATGTATCTTGGGTGGGCAGTGTTATACAAGCAGCATGTAGTAATGCCTGTTTTCAGCCATTCTTCCAGCCCTCAACTCAACTGAGACACGGCGCCCACACACCAACTTTTTCCATCGCGGCTCCCGCCCGAGACCATCTCCGCTGTCGGACGCAGTCGAGTGTGTCATGGGACTTCATCGTCCATCGCAAAAGTGATGGGATCCAGGTAATCAAAAGACAAGGTCAGCTTTGATGGCTGTGTCTTGGTCGTATTTTGTACAGAGTTGTTGTAGGATCGCGGGTCTGCGATCGTTGGATAGTTGTGGCCGGCGCTGCTTGTCCAGTCCAATCATTGACTCTGCCGCCCTCCGTTGCAGGAAAGATGAAATGCATCTCGGCTCGCCTGCAGCACGGAAACGGAGCCGAGCGAGAGGGACTAGGTAGCATGTAGTAATGCAGTAAGGCCCAGTATGTATAAGTCGCCGACTTTTCATACCATGATGACTCTCTGTTGACATCTATACATTGCATATTTCCTTTTACCTGATGGTGTATGTAGTCATGTATGAACAACTAAAGATATGCAAGGGACTGCTCAAGCAGACCGGCAGACGAAGGCATCCCCATCTCCATCGTCCAACAGACATGCACAAAATCGTTCCCGTCGTAGCGTTTCCGAAGCGCCTAGTGTGGCTCCGAAGCCGAAGCTGGGCTCCCCATTCAACCAACCATTCAACATTGCCCATCCTTGGTCGCATTCCACACTCCGCAGGGCGCTCCTGGGCTGCTAGTGGCATCGGCCTGTGCAGATGACTTGACTAGCCAGGGTGGGACCCGATGATAATTATCCTGGGCGCTTTAGAGGCTGGGGTGGTGTCGTTGACAAACTTTCTCGCCGCCAATGATTTTTCTTCTTTTTCTTCAAGGGCTTTCGACCTCTTCACTTTTCACGCCCGCCCTCTCGCCTTAAACGTCGGGTCCTCGCCGTTTCCCTCAGCGGCCATCATTCGTTGTTTTTGTTTTGCTTTTGCCTGTAGTCAAGAGCTCTTTCATCTAGCGTTGGCAGAGACATGTCCTAACACGAAGACGCTTCACCTCTTTCTTTACCTATTACTCTTATAAACATAGCCGTGTGAACTGCCGTTGATAACAAACGATTTACGGCATTTGACTTTTTTGGCCTTGTTCGTTTTTCAGCGCACTCTGTGTAACAACGCCGCAGGGTATTCGCAATGACGAGAGATACCGCATCTAAGCCGAAGCTGCCCGTGCAGCAGCTGGCAATTCTAGGTAAGCAGTCAAATGTTTGTCTTGGAGTATGCAGCAAAGATGGGAAATGGGTCATGGAGATGGCTTGGAAGGCTAGAGAAAAGCCTTCCAGACAAATTTTCAGCCGCAGTAAAATCTGCCATGTGCTAACAATCTGAACCACAGCCGTTGCTAGATTCGCAGAGCCTTTGGCATACACATCGGTATGGCCTTACCTGCCGGAAATGATTCGAGGCTTTGGCGTCAAGCGTGACGAGGTAGCAAAATGGGCTGGCGTCACTTCCTCTGTATTCTCTATTTGCCAAAGCATCACGGCCGTTCCGTGGGGCAAGGCGTCCGACCGGTTTGGCAGAAAACCAGTGCTCATCTATGGTCTCATCAGCACCATGATCTGCTTCATAATATGGGGCATGTCAACGAGTCTTACCATGGCCATTACCATAAGAGCAATCATGGGTGGTGGAAACGGTAACGGTAAGCCTTTTCTCCAATTCCGTTCTGGGCATTTTCGCGAAAAACTTGTAAACAAATGACTAACGGCGTTGTCTCATAGTCGGCATCATCAGAACCATGGTGGCTGAAATGGTCACGGAAAAGGAGCTCCAGCCAAGAGCCTTCTCCATCATGCCTCTCGTCTGGTCTCTTGGCTCAGTCGTCGGCCCTGCCTTTGGTGGATTCTTCGCCCAGCCCGCCAAGCAGTTTCCCAACGTATTTGGTGACATTGAGCTCTTCAAGAAGTTTCCCTACCTCCTACCGAATCTCCTGGCCACCATCTTCTTCCTCATCTCTGCTAGCAGCGCGACGCTTTTCCTCAAGGAAACGCTTGCCGATAAACACGGAGAAAAGGACTGGGGCTTGTTGGTCGGAGAGCGCCTCACTCGAGTCTTTCGCCGTCAGCCACAGCTCATTGCTCAGCGCCGGCAGTCATTCGTCGATGGAGAGGCTACGGCACCGCTCGTACCAAGCAGAATCACACCCAAGAAGCCTACCTCGAAGAGAGTCTCCGCCGGCATGAAGGAGGTCTTTTCTCGCCAGACCACAATAAACCTCATCTCATATACGTTCTTGGCCTTTCATTCGGTTGCGTACGATCAAAACATTACCGTCTTCCTGGATTACCCCGTCATACCTCGCACTCCTGAGAACACAAAGTTCCCCTTTTACTTTACCGGCGGATTCGGTCTCAGCTCAGGCACCATCGGAACGCTTTTCACAATCTATGGTATTACCTGTGGACTGATTCAATTTCTCATCTATCCTCCCATGGTGAACCGGTTTGGCGTTCTCAACTGTTTCAAAGTAGTTTGTAAGTCAGCCAAAGGAACAAAGTGAATACGATTCTGTTTTCAAGTTGAACTAACCACATTGGCAGCCATCATGACACCGTTCGTCTACTTCATTACACCATACACTTCATTACTTCCTACACCTGCGACGCGTTTCGCTGCCATCCTCTTCGTCATGATGATCAAGGCCTTTGCCATCATCATCGCCTTCCCCTCCACCACGATCCTCCTGACCAATTCCGCCACCTCGCTCAGCATTCTCGGCACCCTCAACGGATTCGCCACCATGTTCAGCGGCCTTGGCCGAGCCTTTGGACCCGCCTCCACCGGCCTTGCCTTCTCCTGGGGCGTCGAGCACGGCTACATCGTCTCCGCATACTTCTTCCTGGGCATCGTTGCCGCCATTGGCGCCATTCCCGTCTTCATGATTGTCGAAGGCGACGGGCCCACAGCTTCAGCGTATAACAGCGACAACGAAGACAACGAAGACAACGCCATTGTTCTCGGAGACGAAAGCCCCATCAACGACTATGAAGATGCGTCGGACAACGAGGCCAGTGCATCATCCCCTCTCCTTGGCAAAAACCGCCGGGGCAACAACACGTACAAGGCTACAAGTACTGCGAATAATTAAGAACCTGTTAAGCCTACACACACACACATACATAACATACATATGTATGCATGCACGTATATATTACATTACGGGCGGTGTCGAGAAAAAGAAGCGAAAAGAAGAGAAATGAAAAGAAGAATTCAACGTGGCAGTCAGTTTGTGGAGTTGATGATCAAGACATAAAAAACTGCTTGGCCACACATACGTGGTCCTCTAAACGATGGTCGGATGTTGATATCACTATACACGTGTGCACTGAGATGTTGCTATTGGCACTGATGATTCTCACATACATGTACGTAGTGAATGACATTTATGATAGTTATATATAACAAAATGACAAAAAAGCTTATCCGAATCAATGAGAAAGGGGTCTCGCCTGTTTCCTTTCTTTTGGCCGTTGGCGATTTCACCATTGTCAGCAAACCTCTCAACGCACTTACCATGACGTAAATGGGCAGATGACCTGTCGACTATCATGGATCCCCTCATGCAAGACTCCCAGCTACAAGCCCAGGATTAGACAAGACGATTCCAGACTGAGATTAGCACCTGCTTCCCTTTAGCTTAATCCTGGTGCAGGCTCACCGACTTGGCTGGAACAAATCGGCAAGTTGTCACGCGTCAATGCAAGCCCTACTCATACGAAATACGAAACGAACGTAGCGGACATTACAAAAAACTTTCATTTAATTATATTTATACATTGATCTCAGACGCCTCCCCATTATAGAATCATGACAGTACCCCGTGCTGTCCAAATGCTTGGAGGCTAAAAAAACTCGGTATAAAAACGTAAATGGAAAACAACATCTAGAAAACATGTTGAAACAGAAATCATTCAATGCTAGTCGTTCACACCTTTTTAATACAAATAAGCGATGCCACACAAACATACATAATAAAGAACAAAAAAAAAACAAGAACAATAAACTCCAAATATTTTCCCAAGTCTACATCATGTCATATTTTTCTTTCTTTCATCTTTCATGCGACAAAGAAAAAGTGTAGTCGTAGTAAGTACGCGTGGAATACACGCCAATAGAGATGTCAGAAGAAAATGCAGGTCATCAAGTTGAAAATGAAAAGGAAAATGAAAACGGAAATGAAGATGAAAATAAAACAAACAATTCAAACATGTAAACAGATAAACAAACAAACTGATATTTGCGAGGCCGTTAGTGGTGGCGTAAAGGGATGTCGTGGGCCGGGAACCCTTCCCTATCATGCCACTCCCACTCATCATTGTTGCTGGGATATCTTTGATAAGGCTGGGGGGCTTCGATGGTTCGGTAGTCTTGGTTATCGACGTGATGCCATTCAGCGACGGGCCACATCGGGGTGGGGTTGTTGTTGTTGTTGTTGTTGCTATTGTCGTAATAATGATAATTGGCCATGTGTGCTGAGCCGCCGTCCATCATGGCATAGCGAACTGTAGGAGGCGCTGCCTCGTCCTCGTGGATGAAACGCTCAAGGTCAGCCTCCATATCACGCAGCCGAAGGTGTTCCTTCCCGACCCAGTCGTCGATTATTTCGGCAATCTGGCGGAAACCTTCTGTATGGCCGCCATGGTGTCGGGCTTTGATGCCACACGTGATGAACAAGAAGCTGTGAATCATTTCGTGTAAAAAGGTGGAGATGAGAAGGCGGCGGTTGTATTTGGTGTCTTTGAGGATCGGCGATGACAAAACGATGAGCGTCTCGTATCCTCCTAGACGAATGCTTCGGCGTAGAGCGGTTGTGCCGACAATATGGCTCTCGTATTGCGGGCTGGCCGGGTGGCTCCAATCCCATGTAACCCTTTGTGACAGCCTGTTGGCGAAGAAGAGCTCGTTTGCGGCAGAGAAGATGCTCCGGAGGGCGTCGTTGTCGAGCGGGAAATCTGCCGCCTTGGACTTTGGATTGATCAAGGCCTTGAGAATGCGGCCATGCTGTGAGTCACGATGCTTCCACCGGCGAATATCAGCAACATGCTTTCGCACGAGTCGGGCAGCAGCGAGATCAGTGAGCAGCGGCGGGTGATCATGATGCTCACAGTCGCCCCCCTGAGCACACGGCGAGTCCACGGCAGACGTGTCGGATGAGATGGACAGGCCAGACTGCGTACGCTCCATCGGGGCCGTCAAGCCAAACGACGATGGGCCGAAGCCAATCCCGGGTGCTGGATGAGGTGGAGGTGGAAACCCGCCCCGGTGGTCCGGCGACAGGCCCGACGGTGGGGGCGGCGTCGGCGGCGGAGACGGCTCCCGCTCTCGGATCACCAGAAAGGCGAGGTTCTTGACGTGGACGGAGCCAGATCCAGATCCATCTGCTGCCGTGGGAGCTGAAGGGCTGGGATCGCCGCCGGAACGCTCGAACTCGCAGCCGGCAGCATGATGGCCCTTGCCATGGTAGCCGATAACGCGGCCCCAGTCGTCCAGGCGCGGCCGCTTGGTGATGCCATAGCAGCCTGCGTCGCTGCAGGCGGAGGTGGCAGCGCTGCCATCTGCATAGACAACCCGTCGCTTGCTGCTGCGACCGCCTCCGGTGCGGCTGCTGCTCGAATAGCTGCTCGAGTAGCTGCTCGAGTAGCTGCCGCGCTTAATGTAAGCCGCCGGCACCTGACCAGCAGGAGTGGAGGATGAGGAGGCGGCAGCGTCACCAAGCGGATTTCCCCCGCCGACCACCCAGAAGGCCATTGAACAGCATATGCTCCAGCCCACCCACCAAGGAGACAGCGCGCCCAGTCTGGTTGAGAGGATGGATTGGCTGGCGTGGACGATGTAGTGGCCAGGAGGCTGTTGCTCCGCTGCTGGACAGCTGGTGCGATGCAAGGTCCTGCTTCGTCGTGTTAACCGCTTTCTTCCTCTTCGCCCTCTCGATCTCACGCGCTGGTGCTCTCCCCGAATGAACGACGAGTGGGCTCTGGCGGCAGCTGGAGAGTGTGGGATGGGAGAAGTTGTGAGCTGGCAGGCTGAGTTGTCTAGCCACTGGAGACACCGGCCACGGAGCAGACGAGTCCGTCCGCCACCGTCGGTGTGGGATGGATGTGGATTTGGACTGGCAGGGAGGGACTGGAGCGGACTGGACTGGAGGGATGTAGATACCTGAATCACAAACTGGAATCACCTCCCGGCTGCCATAAGAATAGCTGAGGAGGGAAAGGGCCGAGGGAAGAAGGAGAAGGCGCCGGCAAAGGGAAGAAAAGAGAGAAAAGGGTAAAAAAGGAAAAGAAAAGAAAAAAACGGCATCCGAAAATATTCTGCAATGCTGAGAAAGCGAAGGAACAGGGGGGGAAAGGTGTGCCACGGGTGGAAAAGCGCAGACCAAGAAAGTCGCCGCAGTCAGTCATGCAGCAACCAGCATAGCGCGTAGTATTAGCGAAGGGTCCTGGACCTTTTTTGGTCGCCAGGAGCAGAAACAGAGAAGCCCGAGAGGCAATTGTCGTCAAATCACGGGCGCCGGCTGGAGAAAACCCTGCATGCCAAAAGCCAGCCGCAGATGGACACGACAAGCGGCGCACGTCTTGGATCATCGCCTCGCTGGCTCTTTTATGCCAGCCAGCGTGGACAGGCGTGATATGCGAGTGCGGGCTTGTGTGTGTGTGCAAGGTTATGGTGGTGGTGTGTGCCCTGCAAAGGGTGTTTGGCCAATGTCCAGAGGCACGACGAGAGAGAGTCCCGACGAAGCGAACGAACGCGGATGATGCAATCGTTCTCTTTGATTCTGCAGCCCGGGCGGGATTGACTGGTGGGAAGAGGCCTTGGTTGATGGATGGACTGATTGATGCAGATAGAGGCAGCATGTAAGTTCCATGGCAGCAAAGGCAGATACTGTACGATACCGTACATGTGCACGCCAAACCGCAGCTTGCAAATCTCTACACCCTTCTCCCGACACACCTACCCAGGCTAGCAGCTGGTCCATAGCATCATCTTCTGGGGCTGTTCTCGGGAGGCTACTGTAAGCTTGACGGCTTCCTTTGTGTGTAGATCTGGTGGCGAGAAGAGCAGCTGGTGGACTTGTATCGAGCCTCGAGCCTACAGGCTGCCATTGTTACAGCACTAGCCCTGCCGCCAGCTTCAAGAGTGCGAAAGATCAATGGAAGTTGGCAGGGACCAGGTCCTGCAACGAATCCATAACTACCAACTGCCTGTGCCGAAGCTGTGCCCCCACATCTGGGACGATCAGTGAGTGAGGCATGGGCCAAATCATCCGATCCAGGGCTGGCGTCTGGCCTTCCGTCTGCTCTTCTGGGCCTCCGTGATGCTACCACAGGCTGTACTGTACCGTCCACTATGATGCTACCAGGCCCCATACGGATATCCAATGGCCCTTGTTCCAGGCTCCATGGCGCTCCATACGCGGAGGAGCAGCTGCCTGTGGTCCTCTGAGCCTCGCTACTGGCACAATACTCTCCGTGCAAACTCTCCATGTTCCGTCTGCCTATCTTCTCTTTGCCTCGTCACAAGGCCTTTGCCCTCTTCGCCGAGACTCACCGGATGGTCCTTGCCCCTCTTCCGCCCCTCATCTGCCACGATCCTTGCAGCTGGCTCGAGAGAGAGAGAGAAAAAAACGAGAAATATCCCCATCCCCCGTCCATGGCCCGCTGCTGGACAGAATCCACGCCCTGTGGGCCGCCTTCATTGGACCGTCCAGCGGTGTATGCAGCTGCAGGATGCAGCAGACATGCACCAAGGGCCGCCTAGTGGGTTCCAGGCTCGCTCTCTGCGTGCGGCGATACTGAGAACAGGCCAGACCGGCACAGTCGACCTTCTTCGCCGCTCCATTGACGTGAGCCAGAGCAGAGCAGGATCGGACGGAGCCTTGGAGGGCGCGCGCGGCGAAGGGGTCTCTAGATCCGGAGTTCGGATACTTGGCGGGCTTTTGGTGACCAAGACCAACAACTTGCACTATGTAAGAGCACTTACATGGGAGTGCGCTAACGGCTGCTGCCAGTCATCAACGGCAGTTGGGGATGCAGAATCGTTTGTGCCACCATCTAACGGCGTCAATATTGCGAGTCTTGCAAGGAGAGGAAGCAAAGCCTTTTTCCAGTAGATGGGCGAGTGTCACCATTGCTACAACATGGTCGTATCGGGAGAGACACAGGCCTTGAGCCGCCTCCAGGCAAGGCCTCAACTCAATGGCTACAACACAAAGGCTCCTCTTCTGCACGAGCACTGACTGGCAGCAGCAATAAACGCACATGCTGTACACAATGGCACTACAAGACGCTGGTCCTGCTAGCGGCGTCGTCTGCACCGCGGTGGAGGCCGATGCAGCAGCGTTGGCAACGATGGAATCCTTGCTCGTGCTGTTCCCCAATCCGCCCATCCAATGCGAGCTTTGTGATACCAACCTGAAGCAATACCTACTGTGCAGTATGCAGTAGTAGTAGTAGCATAGCAGCAGTAGTAGCAGTACGTACTACATACTGCCTACTGCCATCTGCTCTCCTCGCATCGCAGCCTACAATCTGCATCCGACTTTTCTTCTTCTCTCTCTGTGCTCAAGCAGACGGCAGCTAGCATTGCGCACATCAGCGATTGCCGGCAGTCAAACTCCAAGCTACTGATATGCAAGACTTGTTGCGTCTTGTGTCAGATGACCGGCCATGGGAAAACGCCAAAATCCAACATCCTCCTCTCTCGACTGGACGTTTTTTCTTGGTCACAATCTATCTACTCTAGGCTATTCCACCCGCAACCGTAATCTTTCGCCACCTCCACTATGTGACTTTTCTTTTCCCTTTTACTTTGCTTTGATTTTTTATTTCCTTTTTTTCCACAATGGTGCCGCGTAATTATGGCCCAGCCATACAGACAGGGCCATTGCCTCTCGTGCCGTCGACTCTCTAGGCCGAGTTGTCGACGGGAGAAAAGCACGGCGCTGAACCACGTCGTCATAGGACATGATGCGGCACTCAGAATGCTATGATTGACTGCCCTGCCCACTGAACGTGTTCATACAGGGTAAACATCCAGTAATCTTGTTAATTAGTCGCATCAAACCTTGGAAAAGCAAAAAAAAAAAAAAAAAAAAAAAAAAAAAAAACTGGGCCAAGTAGTAGCAATAACAAGGTGAGGCAAGGCAGCCGAGCCATGTAGGCGGAGGCTAGCCCAATGATATTTGCGGCCAAGGCGCAGAATCTCCATCTCAGTGCCAAGGTACACGTATAGTCACCAGTCAGTTCTCTCGTCTATAGCAAAAAGGATGATGGCGTGCCTCGTCCCATTGGCTCGCATGCCTCATTAGCCAGCTTGGAGCTCGCTGCTGGTTGGTACATGTAGCGTACAGTGCATGTAGTCTGCGGCCTGCAGCCGTGCAAGGCGCGGGATAGCTGTCCTATCAGCATCATGTTATCTAATAGTAAAGCGAATCACAGGATTGATTGTAAAGCCAAGGCACATGCAGCGTCGCAGCAAGTTTATGCTCCAGAGGGGTTCGGATTTCTATTGGGTCAAGTAATATTCATCATCACTACTTGATTGCGACCACCACGGGTCATTTGATCGTCTCTGTTCGATCGTCAGGAATCGCTCTCGCTGGGCATGAGATTAATGGCATGTATGTAAACGTAGGGCTAAACAATCTATCCCTTTTTTTTTGTTGGACGGGTATTAGCCAAGTGTCATTATGGCCCCCCCATCTCTGTCCACCATTCGTAAACCTGGTAGGTAATCGTAATACCTAGGTGCATGTATGCTATTCAAACCTCATCTCCTCATCCGTGAGGAGGTCCGCTTCCAAACGTATTCATGTATCTAACCTCATCTGCCTGGAAATCCAAGGCCTCGCGCATCTGATCTGCATAGCGCCTTCTCTCTTCCTCCTCAGCCAAAGCGTCCGGGTCCGGCTCGTCTTCAAAGTCTTTGGAATGATAGAGTGGCCTTGGCGTGAAACTGACCAGACCCAGTCGTTCACCTGTCCAAAACAAAACGTTGTCGTCATTGGGCTGATCGGGGGCTTCTCTTGACTTGGTTGACACGATTTTGCGCGCGAGCTCGCCGGCTGCACTCATAGAGGCGAACAGCGATGGGGCATCGTCTCCTTCGCAGTGGCCAATCCTCAGCCGGCGGCACTCTGTTAGGCCGTCTCTCTCAAACCACTTGATGGAGCCAGCTCCATCTGAAAACACAATCTTGCTCCCGTGGTTGGCGACCGACAGAATGGGGGCGGAAGCAGCAGTTTGTCTATTCTTCATGCTAGAATTCTGCATCATCTCGCGACCAACGGGATCGGCAACCGCCTGGCTGAGACCGAAGATTTCAAGAGAACCCTTAGACTTATATGTTCCCCCAGCCACCAGCGTCCAGCCTTCGCTACCCTCTTTGGACTTGGCTACCTGCTCTGCGCTGAGCTCCCCATGCCGTCTGATTTCGCTATCCAAGCAAGAAAATGGATGGGGCGTTGCCGCCAAGCTGTTAACCGTAGCTCCCGAGTAAATTGAGTCCATGATGACAGGAAACTTGCGGCGATCGTAATGTAATATGTTGGAGAATCTACCAGCCACGTAGATGTCGTGTGATACTAAATCTGACGCTCCATGCAGTGGAAGATGTACAATGCTGACGGGAGTGGGTTGAGAAAGCGGCGCATAAGGGAGCAACGGCGTCGGGTCGAATATTGATTTGAATATATCGTTCTGATCCACGCGTTCTACGGCAACTTGCGCCGGCCGGGCTCTTGCCCGAGGGTCGAAAAGATGAATCCCAAGAGATGTTCCAACCGTAAGGGGAACGTCATTCTGAATCTTGGAGAGTGCGGTGATGGACCATTCAAAGGATTCGCGGCTCACGACTTCCAGGCGTTCGAGGTCGATTTCGATCAAGTCTGCAGCCAGATGTCAGTACCCGTCAATTCGATGCGCTAATCCCAGCATGGCATCTCATCTCATCTACTCACGGCTTTGTACGGCAAAATATGCACGATGCCTGTGGTTGTCTACGCTAACGCACTCTGTAACCCCTGTGTCAACTCTCTTGGAACGTCTGGTGTTCTGGCTTCCTGGCCCATCGATGAAGAGTATATCGGATTTGCTTGTTGCAAGAATCGAGCCTGGCTTGTTGCGTGTCCCCTTGACGTCCCACAAACATATCGAGCCATCGTCGAGCGGCGATACGGCCAGCATGGTGCCCAGGCCGTCGTTCCCGCCGTATGGGTAGTACAGCTCCATCCCCCGGGCCTCGATGATGGCCTCGACGCCCCGCTCACGTATTCGAGGCGTCTGCAGCCAGTTGACACAAGCAGGTCCATTCCGTTGAACATACTCGCTGTACCAGCACAGACGTTCGCCAGGGAATGATGGGTCCCAGTTGGCCATGTCTTGAATTTCTTGCCGTCGGTGGCTCCGCTGTCGCCTCTGTGCCGCTTCAGGGCTGTGTTCCTCTCCATTTGCATTCTCTTCATCGCCGGCGCCGGCGTCGCCGCTGGCTTCTGGATTTAGCTGAGCCGCTCCATCTCGAGGCTCGTCGTCGGAGTCGCTGGGAGCGATAAGTCGACGGCGGCTCGTAAGTCGTTGGTACCACGATGAATCCTCGAAGCAGCGACGCTTCCACAGCTCGTCGTCGAGGCAGAGCTTCTGCAGCTTCCGCGATACAAGCCGCAGTCGGGTGATGTGGAAAGGATCGAGATCTGATGCCAGCAAAGACAGAAACAATGAGCACTGGCTTCGTTTTCCCAATCTACGGAGACATCAAGATAGTGGAGGGGCAGGTGGAGCTCTTACAGCTAATGATCTGGAGCACGATCTCATCTGGAAGCACGTCCCAACGCGACGATCGACCGGGCAAAGCCATCGCGAATGCCTCCGAGGCCAGCCTCAATGCCGCCTGCTAATGGCAAAGAGGGAGACAGAGAGCTGGGCTGGCCGAGGCGGTCTTTTTGGCCTCGCCGATGGAGCCCGTATTGAAAAGAGCAGAGCCGACGGTTGGACTCTAAGACAGAGTCGGGCTCGAAGATCTCGAGCGTGATTTAACAGGGGCCCTGCCCGTGCGGTTGCTGCTAGTGTGTAAGAGAGTGACAAACTTCCAGTGCTCTAGTATCGCGTAAGACCAATCGCAGGGATTCGGTTCCCTTTAGTCCCATAATACCTCGGACGCCGATTTAGCAGAGTGGGCGATTGGCAGAGCCAAAGGACCCTGGCGGGCTGATTGGCGTGCGGGACGGATAAGGTAAAAAGGGCTTGAAGGCTCCATCATTTAGTGATTTAGTCCGAGGTGGTTGTCGTGCTAGTAACACCACTAGCATCAACATCATGTCCAGTAGCACAGCATCAACTACAAGTGTTGGTGGGTATACATGGCCAGCAGCTGTTCAGAGCAAGCATCAGATCATCTACGTATGCATAGTGTCCAATCATGCAGTGCCATAATGACTCAATTGTCCTTTTTGCCGTATAAACTCATGCCTGACAAACTCCTTACATGTCACATTCCGCTACCAGGTCCGTTTCCCCACAACGCAGCAGCTATGCCACACGGTATTCTCTTTGATTCTAAGAGCGTCTTTATAATAAAGCAGACATCAATATAGCCTACACAGTAGACAAGGGCAGCTAGTGTCAGCACCAACCGTTGGATCCTTGAAAAAGCTATGGGCGTCAAAAATAGCAACGAAACTACGACTGATGGGTGATAGCGGCCCATTTACTCCACACCCAAATAGCAATGATGCTATCATCTACACGAAATGATCGTTCCACTCCAGATTTTGTAATATGTATATGAATTAGATCTAGAAATTCAAAAGATGAAGATATTCACGGCTGTGTTGCCGTTGGTGCTTTCATCTCCTATTAAGAAGAAAGAATTGGAAACTCCTCAATGGCCCCAATGGTACTCTGCTGCAGTGCCAATATCCAGGTGGATCAGAAGATATCACTGCCAAGATGAAGCAAATCGCGTCGAGCGTGGAAAAATCATACAGCTGGGCGCAGAAAATCATCAAATCAGACGCGTCTGCTGCAAATAAACAAACGACTAGAAATAAACAGACCAGTTAGGGCTTTCGCCTGAATTTTGGCTGTGCCCACAATCACTCGTTCCCCTCCGCCAGCTGGCCAGCTCACAGCCGTTGCCTTTCCCCCCCTCAAAATTATTCCTCAGGAACTCCCCCCTTCTCTTTCTCTCCACGCACCTACGAAACGAGTTTCTTTCTTTTTCCACCTCACCACCCACGCTGCTTCGCGTTGATAATTAACATCACGCAACGCGTGCACGTGTTCTTCACATTTATTCTTTTTCTTTAGGTCTGAGCTTAGACCTGAGCTCTGGAACTTCTTCATCCTATTTTCATCCTATCGTCATCATAATCATCACCAGAGCCATCACCGCATTTCAAGCAAGATTGCTGCCTTCATCAGGCATCTCACGATTCAGAGGCTATCAGATCAATTCTATCCAAGCCATCAGTATCTCCTCTGAGACTTTCATCTCGCATATTTGAAGAGTTCTCAAAAAAAAAAAAAGCGAGTCATTCAACCCCAAGCCCTCTCTCTTTTTCAGGCATCAGATCGCGTCTCGCCTTTTGGCTCTCCAAAAGCTGTCATCAAGAACAAGAGTTCAGAGTATCAGTAAAAGACACTAGAGGCTTCTGAGTTATGCAATAGCCCAGCATGCCTATCAACTTCGCCGAGGTATGCTCTCTTCTTGTCAATTTGTTTCTGTTTCGCAATATTAACAGACAAAAGTCGTCTATTCCCAGATACGGATGGAGCAGACCAACTATCGTCCATATCCCTGCTAGCTACCAACAGGCCGTAGCCGAAGCTCATCCAAGCGATGACCCATTTGCTATGTCTACTATGCATGACATTCCGCTTCATGATGATTCACCCTACGATGATTTTTCCAAGCAAGATGGCAATCAGACTCCTGTTTCGGAGCAAACGGCTTCACAGCCATCCCAATCGCCATGGAGCATGGGGCGTAACCTTACTCACCCCAAACCATCTTCCCGAGTGGATCGCGATGAAGCGCGTTCTGAATGGGAGACCATCGCTGGTGATGATGAGCCTGGTTACCAATTCAACAGACGCCCAAAGCCCAGAGTCACGTTGAAGAGTCTCGGACTAGTCCCTGACACCGACGATGAAGATGACGGCGGCGACGTTAAAGGCAAAGGAACCAAGCCGCCTTTCAAGCGACCCGGCACTCCTTTTGACGCGTTTGGCTTCTCTAGCCGCTCTGGAGAGCATGAAGAATACGCTATCAGCCCAGCCTCTGTTCACCATGAGCACTCTGAATATGCCAGACAGCCCGTCTATGGAGCAGAAGTTCAGGACATGGGTCCATCTCGGTCAACAGCACGCAGAGACTATCGAGACTATCGAGTCAACTCCAAGACATCGAGCAGCGAGAGTACTGATCGTTTCAAGTATGATGGAGAAGCCTACTCCACCTTTCTGCAGCCATCCAATACACGGGAAACCAAAAACTCGACATCTCGCCCTATCGCCACGAACAAGGAAAGAGACTTGAGCATGCGAGCAAAGTTTGAGTCAAAGGAGTCTACTACGCCTAGCCAGACGGCCTTTTACAATCCGACCGCCGTTTTGTCTACCTAGAAGGTTGATGATGAGGTCCGAATTCCGGTAACTAGACGCCAAACTCAACGCCAACCTGGTAGCGAGCGCAGCACAAAGAATGCCAAGGCAGGAAATGGTGAATGTTGGCCACAACTCCGCGCTGATGCTGGCACAGATGCCGACTGGCAAACTGTTACCACTGGACCTGTTGGCAGAGCTCGAGACCAATCTGAGCTCAATCTCATCAAGGGCACAGGCAGCAGCCTCGCGGATGTCTCTGACATTATTGAAGAACATCCCTATCCCCCACCCAAGAGCTACAGAGTCCCTGGCAAGATTTCTCACCGACGTAATCGGCCTATCCATCATCCTGAAGGCTTCTATGCCGAAACTTTTGCTCAGCCTAAGCCTCGTGCTGGTAATCAGTACGAATTCCCCGCTGGTAATCAACGTCAGCAGAGAGCTGTTCGCGAACCTTTTCAGCCTCCTGTTCGTGCTGCGGCTCCCATTAGGCGCCCCTCGAACCCTTTCTTGACTCCTCCCAATTGGAAGACCTCAGCTCGTATTACGGAGTTGGAGGATGGCCCTGATAATTACCCGACTCCAAGCCCGAGCCGCATCATTCAACCTCAGGCGGACACTACTCTGGCCCTTACGCGAACCGACTCTTCCGAGACTGTTTGGCCCTGTGTCATTCGTCCTGATGAGACGGTAAATGAGTTTGACCAGGCATTTTGCGAAACTCGAATTAAGGATACGACCCTGCCTAGCGAAGATTCTACCAACGCTTTTTCTCGTTTGCCATTCGAACTGATCGATTTGAAAGAGGCAGCCAAAACTTATGGCTCTCAAAGATACCGCAACGCAGAGGAAGCCGACTCTTTTGCCCAAAGAGCCAGACTTGGACCTCTCTGGTCAGGCTACTCCAACGAGGCCGGCCCATCTTCTTCTGGCGGCTATCGCTTTGGCGGCTCCAACAACCCTCCCGTGACACGTCCCTCTAAGGCACTGTTTCGAGATCAAATAACCAACAGTCGCCCAGCTGGTAAGTTATTCACAATCCCCAGGGTGATTCTTTCGTTAATTCCAAGGCTGCAGTTGAGTTTGACTTTGCCGACAATACGCCAACCCCGTCTTCGGCTATTCTGGGCTCTTTGAGATCGAAGCTGTCTCTCCGCCCAAAGCCTAAGCCAGCTCCTCGCTTTGGACACTTTAGAGCTGCAGCCGCCTTGGGAGCCAAATGTCTCCGAATCAAAGCTCCACCGGCCAAATCTCAGAACGACAACGGTCAGGAATGGACCTTGCCCAGAACCGAGACTGCAGGTGTCTTGACTCCCTCGGAAGTTGAGCTGATCGAGTCCGCTCGCGGAGAAATCATGGAACGTCGCCGATCTCCTGAAGAAGCAGAGCACAAGCGCACCGTCTTATTCATGGGAATCATCATCTCCTCCATCGTTTTCCCCTTGATTGGGCTTCTTGCTTTGTTGGGCATTTTCGACTCGACTGTTTGCTGGTATGCTCTTGGTGAGATGAAGGGCTTTACCAAAGAGCAGCGAGGCATGCTCATACAGCAGCTTCTCGTCGAGACTTTTGTCTACACGGTCTTGACCGTATTCCTCAGCCTTCACTTTTCAGGCAAAATCTAAGTGCAATTTCAATTGATGAATCTGACATCTCTACATCTCTACATCTCCACGTCTTTACGTCTCCACGTCTTTACGTCTCCACGTCTTTACGTCTCTACGTCTCTACGTCTTTTTTTTTTTCTTCTTTTCATTTCCTCGGGTCTTTTATTTTTTCTTTCTTCTCTCTATTTTTTTTTTATCTAATGGAATGGCATAATTGTTGCTTGTTTGCTCGCTTAGTCGCTCGCTTTTCTAGGCTATGAGGAATTTTTGCTTTTTGATATATAATTGCGGCATTGATGGATTTATGAGGATTTAACATACGATGCCGGCTCAGGATTCAGATGGTATTTGACGGGATGAGGTGAAATTTCTAAGGGGTGGGATGGTTCACATAGGTAGTAGTCATTGTTCGTATGTAGAGAAGAAGTCAATTGATTCATTTGCACCATGATGGTTATCTCCTGTAATCACATATGCAACCCCGCACTAGATTTAGTACTACCCGTCATTCTCTCGTCCAGACTTCCAACCACAGAGCTTCTGCTCTCAATTTCGGCTGCAAAGCAAGCTTCAACAGATCGTTGGCTCTCTATTTTTGGCTGCTGTTTCCAGACGAGGAGGTCGAGTCTCCGCTAGGAGCTGTGTAAGTGGAGTTTCCAGCACCATCATTGTAATAGGTGCTGCCGTTCGAGTTGGAATAGTAGTAAGAGCCGTCCCTGCAGCCTTTTTGTCAGTCTCCTAGCCTCAAACACATGACTCGTGTAGGTAGTATTACTGGTTGGAGTAGTGGTAAGAGTTGGAGTTGGAAGCACTGCTGCCATAATCCCGCGCGCAGTAGTGGTTACCCTATGAGGCGCGTTAGTTCGAGATCCATCTCTGATTCGGGCAGGGAGTGGGAAATGACAGACCTGGCTATTGGTGCCAGAGCTTTTGTAGGTGTAGTCTTCAGGCATGGTTACGGATGATGGCTATTGATCCTTGCAGGCAAATCTCAATGTTTCCGAAGCTTGGGTAGGGAGCCGATCTCAGAATGTGAGGGAGGGGTAGGATTCAGGAAACGCATGCAGAAGAAGGCCCCGGTCACACACGCTCAAACTCTAATCCGCGAGCTCCATTAGTGATACGACGTGTTACCTACGAACAAACGAAACTGCCCAAGTGGCTCTTGCACCGACGTCTCACCTTGCCCATTGCGAGAGCCGCTACGGAGCAGGGACATGCACAGTAGCATTTCGGCACCAATTGGCTGTTGGCTGCAACTGCGGGCAAGGAGGCGGGGCTGAAGAATGCTCACGCCGAGGGGCGTCCCGTTCGAGGCAGTAGATATTCCGAGGTAAAATCAAGTTTGGCAACAGAACTTTGCTTGGTAGCAAGCCCTGATACATACATCCACGTAGGTGTTCTTTTGGGCATAGCCGCGCTTTATCTTCAAGGTTCAATACTTCACTGATCACTGTCCATTTATGGTAATTTTACCGCGCTTCCGCGAGCTGCCAATGCAGGGGCTAACGGCGTGGGGATACTATTACCATAACGATTTAGAGATTGCTGCAACCATCAGCTGAGAAAAGTCCATGGGCGCCGTTTAAAAAGGAGGCATGTCCACTTTGCAAGAGCCTAGTGCCTATAGCCGGATGCTTCTCAATGTTCGATATCACCTGTCACATTGTGTTGGCCAAACATATATATTTACTGTACGAATCTGCACTACGGAATACCCAGATGGAATACGATGGAAGCGGCCCCAGGGCCTGGCGATGATAGGCATCACCCTGTGAGATGTCTGCGCAGTTAGCTCCTGGATGCCACCCTCCTTGTTTGAGAAAGATTACGCGCAGCTCTGTTGAACCGGAGTTGGCAGGAGTGTTGCGCGGGATGCGTGCATATATCACATGGAAACTATATAAACCCTTGCTAAGCCTTCGCTGCCTAGATTGTATAGAGTGCTGCTGTTCTCAATCTAGAATTTCTCTGGCTCTTTCGAGGTGTACGCTTTGCTATCATTGACGCATAAGAATTCAAACTCTCGCGCATCATGGCTGTCAAAGTGTTTGTGTATGATTCTCCGCCTACTTGTCACTTACTGGAGCTTGGATCAGCTAACGCAGAGACCAATTGATACCAACAGGACTGGCGTTACCGGTAATTGGGAACTGACAACCCCGGCGTTGGTGAGTTCGAGAACTAATATCAGCCAGGATACGTCGGAGGCACCGTCTTTGACTACGTCTACAACGCCCACAAAGACTACGAATACACCGTTCTCGTTCGCGACGAAGCACGTGCCCAGCTGGTAAAGGCGAAATACCCAACCGTCGAAGTTGCCTCTGGCGCTCTCGAGGATACCGATGTCATTGAGAAGGCCGCTGCGGAGGCAGATATCGTTATCCGTATGTTGCACGAGACAAACACCACGATTACGAGTTTCAGTTTTTGACACAAATCCAGACACCGCAGACTCCTCGGATCACGCCATTAGTGCTCGCGCGATTGCCAAGGGCCTGAAGGACGGCCACACAGCGGAAAAGCCTGGATACTGGTTACACCTGTCTGGCACAGCCATCCTGACCTGGTACGACCAAGTCAACAACAGGGCAGGAGAAGGCCCCCATCCCGAGTATATTTACAACGATCTCGACGGTGTCGACCGCATGTTGAGCTTTCCCGACGACGGAATCCATAGAGACGTTGATAAGATTATCCAAGGTGCTGCTTCTGATGCAGTCAAGCCCACAATCATCTGCCCGCCCCTCATCTACGGCAAGGGATCTGGTGTTGGCAACCAGACAAGCGTCCAGCTACCATATCTCATAGAGGCGGGTCTCTCCGACGGATACGTGCCCGTGGTAAAGCCTGGGAAGACCGAGTGGGACCACGTCGACGTCCACAGCCTAGCAGACTTGTATGTCAAGCTGGTCGATGCGACCCAAGACCCCTCGAAGAACAGCAACCCGGAGATCTTCGGCATCAGAGGCTTCTTCTTTGCCGCCAGTGGCACACATTCCTTTTTACAGCTTGCAGAGAAGGTTGTGTCAGAAATAAAAAAGCAAGGCTATAGCAACAAGGTGACGGTCAAGCAGTACAGTCTTGCCGAGCTGAGAGAGCTCAAGGGAGACAACCTCATAATTAGCACGTATGCGTTCAGCTCGCGGGGAGAGGCGCAGAGGGCCAAGAAGTATCTCGGCTGGGAGCCCAAGGGCATGTCTCTAGCGGAGGGTGTCACGGAGACGGTGGACATCCTGGCAAAGGCCAAGGGGCTGTAAAAGCTGCCCTCATCTGGCTGTCCTGAGGCACAAGACAGCAGTGAGAGTCTGGAAGAAGGATCTGGCGCGCATAGCTTCACCACCGCACTGTCCCTTCAATAGTCACGTAATCTAATATCAATCGGGAATGTCAACTGTTTACATCGTGCACTCCGCAGCCTCCATATATCGGACATCAACATCTCGCCCCGGCAACGCCTCGACGGCGAAAAAAAGCGCCCACGAAAAATTTCCATCTGCATCGCCACTGATTGGCCCAAAAGCTCCAGCGGCGAAAGAAAATTTTAACAAACGGCTTGTCCTAGATAGGCCTAGCGGAATGAGGGACCTATGGTAGAACTTATCGCTTGCCCCACCTTGGATGCACATTTGCTTGCCGACTACGAGGAGAAAAAAAAAAAAAAAAAAAGTTCGCAGCAAACGGTAGAGCGGCAGAAATTTGTGGTGTGGGAAGTATTTCTTGCTACCAACCCCACGTTGCTCATTTTTTCTTTTCCCTTCTCTCCATACCCATCTCCTCCTTCACTCTTTTCCTTCACACAAGTTTGAAGGACCTTTTTTCTTCTTTTTTTTCTTCAAACTCATCAAAAAAAATGGCGGAAGAACAGTACGACGGTGCCATCGGCATCGATTTGGGTACGTTGCGCACAAAACTTTTTCTATCCTCGTCGAAATGCCCCTCTTTGAGCGAGCAAATAGAGAGAGAGACACACACAAAGAGACAGAAGCAAACTTTTTCCTGCTTCTCTCTGCTCTCAATTCCAATCGCCAATCATCAAACTTGGTTTTGAGCCTCAATCACTGACCTCGAATTCGCTTCACAGGTACCACCTACTCTTGCGTTGCCATCTACGAGGGTACCAATGTCGAGATCATTGCCAACGAGCAGGGTTCTTTCACCACCCCCTCCTTCGTCTCTTTCACCGACAAGGAGCGTCTCATTGGTGAGGCTGCCAAGAACAATGCTGCCATGAACCCCCGAAACACCGTCTTCGATGCCAAGTGAGTTCTATTTTCTCCGCAATCTGCCTGCATACTTTGCTGCTGCCGCTACACACAAGAAATTGGCTTAACTGACAAATTTTCTCTATTCAAGGCGTCTGATCGGTCGCCGCTTCGATGACCCCACCGTCAAGAAGGATATTGAATCATGGCCTTTCACCGTCACTGAGGGTGGAAAGGGCGAGCCCCTCGTCCAGGTTGAGTACCTTGGCGAGACCAAGACCTTCACTCCTCCCCAGATCTCCGCCATGGTCCTCGGAAAGGTATGTTTTGCTCTCTCTCCTTTTGGCACAGTGGCGTCACTTGAGGCAAAAGTAACCAAAAATTGCATAAAAAACTTTTCTAACAGAAAATCACTACAGATGAAGGACATTGCTGAGGTCAAGCTCGGCAAGAAGGTCAAGAAGGCCGTTGTCACTGTCCCTGCCTACTTCAACGACGCTCAGCGTCAGGCTACCAAGGACGCTGGTCAGATTGCTGACCTTGATGTTCTCCGTATCATCAACGAGCCTACCGCTGCCGCTATTGCCTACGGTCTGGGCTCCGGCAAGACTGAGAAGGAGCGTAACGTCCTGATCTACGATCTTGGTGGTGGTACTTTCGATGTTTCCCTGCTCAGCATCCAGGGCGGTGTCTTCACTGTCAAGGCTACCGCTGGTGACACCCACTTGGGTGGCCAGGACTTCGACACCAACCTGTTGGACCACTGCAAGAAGGAGTTCATCCGCAAGTCCAAGAAGGACCCCAGCAACGACCCCCGTGCTCTCCGAAGACTCCGTACTGCTTGCGAGCGTGCCAAGCGTACCCTCTCCAGCGGTGCCCAGGCCACCATTGAGATTGACTCTCTCTTCGAGGGTGAGGACTTCACCATGACCATCACCCGTGCTCGTTTCGAGGAGCTCAACGCCAAGGCCTTCTCCGGTACCCTCGAGCCTGTTGCTCAGGTCCTCAAGGATGCCGCTATGGAGAAGAGCGCCGTTGAGGAGATTGTCCTCGTCGGTGGTTCTACCCGTATCCCCAAGATCCAGAAGCTTCTGTCCGAGTTCTTCGATGGCAAGAAGCTCGAGAAGAGCATCAACCCCGATGAGGCCGTCGCCTACGGTGCCGCCGTCCAGGCCGGTATCCTCTCCGGAAAGGCTACTTCCGCTGAGACCGCCGACCTTCTGCTGCTCGACGTTGTCCCCCTGTCCCTCGGTGTCGCTATGGAGGGCAACATCTTCGCTCCTGTCATCAGCCGTGGCCAGACTGTCCCCACCCTGAAGAAGCGAACCTTCACCACTGTTGCCGACAACCAGCAGACCGTTCAGTTCCCCGTTTTCCAGGGTGAGCGTGTCAACTGCGAGGACAACACCTCCCTGGGTGAGTTCACCCTTGCTCCCATCCCTCCCATGAGGGCTGGTGAGGCCGTTCTCGAGGTCGTCTTCGAGGTCGACGTCAACGGTATTCTCAAGGTCACTGCCAGCGAGAAGACCTCTGGCCGCAGCGCCAACATCACCATCTCCAACTCCGTTGGCAAGCTTTCTACCACCGAGATTGAGAAGATGATCAGCGATGCTGAGGCCTTCAAGACCAACGATGAGGCTTTCAGCAAGCGATTCGAGGCCAAGCAGCAGCTTGAGTCTTACATCGGCCGTGTTGAGGAGATTGTCTCCGACCCCACCCTGTCCCTCAAGCTTAAGCGTGGCCAGAAGGACAAGATTGAGCAGACCATCAGCGAGGCTATGGCTCAGCTCGAGCTCACCGATGCCACCGCTGAGGACCTGAAGAAGCAGGAGCTCGCCCTTAAGCGCCTTGTCACCAAGGCTATGTCCTCCCGATAAATGTCCTAAAATTGGACGAGGATGAAGGGGATTTAAGAAAAGTAAAGTAGGCTGTGGCTGGATTCCGGGAGTTGGGTGTGGAAATCAAAAAAATCTGGGTGACTGGTAGCGTCAAAAAGGAAGAAACGCTGGCTAGTCCTAGGCGCTTGGGAAGAGCGCTCTCTAGGAGAGAAAATCAAACCTCCTATTTTTTTTTCCTTGTTTCATACATTTTTTTTTCATCAACCTGTGTCCATTCAATTGAGAAGATACCGAGGGCATCTGAAGAGTTTTTTTTTTTTTGCATTTTTCACTCTCCTCGACTTTCTTGCATGGGTGCAAATAATGATATGCCAAAAAAGAAAAAATAAGCCGAGGTTTTCATGAAAAACGACGATGACAATGCTGCTGCTACTGCTGCACGGCGGGATGGAAAAACTGCATATGGAAAGGCATGAACGATAAGTGGACTAAGCATAGACTTGGTAGAATGGAAAATACGGATTGAAACCGTTTTCAAATTAATCTAATGTGCATGATGCTTTGAAAATGTGATATTATTCAGATGTAGATGCGAGTATTTTTCCAGAATCGATTGGCATCTCTTGGTGTTTAGTAAAGAAAGTCTGCGGTCAGGTTGATACTATTGTCTTATGAAAAATCCCTGAACATCCGAGGCAGAAGAAGACGGAAACATTGATTCTGAGATGACAAACAAGAGCTTTCTAAGCAACGGTAACGAGAATCCCAATGTGTATAAATTGCACATTCTCGTTTGATCCTGTTATGGAGTATGTTAGATATGCTGTATGAGCTCAGTCAACTTCTTCAGTTACGGAGTTTTCTCTTTCGTCAAATTTAAGAGCCACATGTATTTCTGCCTGCTTGTATATTTGCTCCATTTAATGTAGCATGTTTTCTCTCTCTCTCTGCATCTCACTGAACTCATCTTCACCTGGCTATTATATCCTAATGATGCTCCTTTCTCTTGTAAATGTCTTCCCGGCCATACGTTCATGCCGCGTAAATCCAGTTGCGCCCTGTATTTTCGAGCCCGAGCTTGATAACTATTTCGCTAAAAAGCCTGCACACTGAATGACAAAGTAGTTTTTTTTTTTTTTTTTTTTTATTTTTTCAAATTACTGTACGAGAATTGATGGCTCGGCGCTTCTACGAGGTCGTAATGACGGTAGTCTTAGCCGAAGCGGCGCTTTCATTTCGATTCATGACACCAAGAGTCGAATAATTATTTTTGCCTTCATCATGCATGTCTAATATTCGACTCTATCGAGATGCCCCGATCTTATGTTCATAGAACCTCCTCTGTTATCGTTATCCTTCCACCTGGCGAAACTCCATGGCTGAGCATTGTTCGAAAACATCTTATCCCTCGAAACGCCCGTTGATGGAAGGAAATTACAATTTGATTGGCGAAAAGACGCTATAAGAACCCACTGGATAGCCAGCCATTAACTGAAACAAAGAGGTCATTGGTTCTTTTACGTCCAGAAGAAAGCAAGACAGACAGATAGACAGACAGAAATAAAGCCAAAAATGATGGCCACTTGGGTTAAGACTTTGATTTTATTACATCTAGCAACTCCATCTTCCCCCCCTTAGTAAACCGCTCCCACTCATGTGTGTCATGGAATGCCATCCACCATAGAAGCGACATCCCAAGCAAAACAGTAAAAGACAGAAACAAAACAAAACAAAACATATAACTATGCCCAGCCCACCAGAGTCGTAGGAGTTTTATCATCCAATCATCGCGCTTGCTCCAAAAGCGCTCTTCCTTTTTTTTCCCCTCCTTTGCTGCAATCGCATCTTAGTGATGCGAACAAGGAATCTTGCTAGTCTCAAGAGAGCAGCAAGTATAGCTTTCGGTATCCTCTTTCAAGTCTGAAGCCAGCCAAAATACACCATACCTCCTTTATATATTCATCGTCTTGAACCATCTCAAGAGAGAGCCTAGGCTAGTGCTGGGTTCTCTGGTGATGGGAATGACGATTCCAAGGTATTAGTTGTATATCCACTTCCAAACATGAGTAAATCTAACATGTCTCTTATATTTTATTCCTCTTCCACGCATTAAAATACACGAAATACAAACATCAGCTTGATATCCCGGCTCAAGAGATGATTCCACCCCATCGTAAAGCTATCTGACAAGCTCTTTTCATCAGCTTGTCTCTGCCGCTTCGGTAGATGCGTCTGTATTGGTAGGTTTTGCGCTCGGCTCTTCTTGCGCAGTCATTGAGGGTTCTTCTGATTTGTTTCCTGCGTCTTGGCTTGCTCTTCTCTCAGACTCCTGAAGTTGAGTTAATGTAGGAGTGCTGATTTGGCTTCCCCCTCTCTGTCCATGGTAGTGAACTACTTGAGGAGGGGCTTGGCCGGCTTGGATACCGAGCTGTTCCGTTGGATACGGGTTGAGGTCTTTGCTCGAAGTCGAAAAAGTGGAGACAACTGGTTGGTGATATCCGTTGGTCGAAGTGCTCTGCGTGGGAGTATGGCCATAGTTGTTGTCATGCTCTGTCTGGGTTGGGGTGCCCGCATCGTTGGGAGATCCAGATGCATCGACAAGGGCTCCGGTCAGGCTGTTCATCCCTCCTTCGATATCTCGGAGTAATCGAACGTATGCTTCTGGAACCAAGCCACTCTCCTGAGTCTTTGGATCTTCTGCCACCAACCAGCCCTGTCCGTGGCGGTAAGACACCCAAATGATCTGGCCTTCCACCAATGGCAGCTCGTTCTCGTTCTCTCGTTCAAAGTCGAAGAGAGCCACGGCCTTACCATGAAACTCTTCATCGGGAGAGGTAATGGTGAACTGGTAGTCACGCGAGTAGCGGGATTGGTCCACTCCTGGGCCACCCGGCGATGATGCGCGGCTGGAATCCGAATGGTACCCATCCATGTCGTTTTCACGGCGTTGCGAGTATTGGTATGCATGACCATGATGTCCTTGATCTGGGGGGTATGTGACAAGTTCACCGCCGGGCCCATTCGCCTCGCCTCCACGGCTCACATAGTATCGCTCGCTTCCGTCTCCGCCAACTCCCAGGTAGTAGCTCTGGCTATCGTCATAGCTCGAGCTAATCATGGCAGATTGGCCTCTGTCAGGGTCGCGACCAGTGCGCCCCCTGCCAGTATGGAGAGCTGCCGAGGTTGATTTATGCTTCCGGTGTCTTGTAGAAACCACAGGGCTCTGCAAGTCTTCATCTTCGCTATAGGGAGGGCCATCCCCAAAGTGAATTGGCGGTAAATCGTGTGCTCGGTTGAATCCATCCGGTGTCCATGACTCCCACGGCATCTTTTGGTCCCACGAGACAGACGGCTCGGAAAGCCGCCTTGTTTCACTCATTGGCGTCGTAAGCCCGGACGGCGGCCCCGAGGACTCGGGTGGCGGCCCGTAGTGCATGGGATGCATGATGGGATATGCGAAGTCGCGCACCTGCGTGTAGGCCAGACTCGAGGGGAACATGGGGAACACGTGAGATTGAGGTCGCGATCGGGGGGGCAGCGATCCGGTGACAGAGTACTGTGACAACCTGTTCTTGGACGCATATGACAGTGGCCGGGACAGTGCACTATGGCGATTCGATGTCGAGGCGCTCAGCGGGGCCGGGTCAGAGTCGATTGAGTCTGGCATCGTCGAAGCGAGGTCCGCCGGGGACGCTGCTGCTGTGGGTGAATCCATGGACATTGTTGCGGTTGCGGTCATCCCTCCAAGGTGCTTCAGTCCGATGCCGCCAGAGAGAATCCAGCGCTGCTGCCTCTAGCACCACGCCTCGGCCCTGGGTAAACCAACTTGAGCAGCCGCCAGCAGGCAAGCAGGCCTTTATCCAGATTCTTCCAGCGCAAGTCGAAGCAGGATGGCTGTCTCTGACACAGCGTGTGTGCCGTGTCTCTGGGTTGTAGCGGAGCGAGTTTCGGTGTCGGCGAGAGCAGTACAGACAGAGATCGGCTCGGCGGAGGTGGGAGGCTCAGAAAACCCTAATCTGAGACAAGCGGTCGCTGGTGTGTCAGAGCAGGGTTGTTTGCAGAAGAGGCGTGAGGGAGGCTAGGGCGGTGATCTGGAGGGATGCTGGTTCTGATGACAGCACAAGTGCTAGGACTGTTGTTGCCGGTGGCCCCCTGCGCTGCTGCAGAGGCGCTGCGGGTGACGTTGGAGGTCCTGGCGCAGATTTCAAGATGCGAGGGACTGGGCGAGTGCGGGAGATGGCGAGGCTGCCTCGCGGAGCAGAAGTTTAGCTTGGAGTCGATCGAAAGCGAGAGATCACCTGCAATGTACCGCCCAAGTACTTGCGCTGGCTGAAACGTGCTCTATTAGTACTCTGTTGTTAGTGGCGAACCGCTGTCAACGTCCAGTCGGGTTCGATATAGGGCTAAATCTGGTCGCCGTCCTGCTGGAGCCAGCGCGTCGCCCGCTAATTCTACTGGCCGAGCCGCAGCCAGCCCAGCGAGTCCGCCTGAAATGCAGAGGCTAATATGCCTATCGGCGTAATGTTGATGGATGGAATCGGTAGCGCCAGAATGGGCGAGCGGCAAGGCGAGCCGCTGATGGTTAATTTTGAGTTGTTTCGTTGGATTGGGTCTATGCAAGTAATCCTCGCCCGTTCCCAGATATAAGTTGATGGCTGGGTTTTTGTGAAGCGGGGTGGTGATGGCCAAGTTGAGCAGCAGCTCCAGGTCGATATCGGGACGAGTGCCAAGGAAGTGGCAGTGGCTGAGTCCCTGGCGTCGTGTGCAATGGCAATAGCGTGGGCTTCTGATTCTTTGCACTCAATGATATTTCAGTCAAATGCCACAAAGCCGCTGCCTGGGACAAGTGGTGAATGTTTTGTACACCAGCCTAGAGAGAATGGACGCTGCAGCCTATTTCATACCATGACCAACACTGGGTGTGCCGAGGACTTGGTGGAATCATTATTCCAGTTAGATTAGGCCATCAGACGAATTCCGTTAATTATTATGCAATATCAGCCACTTTGCAGTAATCCCTCATGTGAAGTTGCCAGTACGTGTATTCAACAGACGGAGTAATTGGTACGCCTCGACACTACAGGCATGTACCGCCATCTCTGGCGCGTGGCAGATCTGTCGTTACCACATCACCTGGTAATAGTACCCCGTGATACCTACTATGGCTACTATGGAGGATTACTACCTATACTAAGCCCGTGGGAACCGCAAGCCTGGGTTTTGCTGCTCTGACCCCACATAGGGGCTCTAAACCTCAAACATGGCCCGGGTTCATACGAGCAGAATTGGGATTGGTAGCAATTTCGTTTCCATCTCTGATTTCCGCGGTCAGAGCTAGCTCGGTCAGGTTCCACGGGAGCTGTAGTGGTATCATTCGTTGGCCAGGCTGGTTTTGGGTAGTATTACCTTTGATGGTTACGTTGCCATGAGGTTGCCATGAGGCTGCCATGAGGTCCCAAGGTGAGGAGGGGAGATTTGCCAGAATGGCGGGGGACTTGGGCAAAAGTAATCCCGCGTTGGGATATACTTGTATTGAGTGTGTTGAGCGAGCCAACGCAGCCATGCATGAAGTTGATATTAGTACCTACTCTACAGAGAGTGGAGGATCCGGGATACTGTCACATGTAAGCAGCAGGATGCAGACTGCGTGATCTCTTGCCCAGAGTGGACTGAAGAGTAGAATCAACGAGATGAGATGCACAACCCCAGATATTCAAGACGCAAGACACCGTACGAGTGTCTTGCAGTGCAATTTCCCAGAACCCTTCCTGACACATTCCATATGGCGGCGGCAGGCTTTTAATAACACATGAGAGGAATAGCATCCGTGCTTCTATTTTTGGACAGCGGCTGCGTGCAGGGGTTGGTCCACGCCAGACGCTGATTGGGAGAAGCCTAAGCGTCGTTCGTTTCAGGTTATGCGCGTGCCTGCAGGCCAATCATAGAGCTACAAAAGGACTGCGATGGGGGGGGGGCAAGTTTCGAGCGAACCAGATTTCATGAGTCTGCCTCCAAGCAAGGCAGTTGGTACTGCCCAAGTACAGCCTTTGTACTGCTGGAAGCGCTCTCATGGGTACCAAGTACACATGCATTCATGTACCATATGCTTGGTCCTAGGTATATAATTCATGTCCCGTGCTCCGTGGAGATTTATGAGATACTCCTCTTCTACAGGATTTCGTCATAGAACCCAAGTCATGAAATTTCTGCTCGGTGTGAGCAATCCATGCATCAATTAGAAAAACAGAAAAGGAAAGAGTCATGGCAGTGCTCATGTCCATACCATTCAAAGCTTGGAGTTGATCGAGGGCCATATTACCTAATACAAATATCGAGCTAAGATATCAACCCGTGATTTACCCGCAGGTCGCCTATAGCTCCACCGCCAACTTTTCCTTTCACTCCACGACTTTCTAAAGCTTCAATATTGCTTTATGCTTGAGCGAAATTAAAGAGCCCCGGCGCCGCACAGCCAGCACCCGCCAATGGCTGATACTGGATGATTGCGTACAGATACATGTCACGCTTATCAAAGGTAGGAAATGAATAATGAAACACCCGTGAACCCCTTCTATGATGAATCCTTTATTGGAGCTGTCTGAGCAATTGCGCTCTGATGAAAAATCTTTTTTACTTAATATACGATTCAAACTGATGAAGAATTCTGCACTTTTCAATCGCGTTACCACTGGAAGTTCCAACAATTTGCTAACGCCAGCCGATTTGAAACAGACTTGACTCACTGCCTTGAGCTGAATAATGCAACATCTTGTTTCGTGTAGCAATCGCGTAACCTCTTGCCCTGGATAATTACTCAGTATGGAGACTGCGAATGGTACGACAGCGGAGCTGAATGGCTCGACACAAAATGAGAATGGAGAGTACAAGCTCAGATTCTGCACTGTCTGCGCAAGCAACAACAACAGGTCCGTCTCAATGGCAGATGATCCCTTATGCGTTCTTCCTAATATGAATCCAGATCCATGGAAGCTCATCTCCGACTCTCGCAAGCCAATTACCCTGTAATCTCCTTTGGCACCGGCTCTCTCGTCCGGCTACCGGGCCCGACAATCACCCAGCCAAACGTGTATCAGTTCAACAAGACATCGTACGATAGCATGTACAAAGAATTAGAGGCCAAAGACTCTAGACTGTATCGGAACAATGGCATTCTGAACATGCTAGGAAGAAATAGAGGCGTTAAATGGGGTCCTGAGCGTTGGCAAGATTGGCCCGTCGGGGTTCCAAGACTGCAACACTCCAGTGACAAGGGCAGCGAGGGCGTGGAAGGCGGTGTCGTGGACGTAGTTTTCACCTGTGAAGAGCGGTGCTGGGATGCCGTCATTGACGATCTTCTAAACCGTGGCTCTCCGTTGAATCGCCCGGTACATGTGATCAACATTGACATCAAAGATAACCACGAGGAGGCTGCCGTCGGTGGGCAGGGCATCCTCGATCTTGCCAACTCTCTCAATGCTGCTGCCGAAGAGGAGCGAGGCGCGATAGGCCCGGCCGCTTTTGACAGCGGGAGTGCGTCTGCTCGAGCGAGCTTTGACGAGCGAGTTCCAGAGATTATTGGCGCCTGGCAAGAACGCTGGCCTAATCTACCATCGACCTGGACTCTGGCGTGGTTTTAATGGAGAGATGGGTCAGGCAAATCTCGCTACATCATCTTTGTTTTTGTTTTTCATGGCGACTATGAGCGCTTTAGATTTGGCGTGGCGTTTTGGCGACCTAGCAGGAAGTGATTGGGCTCGTTTCTTGTTTACTGGGTGCATGGGAACGCGCATAATAATATCATGTCAAGCACATGACGGCCCTGCGAATTCTTGATGACTATTATATTAATCAGATGGCCATGGGACAAAGTCTCGTCCCTACATTTTTTGAGTTTTCCGCTGTAGAAATCAAATATTATACAGTAGTAGAAGTTTCTTACCGGTTATAAACACACTGCGAAGAATTAGGTGCTGTGCTGTGCTTGGCTTTGTCTGTTTCGCGCATGCCCTAACGCAAGAAATGTGGCGTTCCTCCATGGAGCCGAACGAAACCTCGTATATGCATCAACCCGCGCCTAGCCCAGGCGGCCTGCAGCCTTGATAGATTGCCGGCATCTAGTCTGCCAATCGACTGAGTTGAGTTCCGGACTACTCCAATGCAAGATCTCCAATAACATGATCCAGATTGGCTTTGGTGAGATGAGATGAGTACTAGATAACGGGACGGGAATCTTACATTGTTGGTTTCGGGAAGCACCCGAAGAGTGGGTAACAGGAGAAGATGGTGGGAGGAGACTGGAATGAGACGCTCGTGGTATGGTTCATATATTGCATCGTAATTCTTTATTTTTTACTAGTATATATATATAGTCTGTGATTATTGGTTTCAAGTTTGATGAAAATTAAACATTCACAGCTTCTTTGTTGTTCTGCTCTGTCTGGGGTACCAACGCGCTATTCTCTGAGCCTACGTGCAAACTCTTTTCCTGGCAATGCAGGGAATACTGATCATCAATGTGTTTGGCAGATTGCGCAATGGCGCTCAAAAATGCTGATACTAGGTCATACTCGGGATAATTTTCATATTTGTGATAGGAGAGAACATCCAGTTAGAGAAACCACTCTTATCAGGTCTGAGATATAAGACGAAGCACTATCACCGTCGCATCGTCTCACAGCGCTTGACTGATATGAGCAAATGACAATACCCGGTCAGTTATTGCAGAGTAGCATCAGCATCAGCCGAAAGCACTAGCACCAGACGCTATCGTCATGGATGGTCATGGCAGCTGGATTGGCTGCAGCGAAGCATGGGTCTATACATATTACATGTAATCTGCGGAATTGCCATCGATGCAAGATTAGCTGAGAGCTTTGAGGGACGGACTGGATTGTTCACGGACTTGCACGACTGCCACCAAACAACTTCCCGTTGTTGAAGCTTTACCATTTGCGTGTCAAATACGAGCACAGTAGCATAAGAAGCGCTATATATAGATCAGAGCAAACTCCCCGTGAACCTCAATTCCATGCCTCTATACCGGGGAGCATCTGATGTTAATCACCGAAACTTGGCTGCCTTGTATCGGATTCTGGTGAAGACATAGCCCCTGGCTGGCGGACCACGGGCGTACGAAGTTATCAGGATGGAAAGAGAAAGATGGAGTAGATTTAGAATCAATTATGTTTTGCTACGGGCCGACGGCGCTCTTAGGCCTTGTCCTGGTTGCTACCTTTTGTCCAAGGACTCTCATCAAATTTGTCGAGATAATATATTCGATAGATTATGTACTTGTATAGATGGATGATACGTAGGGCACAAGTACAATAGCCCAGCTATTTTACGTGATGTTCGAAAATTGAAATCGAAATACAAAAACAAAAGAAAAGAAAAGAAAAAGTATTAATATCTCAGTTGCAAGCATTCTGGAGGCCTCGTTCCTGGATCATGAACCGCACTGCAATAGCCCCCCAAAAGCGCCACAATGGGCCCCGATCCATACCTAGCGCTGGCGATTGCAGAGCAAATCAGGACCCAGCGAGACCGCAATTCAGGGGAACATGCCCACCCCCAGCTCTAACCGAAGGGCTACTCCAATGGCGCCAACGCCACGAGGCAAGGCACGGAAGACTCGCATCTGGCTTTGCTCAAGGGACTCCTGCTGTGTTCTGGGGGCCACAACTCGGCACACGAAACAACTGAAATTAATGATGTAGGTATTTGAAAAAACAAGAAGATAAAAAGAGGTGCGAAAGAGGACTAGGTAGTAGAGTGGATGGATATGGCCGTTTGTCTTGCGATACTACTATGCCGTGGTTAAGTGCCATGTGGTGCTAGTCAGAAGCGCTATTATATGCACAATTGCACACCGACGATTGGGGATCGGTGGAGAGCGACTATTCTCACGACCCAGCAGCCAGCCAGTGATGATTCGTAGCAGCCCAAAAGGCCGTCCAACTTGGTATAGAACTTGTACATGTTTACAGCAAGGTACATATACAGTAAGCAAATGGTGAAAACTTGCAATCCGTACAGCTGCTAATTGTATTGGCTCTTCCCCCCTGGCCTTGTCCAGTCTGCTGCTGATGCTGTACTTCGCATGTGCTAGGCCCAGGTACTCCGTCCTTTAAATTACCACCGCCACTGCTGCTAGCAGGGCCGTTCCTTTGATTGCTGGCCGCCGATCGATCTCTGCTGTTGCGTCAGCCCTCCAAGTCCTGCCTTTTTCTGCAGCGGCGCTTCTCCCTTCTATTGACTGCGTTCCTTTCTTGAATCTCCCTCCTTCCCTTTCCAACCCTTGTTCAACTCGACTAGTACACCTTTTTGATTTTCACAGTCCCATCCATCATCTCTCTTTTTGAGGGTGAGCATTGCGGAAAGTACACGCTACCTGCTAGCATTGACTGTCTCCCGCGCCAAGCTCCATCTCCCTCTCTCTGTACTCCGTCCTTGTTGCCTTCCCAACCCCGACGGGGCGCTGTCTGGAAGAAATTGCACTCGACTCTGATTTACCAACAAGGGAATAGCAGCTCATTTCCGACCTGCGCCAGATCTGTCCAGAGAAGCTCCAAAGCCCCCCCCTTTTGATTCACCCCGGACGAGTGGACAATCAGCCCTTTCGATTCGAGCTGGCGCATCCCTGCCTTGCCGTTTCAAGCGCCGTCGCGAACTTTGCTTCCTCCCGGGTCTTGCGCCACGCCGGTCCCTTGGACCCAGCAGATACTTGCACACGAGCCCTGCCGGCGCCTGTCTGTCGAGTACTTACTAGGCCGCGTGTACCGCACGGCTCGTCCCAAGCAGGTTTCTTCCTGGCAGCAGCAGTCCCGAGGAGGGACTCACAGGGCTTTGCGGCTCTCAAAAACTGCCGGTGCACCAGCTGGCCCATCCGCCCTTTTAGCGACGTCGACCTCGTGGGAACGCCCAGTCCACGGCTTTCTGGACCCTCCCTCATTCCTGACTGTGCTCGGCGGCTGGTCCATTTGCCAACTCAAGTGTACTGTAGTCCTCGAGCTTCTTGCCTGTTTGTCATCCCCAACGGCAGCACAGCTTTCAGCTTTTTCTCATTGATCCCAACAACGCCCATCCATCCCAGCGTGCCCAGCCTGCTACTGGATAGCAGCACTCAGCATCGGTCGAGGGGTGCCACACTGTGGGGAACGGGCCTTTTTAGCACCAGGACAGGCGTCGTTGTCGCCGTGGCTTTGGGACTGGTTCTCGGTGGCGTCTGTTTGGCACGACACTACGCTCGCACAGTACTTGGACTCGGCAGGCACACAGACACAAACCGCCAAAGCCTCTCCATCGTGTGGCGTCTAAGCTAGCCGCTTTCCTTCCTCCTCCTACTCTCCTCCTGTTTCCTCCCACCATGAGCACCATCAGCGATCGCAATGCGCCGCTCTCTCCCGTGTCTGTAGGCGGCAGCGAATGGTCATTCTCCCGATATCAGGCCCCCGACGACGGATCCCTTCCTCCTCGCGGGAACCTCGTGTCGCCTCCCAACTCTGGAGGTTCCCCTGGGATCATGAGCATGAATGGCTTCCCCCCGGGGCCTACGAATACCGGCGGCCCGTCACCACCGCCCTCTGTGGGCCGATCCAGCAATGGCATGAACATGTACGCGCGGAGCGAGGCTGGAGGCGACAACTCGCCCGTTGCCCCGATAGACGAGAACGTCCTCGGCGAACACTATGTTGCTCTGCGGGCTTTCCTGCAGCAGCGCGATCCTAATTCCAAGCAGCAGCCCAACAAGGCCCGCGACAAGCTGCTGCGGCTCTCTCCCGTGCAGTTCTTCGAGTTGAGTACGGACGTCTACGATGAGCTGGTGCGTCGCCAGACAGCAGCACGCATTCCTCCCAATGCGCCAAACATGCCACCGGGCTTCCTGCTGCCAGAGAAGACCTTCCACCCGAAGCGAAACCAGGCTCGCCAGAGATTGTCATCACTCGGCCCTCCTCGATTTAGGGATCTTGCGGCCGATGTGTTTCACGAGCTGGAGCGCAGGTTTCCGCATTTCGTGGGCGGCGACATCCCCCGTCTCGGCAGCTCCATGTCCAACAGAGGCGGCCCAATGAATCGCACAGGGACTCCCGTCAATGGCGGCGACTACCCGCCGAGGGCACAGAGCCGCGTCCGAAGACCATCAAACGCCAGCTCCATCAGAGGACCGCCGCCGCTTGATGCGTACGGCGTGCCTCCATCGCCCAGCATCCCCAATGGCAACTACGCTCGACCAATGCCGCGGCACCCTACTCAGAATAACACCATTGTCCCTAACAAGAGCACTATGATTGAAGAGGATGACGATGGTTCTGATGCTTATGGAGCTGGGGATGGAGAAAATGGAGCAACAGCAGAGGTATGGCTTGTGTTTGTTTTCTTCTTCTTAATTTGTTCATGGTGTGGCTAATTTCAATCTCGCGAATAGGCGGATAAGAAAGTAATTGAAGACTACGAGGCAAAGGTGAGGGATTTGGCTGCCAGGCTCACAAGCATGGAAGACGCAATGAAGAAGAAGGAAGAGGAAATGAACAGTTTGCGAGACAACCATCAGTCACAAGCTACAGTCACAGATGAAGAGAAACAGCAGTGGGCGGATCTCCGCTCAAGCCTCGAGAGTAAACTAACAGAAGCGGAGAGTATGAGCAGCTCACTGAAGCAAGAACTGGAGCGTGTGCGCGAGGATCACGAGCAAGAAACAAAGCAGCTCCGAGAACAGGTACGGCAGAGCATGAGCCAGATGTCCTCTACAAGCATACATGAGGATTTACAACGAGAAAATGACGAATTGCGACACTCGCTGCAGCAGCAGCAGCAAGTGACGGAAGAGGCGCGAGCCGAGGCCCAAGAGTTTTTGCGCGAGATACGACAGCTTTCTCTGCAAAGCGGTTCAAAATACGAAAGACAGGCAGAGCTTGAAAAAACGATTGCGCAGCTGGAGCACGAGGTTAGCGAATGGAGGAATCGCTATGCGAAAACCAAGACCCAGATCAGAAGCCTTCGAGGCTCTTCCGCTGGATTCAGCGTAGACGGGGAATCCACGAAGCTACCAAGCGACAACACCTTGCTGGATGAGCGTGGACAGGTCAGTGATGTCCACGTCACCAAGTACCAGATGGCCATCGACGAGCTTTTGCAAAAGGTTCGTGAAGAGAGCCCGGAGACTGTCATAGATGCCATGAAAGGGGTTGTGGTTAGCGTCCGGCGAATTACGAGAGACCTGGACGAAGCCGCACCACGCGGCAGCGAGGCGGCCCTGCAGCATGGAAAGCTCAGGGCAAGGATTTCTGCGACTGCAAACAATCTGATAACCGTCTCCAAGAGCTTTGCAGCCAGCTCCGGCATCACACCAATCGCTCTAGTCGACGCTGCAGCGTCTCATCTCACAGTCGCTATTGTTGACATGCTTCGGGCTGTGAAAATCAGACCAACTCCTCTTGAAGAGTTGGAAGACGAGGATGATGGAACTGCAACCCCCATCGACTCCTCCGGTTTCTTTTCCCCACGCAGTGTTGCTCGAGGATCAACAACCCAGGATGGCCTGCCTCCGGCTCCTGCTTTCAAAAGCCTTGCCAGTATCAGGGCGAGCATCGAGTCTTCGGCCTATAGCCCTGTAAACTCCCCTCGAGAATCGATGGCTCCATATGCAAAGGGGGTGCCCAATGGACACAGTGATGAGCATAACGACGGCCAGATCGAAGGTCTCCAGGTACGGGCTTAAAGCGACAATTCGCAATCTCGTATTACGGCATGACTGACGATGGTTCAGATCTTTCTTGAGGATCAAAACGCACTGTTACTATCCGACGTCCATAATCTTGTCGAATGTATTCGCGCCAACGGAAATATTCGCCAAATCTCCATGGAAGTCGACTCCATTAACGATATCGTTAGCAACCTTGTCTCGGAGACCCAGAGCAGCGGTCGTGGTAATATGGTGATTCGTCTGGGCAAATGCCGAGACCACCTTCTCGAAGCAAAACATCGTGGACAAGAATTAGCAGATTCAGGAGCCCAAGAACAAGAATGGGGTATCTGGACCCAGACATTACCACCCATTGCTTTCGAGGTTGCTCAAGAGGCCAAGGAGCTTGTTGATGCCATAGGAGAGCTGGTAGCATCATCACGAGATGCAGATGACTTTTCATGAGATTGAACAAAGTGTCATTAATCATTAATTCAAATAACTCCTTTTTTGAGGGAAGTGAGGCAAGAAGGGGATTTGATGGACTGCCTATGGGTATTGGTCGAGTTCTTCAACGGTGCTACACTACCTTACCTACCTAGTCGCTTCTATTTTCAGACCATGATGGCAGTCGTCCCTTTCTTCCGCTTTTCTTCTCTCCTTCTTTTTTGCTTCTTTCCTCTTTTTCTTGTCTTTTTTCTCTTAGGGGGCTGGGCAGGAGTCTCAATACCCCTTGTGTATATTTTTCTTGACAGCAAAGCTTTGTTTGTTGTTTGCTTTTACTCCACATGATATGACTGGCTTTTTTTGGCCTGGTTACCGGGATGCGGGAAAGAATGGCCTGACGAATTTATGCAGTCGGGCGAAATAAATGTGCTGGTTGGCTTTTGGGCGACGTGAGAAGGCATCGCCAGTAAACGACGGGTACTCTAGGTGGACAGGGTGGACAAAGCACTGTTTGTGAGCGATGAAGGGTTAGCTTCTGGTCTATAGAGAGAGATGAATAAATTAACACGGCGCATGAGACGCTGTTTTTTTCCCTCCTAGATTATATGTTTTGGTTTTTGTCTCCTGGTATGTGTGCTGTCGAATTGGGTCGACGTGTGGGATATTTCTGACTAATTTCATGTAAAGTCTAGTACGCGCCTGTTGACAATAGCTACATGCACTTGTTCTATCCATACCGCCTGGCGGGTTCACTGGTGGAAAATCAATAATAATCTGATCGAAGACGGCAAAGCTGCCATATGTGACAGTTGTGGTGGCTGAAATCACATCTACTGGGATCCAACCTACCAGACCCCGGACGGCTCCCCCGCATCACCAAGACGAGAGCGATCGCATATCCCGGAAGGGCAACTGATCCCTGCTCCCGCGGCTGGAGTGATGAACGCAGCCAGCATTGGGTCGATGCGATCTGCGCCCGCCAAGAGCCAAGAGGGCAGCAAAAGACACAAATCAAGGTGCACTGAGGCGCGACGAAGACACTGCCTGACTGCATGTGCTCACCACAATGTTCTCTACTAAGCACTCTACTAAACCGCTAAAGTACAGGCATCCTGGGCTGCTCAACCAACATGCAGTAAACCTGCACCGCTAGGCCTATTGGGTGCCCCCCCAGTGGCTCGAGCGAGTTTCCGGATTCGGCTCCAGGCGTTTTTGTCTCCAGTCAGCCAGATATGCGCCTCTTGCGCGCGCGACTAGTGATGCAAATGCGCATGATCTCGCTCGCTTTGGATCTTTGTGTGACGTATGTCAACGCACGATGGACGATTCCCTGGCCCCCTTTTGTCCAGATTGGGGAGAGGCCGCATTATACGCACGACTCAGTTGGTTTCCAGGCAGCGTGCAGGACGAACTCGGAGGCTTTTGCACACTTTCTTTACGCAAGACAGGACAAGAAAGAAGATGGAATACAATGAAAATAATATTGATTTTTCGTTTGAGCGAAAGAAAGAAAAATCTACCAGCTGAACAAGCCAGTGTCCTCTAGCACCGCAACCAAAGGAAAACGAAAACGCCCCCCAAAGGCTGCTGTTGCCACCACCACCTTTCCCTCCCTCTTCACTGCTACAACATTGCATGTACCTCGACTTTTTTTGCCTTTCCCTCTTCCTCCCTCTCCAACTTGTCTTTCCCATGTACTCCTATACTTCTCCTTTAGCCCGCATGCACGCCCGTCTTTTCGAGGCCGGCCTGGTAGCAGGTACCCGAAACTAGCTCCAACGCAACGGAGAGGCCGAAAATTTTGCGATTCAGGTCTCGTCGAACGTTTCTGGCCTGTCCTTTTGTTCTTTTTGTTTCGATCAATGGTTATTTCCTTGGAGGGCTCTTTTGCTTCTTTTTTTTAAAAAAAAACAAAAACAAGCCAGGCTTCAGCTTTCTGCTCTCCGGTTTTTTTTTTTCTCTCGCTCGGTCCTTGAAGCCATAGGGCTTGACGCCTCGTCCGATTGCCGGTCTCGTTTCTACTTATTTTTCCTTGCCGCTGTTGTTTGTTGCACGCAGCAGCCCTGCCGCTTTTTCTGCTGGGTCGCATAGCTTCGCCTTTGACGGCCGCCTCGTTTCAGCCCTGCATTTGGACCAAAGACGGGCATCTCCTTTTAACTCGTGAATTAATTTTCCTTTTATATTTTTTTTTTGGTAAAGAGAGAAAAGGAAGCCTTGGACGACAAGGACGGCCAACAGCATCAACAAAGCGGCCAAGCTCCAGCGCTACCTACCTACTCTCTAGGCGGCCCTTTCAAATTCATACCTGTACCTACTATTACAGGCTCTCTCTGCGTTACCACCCACCAGGCCCACGGAGAGTCCGAGGAACCCTGCCTGCATCTGCAGTCTGCTGGTACTATTTTGTTCCTATTTTCCTATACACTTGCAGCGGCCTTCGGGGGTTGACCCGGTGGGTACATTGCGCAATTCTAGACGCTGTTCGATGGAGGCCAAGCCTCGCTACGAGGCCAGCGATACGGCCCGCGACACCACCGACGTGCCCCTTGGCGCGCAAGGCCGCCTGGAGGAGAGCCCTGCGGATATGGACGCCCCTCAGTTGTTGCTTTCGTCCCTGTCATGTGCGCCTCTTGAGGGGGGCTCTGGGCCCATTGAGGCCGTCGCAGGAGAGGGCCTGGCAAGCGAGCAGAGCTCAAATACGGAGCCTGCCGCTCAGCAAGGACGGCAGGACTTACAAGGACGGCTTCCTGCATCGCTTAGCAGCAACAACAACGCCACGACGACAACAGATCTCGAGATTGCTTGCGAGCCTTTGAAAGCTGTAACCCTAACCCCCATCGAAATGTCCACGTCAGAACCAGTTGCCATAGAAGAGCCAGATCAGGCTGCGGAACCACAGTCGCAAGACGACGATTCAAAGGTCTCTGGCTCTCTCCATCCTGTGTCAGAAATAGGAGGGCTACCCGAGGAAGACCTTGAGCTAGTTAGGTTTGGCAGCTCTTCAGAAAACTATAGCTGCTCCATTACAGGGAGCAGTCGAGCCAGCTCGCCCTTGAGCGAGCCAGATACTCACGGTATTGCATATACCTACGATGGACCACCAGGCCATAGGATCTTACATCTCAGACCAACAGCCGAACAGTGGGAGGACTTTCCTGCTCTCCTGGCTTTTGCTCGGAACCTCCATGCCGAGGTCGACGGCTGCTTCAAGATAATACTTCCAGAAGAGCTTCAAGAGCCGCTTCCGGACAAGGACCCGCAGCATGTGACGGCCAATGCCTATCGAATAAGACAGATCAACCACAGGACATTCTGGCAGGTCAGCACAGTACCGAGCGAAGGCGCCTTTTCATCTTCAGAGCCAGAGGGCGAGCTGTCCGGGAGCGTTGACGACAAGTTCAAGAAGCTAAAGACGCTTTTCAACAAGAGCAAGGACAGGCAGATGCGCAACGTGCGTTACCGAGTCGACGTCCCCGCGTGGACAGCCAAACAGAGACGAGAAGCTGGCGTGCCGGAGAGAAGCCCCATCCACCCACTGGCCGGCGACAAACTGGACAAGACAAAGGCCATTATTCCCGGAATCCACACGCCGTATGTGTACGAATCAGCTCAGCACTTTGGTGCTACTTTCCAGCTCCACGCCGAAGACTTCCGCCTTTCCTCGTTGAACCATCTTTACAAAGGTCGCAAGATTTGGATCGTGGTCCCCGCCACAGCCGTCGACGTTGCCGAAGAAGCACTAAATCGAAAGGGCAAGTGTTCGCAGTTTATGCGACACCGCGCCGAGTTCTTCTTCCCGGAGAAGCTCCAGAAAATGGGCATCCCGCATCGGATCGTCGACCAGCGACCCGGCGAAACCATTGTCATCCTACCAGATGCCTACCACGAAGGCTTCAGCACGGGGTACACCTTGGCCGAGGCCAAGAATTACGCAGACTCGGACTGGACGGCGGATACGTATCAGCCGTGCCAGCCGAGCTGCCAGCTCATGACTGCTATACCGGCGGAATTCATGAGGCCGCTGCGAGAAGGGGAGGAGAGGCTCGATCTGTGCGCCGGCTATAAGGAGGTCGGCGGGGACGAGGCATCAAGAACTTTGGAACAGCAGCAGCAGCAGCAGCCAAAGGCAGAAGAGTTGCCTCACGCCGAGGTACAATCGTCAAGTCCTGCGCTAAAGCGACCAATCGAACATACCATTGCAGACGAGATTGTATTTAAACACCCCAGGCTCGATCAAGACCCTAAACTCTCTGTACATGCACATGTCTGATGGCCGCCATGAATTACCCTTTTTTTTTTTCTTCCTTTTTTTTTTCTTTTTTTTTGCATTTGGGACGTTTTTGAAAGCCTGTTTTTATTCCTGGACAAAAGGAGGAGTACCGTTGGAAGGGAACAATAAGTGACGATGTAATGCATGGATGAATGGGGGTTTTTCTGTTGATACCAGGAGTAAATCAGGGTGGCATATCTGGGTTTTTGTTTCCCCGCACGGGATTAGCAAAGAAACAAAGGAAGCCGTACTGGCGGAGTTTTTCTGTGGAATGGAAATAGAACTGAGGGTCGGAGCTGGGCGTTGGACTTTGATGGGAGAATCATGACTCTCCCCTCTTTTCATGTCTTTGACGTATGATTTTATCTTTCTATTGTATATTCCACGAAGAAACAAGAGTGGGCGTTGGGACACAGCTCATAAGAACATCAGTGCATGGCAAACAATCAATTTTTGCTCAATTGATCAATTCGTACTCGTTCAACTCCAACATCCTCTCTTCAAAATTGCATTAGTTTCGTGACAAAATTCAACTCGCATACTCTGTAGAGTGGTTATTATAGAACATTATTCCTCGTAGATTCATGTATCAATTACACTTCTCACAATCACCTGGATCATGATGGTTAATTTTCCTCTTTTCCATTCATCCATCATTTTTCTTTGATTTTAGTATCCTCCACGTCTCTCTTGATTCTGTCGAGCCATCTCGTCCCGGAAAGCATTTTTGTGACCGCCAGTGGTGCCCTGCTGTTCAAACGTCTCATTGATAGGAGTGCCGGCCAGGCTGCCCAGAGCCTCGCTATCGCGTCGACCAGCGATGGGCGCATCGTGATAATCTCCGTCTCTCAAGTGGCCATCCGCGTTGTGCAGCGGGACGCTATCCTTCCTCGAGTGGAAAATGTTTCGGCGAGCCTTGCGGCCGTTGTAGCCTCGGCGAGAGCGGCCCATGATGTTGCCGAGCTCGATGCGGCGGCTCTTGCGGTTCCACATAAAGAGGCCGACGACGATGAAGACGAAGCAGCCGAAAGCGAGAGGCAGAGCGATGGAGAGCGTGTGGCCCGTGGGAAGCTCGGTCTTTGAGTTCTGGGGTAAAGCGGGCTTTTCGAAAAGCACTGGGAGGGCAATGGAGCTGTTCTTGTCGTTGCTGCCCCGGGGAGCGCTCAGAAGTGTGATGGTGATGTTGTTGGTCTTCTCGCCCATGAGGTAATCCTTTTTGACTTTAAGCGGCCAGAACCCCCACGAGGCTGGCACCTTGTTGTCGTCGAAGCTCTCAAGCTTAACCCATTCATTGCTTGTCCTGTTGAGGTAGTCCAGACGGACGGTGATTTCATAAGTCGTGTTGGTCTTGAAGTTGGTCTTGTTGTAGTAGTCGGGATCCCAAGTAACTAGAATGATACAATTAGCAATTGTGCGTGGCAGACTCGAATGTGAGCTCCGGAGTCACATACTATAATAGGTGCTGCCTGTCAGAAGCGAGCTGTTTGTGTAGGGTGTGCAGAAGGGGGCGTCCTTGCCGTCCTTGTTGTAGCACCGCGAAAAGACTCCGTCATTGTTCTTGGATGTAGCGGTCGGGTTAGGCGGCTGGCCAGTGCTGGTTGTAATGACTCCCCAGCTCGTAAAGGTGTACACCGAGGCCGTGATATCGTGAGGCGCAACGTCGACCAGCGTGGGGGTTCCGCTGATGGTGGTGGCTTTCGGCGTGATGGTCTTGACGGGCGTGCCCTCGTCGCCGACGGTGACCCAAGCAGCGGTTGGATCGGCTCGAGGCTGGAGATGGGCGCGACGGTGGAGAGCCTCGAGGGCCTCGAGTTCGGGATACGGAGCAGCGGTGGGCATGGCCGCGGCCGGGCTGCAGAGAGCGGCCACGGCAGCTCCAAGAACCGCAATGGCATGCATCGTGGCTTGCCAATTGATGTTTTGTATCTCCTAGAATTCCAATGGTCTGGCCGACTGATTGATACTAGGACGCGTCCAAAGATGGCGTGGGGTGAGCTGTGGAATAGAGTTGATCGTTACGCGTATAGCATGGGAAAAAGAAGAGTAAAGAATGAAACGAAGGGGAGAGCTGGAGAGGAGGAGGAGGAAGATAAGATAACGTTGGACGGAGGGTACGAGAAAAAAGGAGAGGGAGGCATGCAAAGTTTCGTGCCCGCCAAGGCCTCTCCTCGACCACTGCTAGAGACAGCTACTCCGTATCTTGCTATGGAGTCTCTTCGCTAAGCTCATAAGGTTACATGTAGCTACAGGCGCATCCCGCAGGCACCGGTCCAAGCCTAATTGCCCAAACGGGAACAGCGAGGCTTTTTCTCGGCGCTCTAATTTGATGGTCCGCAAGCAGAAGACAAAAATGCCGCTGGACCTGCAGCCGCTTAGCGTTGGCTTGTTCAGTGGGGCAGGGAAAAGGGAGATGGGGATGTTTTCAAGCCTTGTTGCTCTCTTGCAACATGCGGTGTGGGAATATTATCAGGTGCAGGATATCAATCTTCAAGTTCCCTTTTGTACCTCGAAATGCCGAAATTGCTTATCCAAGGCAGCAATGGAGATGCACGACACGGGAGTAACGTAGAATTGCGTCTGTACGAGCACCTGCATTAGTTTAAGGGGGGCAGTAAGCGAACGCCACTTCGTAACGAGAAGGGGGATAAACAAACTGACCAGCTTGCTGCACATCAATGCCATGCCAAGTCCCAGAGTAGCATGTGGTTTTTCCAACATGATGCACAGAAGCATCCGCCAATCAGTGGCTGTTCACCGCTTCGTTGTCGTCTCTTTGGTGATGTCATGTACAAGATGACGGTGATGTACAGCCAGGTTCATCCCAATGGTCTACACTGTTGCAGCGCTTTCTGTGCAACTTTCACTGACTGCTATGTATGCCTCTATAACATCAATAGTGATGTTGATGAGATTTTTTTGATTTTTTTTTTTTTAATTCAACTCCATACGGTGGCGGATGTTAGCAATAGTCGCGAAAGTACAATCAGCAATGGCCTCATGCATTTGTACGTTGGTAACAGTGACAGTAGCAAAAAACATAACAGTCATAAATAATCAGGCTCGCCATGGCCTCTTTTTCGCACAATTACCGTAGATGTTGTGCACACCGGATCCTATAGAATCACAAATTGGCAAATGGAAATACAGATTATAGCTCGAACATGTCCATTGGTATCAATTTCTAGCAGTATCACCACCCATACTATGCATCATCATTCCCCCGTGTCATATATTACACATAATTTCGAGCCCATCGTCAGGCATCAAGTCAGCCCCGTTGAATCTCCCATTGAATATCCCTGGCGTGCCAAAGCCCACATCTCGACATCATTCTCGAGTAGCTGGCTGAGTTCTATGGCGTCACCGTGCGAATGGGCATTCCATCGTCGTGAAACTCAAAGGCTTTGCCTCTGCGTCTGCCTCCTTCAACACTGCCCTTGATATCAATCGCTCCGTTGTATCTGTTAAAGAGCGTAATCTCTTCTTCTTCGTCGTCTTCTTCTTCCGAATCGGAAATAAAGTCATCGTCCTCGCTGTCCTCAAAAACTTGGCTGTCCATGGATGCAGCAACACTATTGCCACTTGAATCCTCTGTAGTAATATATTCATCACGCCAGTGTACGCGATCGGCTCTGGGCGAAGCATCATTCTTTTTATATAGTTTCAGCGTTAGCTATCACGTTTCTTCTATTTCATCATGGGTGATTCTAGGTAAACTTACGCCGTTCTGTGTAGGGTCTGAAGCAGGAAGATTCAAGAAGGACTGGCGTCTCTCGCTGAATCTCACCACAGGCAGCTTCCTAAAGTATTTGGCTGCAAACTCTGCCTTTCTGGCCTTGTCCTTTGCTTCCCACTCGGCGCGAGCCTTGGCTAGTGCAGCCGCTTTCTCGGCTTCAACTTTGGCGCGCTCTTCAAAGAGTTTCTTAGCAATCGCCGTGCTCTTACAATCTTCAACAGGGCACTCGTAGGGCGTCATCTGGCGTCTGAGCCGCTGTCGGTTCTCTTCGGGGAACATTTCGCATTCAGAAGGATGTTGCGATGGCTGGCCCACAGCGCATCCCTTCTCCAGGAGAATCCTGTTATCGCGACAGCGATCCCAGGAGTAGTGTTCCCAGTAACCGCAGTATCTGCATCTGATAATGTATTGCAGGCACATTTTGTTTTCCTGTGAGCAAAATAACAAATATCTTTAGTCGCAGTAGTTCTTTTCTCTTTTTTTGATATAGGATGTCTTTGAATGAGGGAACAACGCTGTATAGCGGACAAGGTGTGGAGGGGAGAAGAGGAGGAATTCTGGCAAGTGCTGCAATAGAAGCTTGAAACTCAACTCTTGGCATCGTGGCAGATCAAACTGCAAGGTGAATTCTTAGTGATCAGTTACTGGGTAAAATAGCACGTCTGGCAGTGCTCTGTGCTGGAAAAAAATAATCAGCCCAGGGACTGTCATGGCCTGATGGAAGGGCTCCGGTGGCTATTGGCAGATGTCAAGGCGCTGTAGATGGTAGTAGACAGACAATCGATAGTACAAGTCACATTTTCTTCACTTCTGGAATTTTATGCGAGAACTTTGGTCAACGACAAGCGGCAGAAGCAGCTATTAAATATTGCACGGGTGGATGGGACGAACTTGCCTGCCTCGATGCACCTGGCAGTCAATCACTATCAATGACTGCATATGAAAGTTCTTGGACTCAAGGATAGAGAAAGTTACAGAAAAAAAAGGAAGTTCGGCTGGTTTGTGTCTACGATTCAATGCAGTGGCAGCGTTGTGAAGTTGCAGCCTATCAGTCATTGACTTGTCTAGTGTATGTCTCTTCTAAAGATCAAGCACCTATTCGAGCTTCTCAAAAATCGTCTAGTAAACAATGCTCAAACTTCAAGTCGTATCCATAGAAACATACGGGTATACGGGGCTACTTTATATACGAATTAATGGTGGAAAGCCTAATACAAAGGGGGCTTGTTTCTCTACTCTTACAGCCTCCCTTGTTTTAATGTTCAGCATTCATCTACAAACTTCACAAGCTTCAGCTATTGTTGGGCGCTTCATGGCTCAGTTTGTGTCTAGAACACTCTGGCTATGCAAAGCACAGGCGCAGTCCCAATTTTAGCCCGATCTTGGTACGATCTCGGCATTGAATGGAGGATCACGCTAGAACACATGGACGAACTCCCTGTAGATAAGAACACCGGATCGGATGCAGCACACAGACAGAGAAGCCATTCAGCAGCACATACACCCAATATGATGTCGATTCATTTGTAAGCAGTGTGGAGATCAGATGCGTGCATGAAAAAAGGTTGGCGCGATGGCTCTCGGCTGGTGCCGCAGCCAAACGACTAATGCTCCCGCATCGAGAGCATTAAACGCAGCGATATACTAAACATGGAAAAGACTAGGCCGCGTTTCGAAGATGGGCGCAAGGTATCATCGGATCGGGCTCCACTAGCTGTCAAATAGCGGCGCCTATCGAAAAACCACTGGATGTCTTTTTTGTTTCAGTGTCCGGACTCCCCATCCCAATCCCGAAAATCCAAATCAAGGCGTCGTGTGAGGAAGGACATGTCTGATTTATCAGCTCTGGGATCATTCTATAACAAGTAAGCTGAAGAGCGAAACTTGGAATACCTAGCCATGTTTGTTATCTATCCCCCTGCCTCTTTTCTCCTTTTTTCCCACCACCAGGTTGCCACAATGCCACAGCGATACGGGAAGTGCGGGAAGTAAGATTATAATTCTCAATTTTCATGGATTGTGCGTCGAAATGGACATATTTGTGCGCAGAACTGGGTCCTAGCCTCATCTTCCGCGCCCAGCCACCTACAAACGTGACCCCCATTGATACTACCTACTCGAGAGCGATATAGTACTAATTCCAAGCCGACTAACATGCAGCACTATCCGTCACTGATACGTATTTATAGTAGCTGCGGAGCTGGGAACCCATATGTCAGCTCTGACGAAAGGGCATCAGGCCAAATTGCTTCCTCGCAGGCGGCACAGGTAGAAACAGTCGAGCCTGGTTATGCCGACTGAAGCCTCGTCCCCGCATTGCTATGCAGAGCCATCCTTTTGCTCAGGCTCGGATGTACGGTGCTCCCTCCCTAGCTGGCTGATCGTCCGTCCATCCTTGCAAATCACACAGACATGGGCTTCGGTGCCTCGTGCGGTCGCCTTGCGTCAGCCAACGCTCGTAAATCTGACCGAGGGATGTGAGAGTCTGCGTCTGATACAGGAAGTAGCGAATTGCGAGCAGTAAGCATGTGCCGAGGCAGATGGGCGTAGCTGGAACTTGTCTTTCCAATTCTGGCACCGATGCCGTCGTGGAGCAGCCAGTCAAGGCAAACGGCCGCTGTGACGGCCGGGCCTTGATCAGGCTCTGGCAGAACAAGCATGGCCCGGCTAGCAAAGGCTGCGTGGTGGACGAGTCCGGAGTGTGTGGTTGGGCTGAGCACAGAATGTCCAAATAGGAAATCAAACATGTAGGGCGCCACTCCCGCAATGAGACCCCGGTAGATGGAGGATTGAAGGAAACCGGGGAGTTTAGATATGGAACCAGGGCCTGCAGCCGCACGTTCACGCCGCAGGTCGAGGCTTGACTGGTCCCTTGTACTCCTCCTTTCCTCTCATATTCTTTGTTTTGGTCACTTTTTTTCTTTTCTTTTTTTTTTTCTTTCCTTGTTTTTTTCCTTTTCTTTCCTTCTTCTTCTTCTTTCAATCTATTTCTTTCATGATTATATAGCACGAGTAAGCAGCATTCTTTTTTCTTGCTTCTTCGCTTTCTCTGACAGCAACTCTCCCAGCACAGAGCATATGATGATACATGCATGCGGCCAGCCCGAAACCCTGGCAACCAGGCTGCACGCACCTGCCTTTAGCCATCAGACCAGACGAACTCGCATTTCTTCTTTCTTTTGCCCAATGCCTCTAGAGACGCATTGCTTCGGCATCGTTGCCTCCTCCTACGACCACTCACAAGATGTGAGGTTCGGCTCATTTTTGAAAGGGAAACAGCCGCGCAGGCTTGTGACTTGGTCGATGCAATACGGAATATAATGCGTCGTGCTAGCCAGGGCCTTTTCCGGGGTGCTGCTTGGCTGCATATTGACGAGCCAACCGAAGGCCAAGATTCGAAGAGGGGATATCCAAGACGATGCACGGGGACGGGACAGTCCCCCTCCCATGAAACCAGTGATTCGACCTATAAGGTAGGTATTATTCGTTCGTTTGTTCGTTCACTCATTACCATTCGTATATATGTGTACCAATGCCTATTGCCTATGCCTATGCCTATTCCCGTCCCTATTCACATACCAACACAACGCCAACATGGAAGCTGATCTCGGCCGACATGGCCAATTATTAGGCCAAACAGTGCCATCTTTCCTCCTCATTACCTGCCACTCAAGCCTCGCTCAGCTTTGGACGCCCATCTTCTCCCGCCAATCTCGTGCCGCTTGGGCAATCTGCAAGGCCGCAGCCTCGATCCGCCGTGCTCGCTCCGGAAGACTGTGGTCTCGTCGCGTTCCAGAGGGCCTCTTGAGCTGGGCAATCAGCTCGAGCACAGCCATGTGATCCACAACCTTGTCTGGGTCTCTCATGCTCTCGCCGCCCCGATCTCTGCTCCCTGACACTGGCGTCATTCTCCCAGACACGTTGCAGCCGTGCTCGACTCCGTCATAGAGACAGTTGCTACATGGTCCCGTCACGCCAGGCGCCTGGCCCATTCCTTCAGGGGCCACAACGCATTGAGGAGAGATGCCCTGTCCCGCTCGGCAGCGGCCACAGCGCCGATTGCTGGTGCGTTGCTCAACCCCCCTCTCGTACATCATGATTGCCTCGGCCACTCGAACTTCGCCAAATGCAGGCTCTCCTCGCCATCGCCATCTCCCCCATCTGCGCACAGTGGGAAGTGGGCTCAGAGCCTCGATAAGATACGACCAGGGTCGTACGGATGGCGGCACCGACACGTCGTCAAAGACGCATAGGGCATGCATTTCTCTCATAGCCAGATCTTCCGTTTCGCTTGGGTGGTCGCTGGCGTGCCGCTCCAAGCCTCCAGGCCACCCTTGTATTGAGGGGCCCTGATCGGCATCGTTGTCGCTCTCTTCAGCGTCATATTCCATCTCTAGCTGGATCTGGTGCATGGAACGACCAGCTATGACGGCTGCAGGGTTTGGCATTGCTGGCATTGGGTTGTCGAGGACAAGCGGCGGTAATTTCAATGCAGGGTCGCGGGCTTGGACCTGGATATCAGGAGCCTCTATCGCCATTGTTGTTGATGATGATGATCCTGGCCCTTCGTCACCTGTGGCCGGATCGTTGATGCTCATTTTCTACCACGTCTCGATAGAGGGACAAGCGAGATACACCGGCTCAGCAGGGCTCGTGGCGCATGGCGCTCCCGTCACACATGTGGCACCCCAAACCCGAGAGAAGACAAGACACCACAGATGCTGACGGGACAGAAAGGGAGCAGAGAGAGGCGCCTTTGAGCATGGGGCATGGCCGTGTTTTTAACCTATTCAAGAAAAAGAGGACGGAGCACGGCAGTCATGTACAAGTACCATTTTGCCGCTCTATTGGTTTTGTTGGCTAGCTGTGCCCTGCACTCGCGCAGCTTTTACACGCGTGGGGGAGGGGGTATGGTATTATTTTGGATCCAATTTGACTTTTGGGCTCTCAGAGGCCAACGAGCCATGGAGCAGCCTCCGATAGCACGGGATACGCCCCCCTTGCTCTTGCTGGCTGGACTGCCGACGAGGGATTAGGTAAGTCTAGAGTAACGAAAACAGACGTACCGACGCCGACGATACGGCTCCATCCGAGCAAGGACCAAGGACCACACCCGCCGCCGATTTCTCGCAGCGACCATCAGGCGAACAACAGCGCCGGCAAAGCGCTGTTGGGGGCCGAGGGCCGAGCTGCCAGCTGCTGGCGATCTGGATAGAAGGAGAGAAAATCAAAAAAAGAGGGAGGGGGGGGGCCAAAGGCAAGGGCAGCTCCATTCGCTGGAGGCAACCCAAGACAAGAAAAAAAAAAAAAAGCCCTCGAAATCCATTACCCCGTACTTTGCGACGTCTAGCCGACCATCTCCAGGATTTCGCGGTGGACCCTCGCTCGTCTTAGAAGGAGCAGCGCGAGCCTTTAACGGGCGCCCTTGTGCATACGGCATGGCATGGCATGGCATGGCATGGCGGGAACGTCACATCACCGCTTCTTCAGCACTCTGCCACAATGACTACGGCCCGTCTGTACAAGAACCTGCTATTCGCGCGTCAGGCCGGATCTGGGTTGGCATCGAGTCGCACAGCAGGCCTCCAGCTCAGGACGCCTAAATACGGACAAGCAAGCCCAGCTGCTGCCGATTCGGAGTCGAGGCGTGATTCCCCCGCATCCAGTCCTCCTCATCTACCACTACTGGATGACTACTGAATGGCTACTGGTACAAGTACCTGCAATTGCTGTTTTCTCTCCCTGGACGATCACCACCTCCCTCCCAGCTTAGCCCACCTCCCCAAGCTTCCGTCCCCTCCCGCAACCCCGGTCTACTGTCAACCTAAGGGATCCGACCGATCGCATGGGATCCACGCCTCCCAGCTAAAGCCCCGTGGAGCAGCACACACCTGCGCAACTGGCCCGATGGCTGCTGCTGCGGTGGTCCCGTGGAAGAAGGTGACTGTGTGGGGTAGGTAGCGACGCCTTTCTACTGCAGCCATGGCGCGGAGAGGGCGTTTTTATGTCTGCTTTTATGCACGTCGAAACCGAGCGTGATGACGGACGAGTAGGTACTTTGTTCCTCGTACTTTGGCGACGGCCTCAGAGTCTCCTCCGTGGGGGGATGTGGACCGTTGTTCGCCAAGCTCCAAGGTCTGCCGTGGGGGGTTATGGTTAAATCTGAGCAGAGAAGCAGCCACACTGTTCAGCGAATTACAATGCGGAATGCCGGCCAGTGGTGTGCTGATGCTGATGCTGCTCCAGCTGTGCCTGATACATGCTTGCCGAGTGATATATACCGAGCACTGCCCCCATTTTGCGGCTGTGTTGGTGATGGAAGCCCCCCATCTAGCTTTCAAAGGTTTCTTGATATAAATGCGCTGATACTACTTCTACAAGAGCAGCATCTCCGTCGCATATCGATTCTTACCACTCGAAATCCATATTAGCGTCTATCATTAATCCACTTTTAGTCTTGTCTTCTTTGAATTTCTTTTTCCATTTACCTTGATCCTCGCGGCAATGACAGCCTCTACTGAGCCCAATGGTTTCTCCAACCATAATGGCTCAACTCATAATTCAATCACACCGTTGACACCCGGCCTATACATTCCTACCGTGGCATTTTTCACCTCTGAAGACAATATTGATGAAGCGACGACAGCGGCGCATGCAAAGCGATTAGTTGACGCTGGAGTTACGGGTATCGTGACACACGGTTCCAATGGCGAGGCTGTCCATCTCGATCACGCCGAACGACAGCTTATAAATCGTATTACTCGATCAACCCTCGACGCTGCGGGCAAAAGTGACATGCCCCTCATTGTTGGATGCGGCAGCCAATCTACGCGAGAGACGATACAGCTATGCCGTGAGGCCGCAGAATCTGGGGGCACACACGCTCTCGTCCTCCCACCAGCCTATTACGGCAGCTTGCTGTCAACGGAGCTCATAATGAAGCATTTCAGGGCGGTAGCCGAAGCTAGCCCAATCCCCTTGCTTATATACAACTTCCCCGGGGCATGCAGTGGACTGGACCTAAGTTCAGATACCATCTTGGCATTGGCGGAGCATCCCAACATTGTCGGTGTCAAGCTGACATGCGGCAACACGGGCAAGCTGGCTCGTGTTGTTGCTGGAACACGTGGTACAGGATTCAGGACCTTTGGCGGTAGCGCCGACTTTGCCATCCAGACCCTGGCTGTTGGCGGGCACGGTGTCATTGCTGGATTGGCCAATGTGGCTCCAAAGGCGTGTGCTGAGGTTATGCGACTGTGGAGAGAAGGCAAGACCGAAGAGGCGACGCTGCTGCAAGGGACTGTTGCCCGCGGCGACTGGGCCGCCATCAAGGGCGGCTTTGTGTCTGTCAAGGCCGCGCTCAACAGATACTACAGCTATGGCGGCGGACCACGACCGCCCTGCGCGTTTCTGGAGGGCAAAGGCTTGGAGGCGCAAATGGTGGAGTTTGCCGAGCTGATTGAGACTGAGAAGAAGCTCGGGACCCTGGCCTAGTCGCCGACATCTCCACTAATATCATAGGCAGACGGATAATAAAGATGGGGAACGACGTTCGAATGGACTTGTGGGGCGTGGGGGAAATCGAGTCTGACAAGAAGCCAAGCAACCAGGCCAGCGAGGCGAGCATGACTGTGGAGGCTCTTTAGCGGGGACGGAACTCAGATCCATGTTTACCGGCCTGCACTTTTCTTGACTATTGCCTGCTAGACTAGTCTGGTGGAGGAAGAATGCGGTACAGTCTTGAGTTGATGGACACGGATATGATGGGAAGTGAGCTTGGGGGGGCAGAGTTGAGGATATACGAAATACAAAGCAGCCTGCGCTGAAATGATGGGCGAACACCTATATGTAGGAAGATGTAGATGTATATGCTTGCATCACTTGCAATCTTGACAGAAGGGGATACAAGGCAGATGTAAGATGTACAGAATCTTGATGACAAGGTCAGACACGTACAGATGAGTTTCAAGATGGCTATCATCGGACTACCCTAGATCTTGTTTGCACAGTAATGAATAATTTTGGCATATAATGATTACACTTTGCAGGTTGTTGGGCTATCTAGATAGTTTACTTTATAGATCTCAGCCTGAACCTATATTATCATGAAGAAACACTAGATGTAGCAATCCTGACGTGAGAAGATGTAAGGATCTGACTCGGAGAGAATGTACCATCATTTGAACGATTTTCCTAGATACTTATATCATGTAGCCAGCCAACATGGAATCAATCATTGCACTCTTCGTCATTGACAAGTCAACTTGGTAGCGATACTTTTCGTCTTCAGTTAATCATATAATATACAACGCAGGCGGCGACTAGATACATTTTCCGCAACACAGCCTTCCCATCTCTCTATAACGTGGAACGATGGCCCCTCTCAATTCAAGATTTCCAAGAAACCCTCCAGCAGCTTGACAAGGCCATGTGCACCAGGGTCAGGGCATTCGTTCCAGCCCTCGGCGTTGACATAAACAGACCGCCCCAGGCTAGCCTCCATGCCCTTTGTTGAGTCTGAACCTTTTCTCGCAGCGTCGACGGCTTTTTGAACATCCAACGTCTCGGTCAGTGTATTGACAAACGGCACAAGAGCATCCACCACGGTACGATCACCCGGCTGAGCCGGGGTATATTTGGCCAAGCTCTTGAGTGCAGCCTGGAGGGCGGCTGCCCAGATCTTTGGAGTGACAGTAATCTTTTGGCTGGAGGACTGATCTTGAAGGCCCGAAGACAGAGCGTTGACGAAAATGGCATAGAGTGCGCCAGAAGTGCCGTCCATACTTGACTCTATGACCTGTGCAATGTTTCGAACGAAATGTACGACGTCAAGCTCTCCTGATATAGAGACGCTTTCCAGATGCTTCAAAACAGCTTCGGCGCCCGTCTTGAGGCAGAGTCCACAGTCACCGTCACCGACAATAGTATCAAATTTTGTGATTTGAGGTTCAGCAACGATGAGGCTGTTGAGAGCTATCTTGAGCTTTGTGATGGTGAATGCAGCGTCCACTATTCCAAGTCAATTATGCTGCTTTGGCGTAGAAGTAGGGGGGGAAAGACTCCAGACTTACAATCGAGGTTACTAGGGGTTGAGTCATCCTGAGAAGGGGCTTCCTGCTTGATCTCTGACTTTGTGGTATCAATGCCGCGAGCCCAGTTTTCGGGACGGACAGCTGGTGACCAGCCAGCGGCATCGGCAGGGGCATCAATTAAAGGCAAAATCGCATTATCCGCTACTTTGAGAACGGTGACACTAAATCCCAAACCGTTCAAGCTGGTCATGTATGTGCCGCTAAGCAGTCTTGACGGCTTGATCTTGTAAGAAGCATCGAGCTGGTCAATGACTTCGGTGGTGATGGCGCCGAGCTCGAGGGGGCTGATGCCACCAAGATTGTTGACCATGACAACCACCTCCTCCCCAGACTTGACATTGATGTAGGCGCGATCGCTGTCGGATTGATCAAGGAGTTGCTTGAGCATGGTCTCAACGAGGCCTTTCAGGGTCGTCTTGACGCGGCCAAAGCCCTCTTCGTTGTGAATACCCATGCCAATCTCGATTTCATCGCCAAGCTCATCGGGAGTGATTTCTCGACCCGGTACGTGGACATGAGCTAGGGAGGCGCCAACTGTGGCCAGGTTGTCAGAGGCTAGAGTGGCGATCTGAGCGACTTGTTCAAGAGACTGGCTGTTGCCAAGAACAAAAGGAGCGCGTTAGAAAAAACATTGACGAATGCCGTATGGAATAGAAATCAAGTCTTACCCCTGAGCGGCAGCAGCGGATGCAATCTTCTGCACGAGAACCGTTCCGGCTAAACCTCTCCTACCAATCCGGCCTCCACGCTTCCTGCCAACGCCAACGTCGTCTCCAACAACCAGGAGCTCGGTCTTGATGCCCTCGGCGCGAGCCTTTTCCACCGCCATGCCAAAGTGCAGCATGTCGCCGGTATAGTTCATGATGAGCACCAAAACACCCCGCTGTGGCTGCTCTGCGCCCACGCGGCGAATGGCGCGGAAGACCTGCTCAGCAGAAGGAGAGGCGAAGACGGAGCCAGCAACAGCCGCTGTGAGGAAGCCCTTGCCGACAAAGCCAGCAAATGATGGCTCGTGGCCAGAGCCTCCCCCGGAGATGAGTGCAACGGTGGGCTGCGAGGCCGCATCGCGAAGGAAGACGGTTTTCTGCGCGGCATCAAAGGCGATGGAGGGGTTGGTGTAGGTGGCCGAGCGCAAAGCCGCATTGACGAGAGCGAGAGGCTCGTTGGCGAAATGCTTGGCTAAAACAGATGCCTGTTAGCTTGTTTGGAATTTCAAATTACAAAACTCGGTAGGATACGAGAGGCATCATGCTTACACGACATGGCGGATTCAGAGCAAAAAAAACAGCCGTTTACTCGTTTCCTAAACACACAAAGGTGACTGTTGAAGCAGTTTATTGCAAGACTTCCATCGCTTCCCCGCGCGCCGTGGCTTCTGCCATATATATCTGTTCGAGAATTACCCCATTCTCTTAAGCGTCCAAGGAACATGGTCTGGACGGTTCCTTTTCTTTTTCCGTGTCGACGAGATCCATCGCGAATGGGGGGCAGGCGGGAGAACCCACGCAGGGCAAAGGGCTGAATTATGGCTTGCACCATGTAAATTGGCAGATTGTGACCCCGTGCCGTCGCCCTGACCCCCGTGTAGATGAAGAGGATGAAGAGGGAACAACTAATAGAAGCAGAAGCAGAGCAGCCCGTCGCCGGCTTCAAAGAGGCAGCGAAGGATTGCGGAGTAACTGCTGGGTATTGGAGAGTTAGAGGCTGAGTGTTAAGCCGCTATCGCGAAGTGGGAGAGCTATTGCCTGCTGGCTTAAGCGCTACGTACCACCAACAGAACCCCCAACGTGACCCCCATCGTTATCCGTCGGAACAGGTACTCGAATACTTTAGCTGTCTTGTTCCTTTTGAGAAAAAAGCTCGTGAGAATGAGGGGAACAGGACATCAGAGGCTGTGCCACGCACTGCGTCCAAGTTATGCTCGATCGAGGGCCGTCTATGCAACTTATGCTTAACCTGCAACAGATCCCGTGCTCGTCTCTTTTCGTCTCGCATCATGCGCCGAGCGACCAAGACTGCTGCTACCCTATGCGGCTCCAGCATGCAGGCTTCGGATGCTGACAACCTCAACTTGTTCAGAAGCAGCATCAATCTAGGTACGTATCTACTACCCGGATTCTGCGGGATCCCACCAGCAACGCTGAGAACCGAGGAATCGGATGTCGCCTCACGGCTGCGGAGAACTAACGACTGTACCTGTACCCCATACATGCACTCCAGTCGGCGGTCCAGTGCATCTGACTTCGCCGGGCATGCCAGCTCAGCTAGCAGCAGACATTAGTCGACGGCCAAATGGTGATTGGGACGTTGGCTACATGTGCTGTGTATTATGCCGTCTGTGCCATCTCCAGTAGCTACATGGCTAACACCAGCCCAATCATCTTTACTACTCCTACTCCCTCCCCGTTGCTTTTCGTCTCTAGTTTAGTATCCTCCCGAAAGACCGGTCCCAAGACAGATGGCACAGGCGTGCATGCAAGTTGCCTACCATCACGGATGCCACTAGTCGTATACGGTTCGCCTTGAGGTATTCGTGCCTAAACGAGAACCGGTGAGAGACGCTAGAGGGCAGGACTGCATATATGGTTGATGCTGCGATGAAGAAATACCTGCATACCACATACATGTGTAGTAGTGACAAGTACTTTTACTTTGCAGTGCCCGTTTCTGATGCATGCGGCTACTTTGTCCACAAGATCAAAATCCTGTTTTCCCCAATGCGCAGCTCGGCTTTTCTTTCGCTCGCTTTCCATTGCCTTCTCAGGCGGACGTATGTCAGACAGTGCGCCTACGTGTCAAAGGCCCCTACAGTCGACTGCATGCATATACATCGTATACACCATAGTGATATCAACAACCTACTAACCTAGAATTAGCCAGGGCGGTCCAGTTGCAATACAGAGAAATAGGTGACATGCTACTAAAATAACCGGCATGTATGTATGCAGTACATACAGTACGGTGAGTAAATGCATGCGGCTGTCATCCATCCGGTCTTCCCCACATATGTATACTTGTCAGAATACCCTTTTTGGCGACATCGTGGGGCTTTTACTTTGTCTACACCCTCGGCCGGAATTCTTGCCATGTGATACTGTATGGCATATTCTTCTTGAAAAATATTTCCAGATATGGATTTGTTGGTAGTGGTATTGCGTATCGGACAACTTTGGATACGTACTCTTGGAACGTTGTTGGCTTATATACATGGATATATATGACTACCTAGGTATGTATGCTGTAAGCACATACAAGGCGAGGCATTGAACAAAACATAAGCAGTCATACGAGGCTCCACGAGGACAAGATCTGATAAATAATCTTGTAATAGTGTTTCAGTTATACAACTCCGCCGGTTTGTACCATCACTTTATCCAGTTGCTCTAAAGATGCTACCATTAAGAAAAAGTCATCAGTCGTCCAACGAACAAGATTTTATTATATTGTGTCTGAAATATTATCAGTTCTAGTCCAAAAAAACGCCACGCCCAACCTAATCTCTAGGATGTTCTCTTTTTACAACCCTTTTATGTAGGTAGTTAGTACATGCTTCTCTCCCTGTTTTATTTATTTACCCTTCTTCCCCTTTTTGCTCTTCTTCCGAGACTTCTCGCCAAACTCCTCTTCATATACTTCGGCTGCTGTCGTGGCCCCTGCCGCCTTTCTCTTCTGCTTGGCGGACTTGACGCTGACTACAACGTTGGATTTGCCGTCCTTTGCGGCGCTCTTGACCTGTTTTTCTGCGTCTTCCCAGGCCGGCGCATCGCCCTCGATTTCATATCTGAAATGCCACATTAGTAATGGAGATATTAATGAGATTAAGGGAAAAGAATTCAAGATATTACTCACTGATCCAGAGGCAAAGAATCAATCATCTCCTTCTGCTTCTGCCTAAGAGTCCTCAGGGCCTCGTCGCCACCCTCCTCTAATTCATCGTCTAGCGCCAGATCAAGGGGAACGAATCGCTCATCCACATTCTCATCGTCATGGACGCCACTGGCATTCTCTCGGCTGACACCAATGTTTTCGGCTCTAGGGAGCTCGGCTTCAGCGGCCGCTGTAACCAGCGTTCCGAGATGCGTCGTGAACTTGCGAAGAATCTTGATGAACATGGCGAGAAGCTGTGCAGAAGGAGTGTTGAGCTCTTGGGCAATCTCATCGACATCCTTGCGCTGTAATCCGATGGCGAGAAGGATAGATCGCTGCACTCCCGACAGGTTGACACCATTCTTGAGCTTGCCAGTGAAATAGAGGTTCGCAATAGTAGGCATAAGATCCAAGATGACGTGGTAATCAAGCATGTTGTTTGCATAAGATTCCAGTCGCTTTAAATCAAAGGGCGACATGAGCCTGTCCAGCTCATCCTTTGTTAGAGAAGAAAGGGGTATGCTATCGAGCTGTGCACCGTTATTCGCCGATTCATCAATGCTAAGCGCAGTGATGGCAGAGAAGGTTCGGAATTGGTAAGATAACAAGGACAGGAATCTCTTCTGGAAATCTCTTGAGAATGCACCCAGCCATGTCTTATCGCCAGTGTTTTCAAGAGGTCTGAGCATGACGCAAGTGTGCTCACCAGTCAGATCATTAGCAGTCTGTCGGAGGTATACGGGTGAGAAAGAGGAGCGTTTCCAGAATTTGTGTAGCTCCTTGGTCATGCCATAGCTGACACCAATGTAGTCAAGTCGCTCTGGCTTCTTCTCCCACAGTTTTGCAAAGAGAGGAGCCATATGCTTATCATCTCTGACGCTGATTTTCTCCTTCAAGAGGGATTCCTTAGCCAGCTCAGCATCAGTCGCCCGAGTAGGCTTGTCGTCCGTGGCTTGGTCCTCATCCTCAGAGAGGTTGGCAAATCGGCCTTCATAGTAGTCGACGAGAAGCTCCATTGCTCGCTTTCCGTATCCCATAGACATATACTCTGGGTTGGTCGCAATGCGAACAATTCGGGCTCCAGAGAGAGAGGCAAACTCCTCATCTTGGAATTGCTGGCTGACAAGCCAGGGAATCAAATCACCATGTGGTCTCTCTCCTCGGCTCAAGCTGTTGATCACGCTTTGTCGAGAAATCTTTCCTTCCAAGGCAACCTGAATAACACACAGGGGTTCCGGTAGTCTGCCGGTGCTTTCGGATGTGGGAGCAGTGAGGACGAACAGCTGGTGCGCTGGCGCATCACTCATAAGCTGGAGATCATCCGGAGAATTCTTATAATGACTAGCGACGTAAAGCGCCACCATCTGTTGCAGGAAGGCCTCAGGAATGGGGTGGAATGAAAACAGGGTATCGCGGTTGACGTTGAGGAGCTCGCATTGTGACGGGTCAGGGCAGCCGTTGACGTTCGCCTTTGATTTAGGCAGAGTTGCGTCGAGACAGAGAAGCTTGTTTAGCCACTTTTCAACGGAATCGCCCTGGGTATATCTGATGGGCTCTGCGAGGGTGATTTCACGTAGTTTCCGGCTGGCCTGGAATTCCTCTGTTTTTGAGACACGCCCGGTGGATCGGTCGGCAACCTGAGTGTCATCGTCTGTTGCGGCCTGTCGAGATTGTTCTCGCAGCTGCTTAATGAGTTTCAGCGAAAGCGAGCGACCAGTACCCTCGTATCCGTTGATGGTGGACGCCATGAAGACCAAGTAAGGTCCCATCAGCTTCTTAACTAGAGGCAAAGGAATGGCAGCAGCTTCATCAATAACAACCAATTCGGCTTGTCCAAGCACGTGGGCATCCTGAGGGCGGATGTACTGAATCGTCTGCCTGTGTTGTCGGTGGATATTTACACGAACAATCGCCTTGTTGAAATCCGGGTTCGTACTTTGAATAATAGAGTAGTCCGCATGATCAGCATATCCGAGAGCGTCAAAGCCCTTGAAGACGAATTCAAACAGGGTTTTCAAGTTCTCTGGAGAGGGAGATGTGATGAAGATATTGCTGTATCCATAGGCCACAGCAGCAGCCACGGCGACTCCCATGGCAGCGGATTTTCCTCGACCTCTAGCGGCTGTCAAAGTGACTGTGCTTCGCAGCGTCTTCTCGGCGATGGCATCGGTAAAGGTCAATAGAGCCTTTGCCTGATCAACCGTCTTTGCCAGGCTGATGAGAGACCCGACTGGTTGCTCCTCGCGGTGCTCGTCTTTTATAGATTCCAACTCTAGCATCTGTGGAGTCTTGACCTGGTCTGCTTCTGGCGGTGGGAGAGCTCTCACGTTCTTGCCGCCTGAGATGGGCAGAACATTGAGCTCGTCATCGATAACCAAGCAGGAGTCGCAACCTCCCAGAGACAATAAGAAGCGCTCGTTGAATCGTGCCACAACGTCGTCATGGGCCTCCGTTCGGTACTTTGAGTGGGCATCCATAGACAAGTTGTACAGCTGTCGCAAACTGCTCATTCCCTTGAGCAGCATGATGACCAAGCCACCACCTTCAACAGTTTCGATCGTCCGGGCCAGGATATTCGGCGTAATGGCCTCGAAATCTTGCAGAATGCACATGCCATAGGTGTTACCCAAGATTTTGTCCGTCTCTTTGTAGTAGGTATAGCGGATGTTGTGCAGGGAAACGAAGAGCTCGAATGGGTCCTCAGAGTTGGCTTCTCGGATACCGCGTCTGATCTCTTTCTTGATTTTGTCTTCTCGCTTCTTCCGGTGACTATATGCATTCATCTGATTAGAACACCAGCCAAGCCAAGCAGTCTGTTAACGCCAGTGTATTTACCTTGTGAATCCCAGCAGCTTCTTCTTGTATGCCCACAAGACAGATTTGTTCTGCTTGATATCTACCATGGACATGATATAGTGAAGTCGGACAATCACATCCTTGGCCTGGTCGCCGACCACAACGAAAAAGCTTCGCTTCTTCTCCTGGAGTCCATTTCGAATGAGCGCACCGATGCGCTCGTCTCTATCAGACTGGTCAGCTATGTCGCGACAAGATGAAAGGCCTGTAGACAGCGAATCACTAGCCAAAAACTTACACCTGCTTGCGCTGCATCTTGCAAATACTTTGTCACAGCCAATGGTCTGTGGTAAAGGATTGCGCAAGAATTGCTTGCTCCAGACAGTTTATTGCGGGACCTCTCTCATACAAAAGTCTAGTCCCGGCCAAAAAATTCCAAAAATTTGGCGGTGGAGCTGAATTCTGCCGGGCGGTGGGCGCGATTAGCTGCGCTGGTGTGGAACCTGGCCGAACTTCTCACCGAGGCGCTGCGCCGGTCAAGAATGTATACTTGAAATAGACCGTGTACATGAAGCAGAGGCTTGATTCTAGATAAAACATCTATAAACGCTGCTTAATGAATAATTTGTACTCTGGCGCGTTAGTAGAAGCCATTGGCAGTCTTTGGACATTTAAAAAAAATTCACAAAGGCTCGACCTGCCACTGTGAAATAGCCCGATATATGATGGTTTACAAGACTCTCGCAGACTCGACTGGCGTGCGGGGCCTCATAGCAAATAATCCATCTGTTTTCTTTTTTTAAGATGCATATGCATATGTATTTTGTGTTTGTAATTGAAGATTCCCACAGTTATAGGCCAAGATAAGAGCAACTCTGCAAATCAAGCACTCATATAGATTAGTCGCAAAGTCCTATCGATCAAGCACTGTTGCTACATGTTCATCTTATTCATACTAATTTACATACATCGATCTAACGGGAAACAGTCGTGTCCCCCCAGTCATGCACCACGGCATATGACAAACTGTTATCATCTCGAGTCTATGGAAGAGGAAAAGTCTCGGGATCGCGATGCGTAACTTATGGCTGACCAAAAAAATAATCAACCGCCAGACCAGACACCAACCCAAGAACCTACCAAATCCCAACGCAATATAAAACGGGAAAAAAAAATAACCTCAAATGATGAAAGTCTATACCACAAACCCAAACACAACCCGTTAAGTACGATCCAGCTTACGGCGCAGGTTCCTTGTCTTCTTCATCAGCTTCTTATACTTCTTCTTCTTCATCTTGAGCTTTCGTTGCCGCTTAACGCTAATAGCATAGAGGTCACGGTTGCCACGAGTCTGATCAAATCGCAGTTGACGGAGAGCTAGGCGCTCCAAGAAGCTCCGGGGCTGGCCATCCTGGATAATTCGCGGGCTGTGGGCAATGATCCTGATCTGGCCGTCCGGCTCGGTTGACTCCTCAATGGTGAACATGGCCTTGTACACCCGGTGGTGAGAATCCTCCAAAGCCTCAGCTTCAGCAGCAAATCCATCAACTGCGGCGTTTTTCTGCGCTTCGGGTAGCGGGGGTGGGCGGAAAGGCAAGAATTCTCCAGACATGGTGTCGACTTGCAGGTAGATGCTTGACTCAGTGCCATCAGGGTTCTTCACGTCAACTCTCTGCATACCGTCGCTAGCTCCCTGGTCTTGGCCTCCTATTGTCACCTGAGCCATGGGACCTTCCAGCTGATCGATGGTATCGGAGAGCGTGGATACAGTGTCCCGTATCTTGTTCGATCTTGTTCGGGGGGCAAAGATGGTTGCAAAATGCTCGTCCGTAACACTCCTGGGCATGGTCTGTGTGACGGAAATAGGACGGTGGAGCGAGAAGAAGCTGGACAGGCTCAGGGCTGAAAGTCAAGTTAGTACAGAGTGAGGTCTATGGGCGCACTCGGCACCTACCTTCTTGAGACATGTGGTGAGTGCTGGGAACGCTAGGTAGCTTTTTGAAGGCCGCATCTCGATCAGTCGATTCTTTGGGCTTTCGTTTCCTGCTGCCCTTGCCCTCTCCGCGAGACGATGTTGAGGCTGGTACAGACTGGCGAGCCGCGATTCCGTTGGGCTCGTCGGATCTCGAGGGTTTTGACGAGGAGAATCGCCGTTGGGGGCGGTTGAGAATGAAGCTCGAGGCTGTGATCTTTGGGGCCGACGCGGCGAGAGCCCCTTGAGGAGCAGAGGCCACCGCACGCCGCACCGACAAAGGCAACATTGTGTCGCCGGATTCGGGGTGCTGGAATAATGCTGGATGAGGAAGAAGATGGAGGAGGGGGCTTGATTCGAGCGCTGAGGCTGAATCTGATGATGTCTCGTCAAAGCCCGGATTTGGCCGCTCGTTCGGTAAAACGATTTGCAAGGCGGCAAAACCAGGGATGAGTCAGCCAGCACTAAGCCCTCTGTGGCCTAAGGAGGCAACGCCTGAGTAACAATGCTATGAGTAAGCCCTGGGCTTATCGGGGATCTTGGTCTTTGCGGCTATCAGATCTGGCTGGGAAAAAATGAAAGAGACGGCAATGAGGGTTCAGATTGAGGATCCGAGTTAATGATGATTGCGTTATGGTACAGAGAACGGAGCATCGGAGTCACATTGCAGTTTGCGCCCCTGAAACCGGCATCCGTTCATACAAATCCCCCCCTGAATAAGCCGTATCTAAAATCCAATCATCGGACCCGATCACAAGACCGCCACGACGTCAGCAAACTGCAGGGGCAGTGGCCTATTCTGTCAGTGCACTCAACACAGTAGTTGGAGCGATACAGTAGATAGTACTAGTAGTAGTAGCATTACTACTTCATGAGAAATGATATCGTCATCAATCGATAAGAGATCTTTAATGAAATGCGAAAATGCACTGCGTCGTCATGCATTATGATTGATTATCGTGAGGCGCAACACAGGGTGCTCTGAGCGACCCAGTTGCCGCACTCCGAATCATCTCTAGCCTTCTATCTTATATCCCATTTCCTTTCTCTAGCACAAGTACCCATATAAACCGCAAAAGACAAAAAAAGACGTAAAAAGGGAGCAATTAAAATCTTTTCATCAAAGAGGGCAACTTAGGTGGCGGGGGCAGCGACCAGCTCGTGGCCCTTGTTCTGGCCCTGGCTGTTCACCCAGCTGAGGTAGCTGTTCCAGCCAATGGAGATGACATTGGCAAACAGCAGACGGTACTGCAGCGGCAAGAAGGTGAAGTTGATAAACTGCACAAACGGCCACAGCATCCAGTTGGCCTTGAGAGCCGGCCACCAGGTGGTGTCGAGGCGCTCCTTGGGGCTTTTGCCCTCCATGGTGGCCATGCTGCCCAGGAAGACTCCAATCATGACGGGGGCGAAGAGCGTCTGATCAGCCGCCACACGCGCCAACGTCTCAACACGGGCATTTCTGAAGGTGACGCGACGGGCGAGGAAACCCAGCCAGGTGGTTGCAACAGGCCCAAAAACACCTACAGTCGGTTGGTTAGAAAAAAGAAGAAAAAACTCTTCAATTTTAATGGACCTGAAAACTGGGTGCTGTGCTGGCTGGCGAAAAGGAGAGAAGTGGTGATGGTGGGTTTAGGCAGCGAAATAAAGTGAAAAACTTACATCCACCGTAGAGCGCCATACGGCCTGTTCGAGCCACATCGTGGTTCTTCAGGCCCTTCTTCTCGACCAGCTGCTGAGCGGTGAGATCACCAGTTGCAAAGAGCACGGCTGTCGTCACGCCCTGAGTGAGCAGAGGACGGGCTGCGAGCCTTCCATTGTACCTGGATTGCAAATGGTCAGAACCAACAAACAGTACAAGATCGCCGCCAACGAGCAGGGTGGTGGCAAACACTTACCATCTAATGAATGCGGACATGGCGAAAGACTTGGAAAAAAGAAAAATCACAATCTATCCCCTCTAGTGAAAAACGCCCAAACTGCAAAGATTGAAAGGAGGAGAAGAAGAAGAAATGCTGAATTGCTCAAGGTTGATGAAAGATATTGGATAGTCTCTTAAATAAGGCCTGGCCGAGTTCGCGTCGGTTTGCCAAATTGGGTAACTCCTCTCAGCTAGCAAGGCTGGGCGCCGATGTGCGGAGAAAAATCTGAAAATCAGCAACGAGGCGCGCAAGTCAAGTGCGAAGGGAACGTTGAGTTGACGAGATTATTGAATTGATGAGAAGAAGAGAGAAGAAGAGAAAAAAAAATTCCAAAAAGTGGCAAGAAAAAATAGGAGAATTGGTGGAGGGTCGATCATTGGAGCTGCATGTACAAACCGGCTGCGGGGGGGTAAATTTCGCTAAAACTTGGTGTTAGTCGCCAAAGCACGGCTATCGCGAGATTTGCCCATGGGGTCGGTCCCAGCTGGAGAGCACCTTGCCCAAATCGTAGCCTCCGTGATCATTGCTATCCGCTTCGGTGGACTCCGCACTTTAAGAAGTTTATGGATGTCAAGAAGTATTGGGCTTGTTACATGCAGCATCGATCAACAAAGCAAAGCAAATGTATATACACAGTACTTTTAAGTAGGTAGGTACAAGCTCCCTGATATCAAGTCCCGTGTCTGGGGCGGGAGAAGGGGTTGAAAGAAGTGCTCCAGCAAAGATATTAAACACCATGTCTATCCATGGTAATGCAATTACAGAGCATCAGCTCAAGGTATCGTATGTCCAACAACGCCTATTCAACCAAGCCAACCATATATACCAATCCATCATGAGTCGTTACAACGTCAAGTCGAGCTGCTACTGCTTCTTCCCCCGAGCAATGAGCTTGTTATATAATTCAACCACTACATTGCTCCACTGCTCACCTTCAGCTCCGACACTTTTCCCAATCCTGGTAGCCAAAAACTCTCCCACTTTACCCACATTGAATTGTTCTCCATATACAACTTTAGCGTCCGTCGAAACGTTCACGTCCACCCCTTCCGGTCCGCTGGACCCTCTGAGATTGAATACCACCTCGACTCGCGTTTCCAAGGGCGCTAGAAGGAGGGAACTAGTAACAGCGATACTCGAGTCAGATGTCTTGGTAACTTTTGTTTGAAACGTTACATTGATGCGTCCAACTTCTCGAGATATCCAGTTTGACTTGTCCCATGCAGCTTGCACGATTTGGAGGACGTGAGACAGCTTTGTGCCGCTTTGGGCAATTGTTCGAATGTGATCGCGTATGCATTGTAGAAGGAATTCTTTTTCGGCTGTCTTTGGCTGAGGATTTACCTCACGACTGTCGGCAATGTACCACAAGTCTATACGCGAACTCGGCTGCTGTGGCTGGAAGGATGTGGTATCGACGACGAGTTCAATCTCTCGTTTGTACGTCATAGAGAGCGTCGGTCCCGAGATTCCTGTGACCGCCCAGCCGTGCTCCTGTTCAAGAGCCTCTACTCGGGCTATTATTGGTGTTAGCCTGCTGTAAACTTCATGGCCAAACAGTTATCGAAGACGCATACCTTTAAGATTGTTCACCTCGGTGCTGGTCCAGCCACGGCACTCTTCTCTGATTTTTTCAGATTCCTGTATTTCTACAAGACACTGCGCTTTCCGACCCGTCAACTCTTCCACATCAGCCTCTGAAGCGTCAAACTCTTGCCGAAGCTTGGCAATAAGCTTCTTCTTCTGAGCAATATCATCGTCTAAACTGACCAGCTCTTCTCGAGTGGCTTGGAGCTCAGCAGGATCGCAGTCGGCCAGTTCTCTGGCAGCTTCCTCAAGATTGTTGCTTTCTTCTAATAATGAATCATACCGGCCCACGAGGCTGGGCATCACAGACTTTAGAAGGGCTTCTTGCTCCTCTATGATTTTGACATCGTCATCCATGCCACTCGAAATGCTAACAAGGCCCTCTTTCAGTCCCTCTTGAAGCTTCATCCTCCATTCATACCACATGGCTTTGCTAAGGTGGCGGGAATGAGTCCTAACGTTTTTGAATTGGTTGTCCATCAATGCTTTAACCTCGGGGCTTGCAGATATGTACTCCTGGAATAGTGGGGGGTTGTCTTCAAAAGTTTCGGTTTCAATCTCCTTCACTATTCTTCGCCCCTCGGAGATATACTTCTTCAGCTCTCGGCAAGAATGCTGATATAATTCCAGCATCGGTACAGTACAAGCACCGGCTACAACACACCGCTCCAGGGATCGATCGTCTTCTCCATCGGGCAAAATGCCGCTTTGAGAAGTTCTTGGAGCGATTGTGTGGCGTCGTTTAGTCGTTGTAAGCTCCATGAAGCGGATTGAGGTCAAATCTAAGAAATCCTGAAGGTGCATCTGGCCTTCCTCCACTGTCTCCATAGGTGGTTGATGAATTTGGACATCGTGAACCGTCTGATTTTCTTTTATCGCTCCGAGGAACTTGCCACCCTTTATCGGGGATGAGAAAGCCGACTGCGATGTCCTCCCGGCAAAGTCAAAGCTGAGTCGACTTGACCTCCTGAGTCTTCCGGTTGTCTCTTCTTTTGATGGTGGTAGTTGAAGTTTCACATTCTTCACAGGGCTGCCCTCACGCCCCTTCAATCTCTTTACACCATCGTTCTCTTCGGCTTCTTCTTCATCGTCTGATTCAAGGGGCCGCTTGCCCAAAAGACCCCTGGCACTGCCAATGTGGAGACTCTTCCGACCTCTCAGCGGATTTCGCTTGGGGCTCATACTATCAATCATCTCTCTAAGGTTGAGTGTAGCATCTCTACCCGTTTGCGGTTCAGGCCGAACAAGTCTTGACTGACTTCCTTCATCACTTTCGTCATTCGCTGCGGCCAAGACCTTGGGCTCATCAAAGGCAACGGCGCGTTTTCCAGGAATAAATATGCTTGCTGAATCGCTCAGAGACGATCGACGATCGAAGATGGCTGCTATTTGAGGTGATCCAAGACCAGTTCGATCTACACCAAGGCCAGAAAGCTGCCGAGGAGTAGAGCTCTTCTGTGGAGTTGACTTCGCAGCACTCTTTGGAGTTGGTTTCGCAGCGCTCTTTGGGGTTGATTTCGTAGCGCTCTTTGGGGTTGAAATCGTGGCGGCCCTTGGAGTTGATTTAACCGGCGATGGTGTTCGGCTCGCTCTCTGCGATGTAGAACTTCTGGCTGATGATCGAAGAACACGGCTCTGTGATGTTGGTGTCTGTGTTTTTTCAGATGATGCAGCTTGTCGCGGCGTCTTCGAGGATTTGGGTGTCGCAGTCTTGGGCGTCGTAGAAAATATGGGTATCTTGGATAATTTTGGCGTCCTTGACAGGTTCGGAGTCACCGGAGTGGTTGAGAAATCGATCAAGGGCTGCTCTGTTTGTGCTTGTGGAGTAGCATGCTGGAACAGGTCACCTTCCCGAGGAGCCTGCAATCCAACGCCAGGAGACTCAAAGAGTCTCGTTGACGATTTTTGAACGGGAGTGTTTTGCTCAGCAAGAACCTGTGATTCGACTGTTGGCATTGGCTGTTGAGAGTTCTCTGGTTCATTAGCTTTCGTTCCAAATAAGCTCTTTCGGAAAGCTCTGGATGTATTCTTAATGATTCCACCAATGGCCGTAGTAAAGTCCATGCCCATTGTTACATCCATACCAGTCGTCGCGTCATCATCGTCCTCGACTTGGTCCGCTTTATTGTCGGCCACGCTGTTTTGAGCATTTGAAAGGATGTTTCCAAATCCGACAGTCATGTCCATTGTGGCGTCATCTGCATCTGGTTTCGACGTTTGGTTCAATGTTTGGCGACGAGCAGCCTCCTTCTCCTTTTGGTGGCGTGCTAGTAGGCCCCCCATAACACTGGTCAATTCCATCGACATATCTTCGTTTCCATCGTCATCGTCGGTATCGATGTCTCGTAGCTGGGGGTAGCGGATGCCGCCCACAGCAGTAGTGAGTTCCATCGTAGCCTCATCCATAGCACCATCATCCACCTCGCCAGAGTCAAGAGGCGCATCATTCTCTTTATTGGAGAGAACGCCGCCAAAAACCTGAGTCACATCCATTGACACGTCTTGCTCCGGTTCGTTGTCAGCCCCTTTCATGGAAGATGGCTTGATGATTTTTCCTATAGCTTGAGTAATGTCCATGTCCATGTCCATGTCCATCTCCGTGCCATCTTCATCTCTTCCAATACTGCGTCGGTTTAAAGGAGATTTCGACACCGCTTTGCCTTCACTAGCAGAGGCAGAGGCAGAGGCAGAGGGCTGCTGGTTTGCCTTTTTCACCCAACCGAATGAAGGTATGACCTCTTCGCCATCGTCAGATTCCTCGCCCAGCTGCTGAGTCGCCGCAAGTCGGGCAGCAAAGCGAAGAGCTTCGTCGAGCGTGGATTCATCTTCAATGTCCTCTATAGATCGGCTAGAAGCCACAGTGGTCCCCGTAACATCTTCTGTTTCGAGGCTCATCACTGTGCCGTCATCAGAATCACTGTTGGAGTTTTCATCTTCAACTTCTTCCTCCTCGTCGGTCGCAATTTCTTCTACTGCATCTGCAGGTTCAGAATCTGAACTGTATATGATTGACGTGGGGGTGTCATCTTGGCTTTGGACGATATTCTGTGTGGCAAGGGAACCTCTCCTCCCCTTGGCATTCTGGTCTTCGGCTGCGAATTGAGGGTCGGCATTTTGATTATTCAATATCGAGCCTGATTTCCTTCTTGATTCTGCTGCATTTCGATTTTGCATATATTCCACCTCGTGGAAAGTGTGCAATGTTGCTTCAGCAGCAAAAGAGACTCTGCGGTTGGCCAGCGATTTTCGACGGGCGTCTCGCCTCTCTCGTTCTTCTCTTTCCTTGGCCGCGGCCTGTTGTTCTTCCTCTGTCTTCACAGCTACTTTCGATCCGCTTAACTCATCTTCAGGTATGCTAAATGCCGATGCGCCTATTGACTTCCTCAAAGCTTTCGATTTCAGAGGTGGAATCTCTGGCAGAGGAGAGATTGAAGGTTTCAGAATCGAGCGAGGCAGTTTGGTCGGCACAGCGAGAGACTGTATAAAGTAATTAGCTGTGGTCTGGGATTCCATGTCAGAAGCATCCATACCGCGCGCCTGTTGCCAGTTCCCTGTCTGAGCGCATCCAGCCCCCCCGGGCCTATACTCTTGCTCCGTGACTTGCGACTGGCCGCCAATGAGCCGCCAACGTCCATTGTATTATTTTCTTTCCGTGACAGTTCTGTGTGCACGCCGATGGACTTCCTGGCGCGGCGCGTAGCCGGCAAAGTGGCTTCGCCGGGCGCCGACATGTTGGTGATGATGCTGGTCCTGCCTCGAAACCTCCGAGGCCAGGAGCTCCAACTTGACGATAAAAACGACGCCGATGACCGACCGCGTTTGTTTACTTTCGCGGGGGAGTAACGGTACGTACCGCATAGGCACTAAGGCGCTGCCAATTTGAGGGTCCAGCACCAGCCACACTTGAAACAGCCACTAATCCCCTAGCGCTCGCCAAGTTAGTCACGTGCCCATAGTTCACAACTGGCAAGCGCGACAGCAGCGAGAGCCATCACGTGTCGATAAGGCGAGATCCATTCTTCTGATTCGCCTAATCAGCCACTCTAAATTTTGCAAGCCCTAAGGTGGGAAAAGACCCGAAAAAAGTGCGCCGTTGCCCTACTCCTCCATTCTGTGCAAAACCATCGACATTGTCTTCCCACCCTCTACGACACGCCCTCTAGTTACGGTACCTCCCCGGAGAAGGATAATTCAAGATGTCAGTTTTGCACGACAGCGCTGCGCGACCTCTCGACAAACATTGTTTTGTACTGACATTTATGCCAGGGCGACCGAGTTGACCGTCCAGTCGGAGCGTGCTTTCCAGAAGCAGCCTCACATCTTCTTGAACTCCAAGACCAAGACCAAGAGCGCCAGACCGGGCAAGGGAGGACGACGATGGTACAAGGATGTTGGTCTGGGTTTCCGTACCCCCAAGGCCGCCATTGAGGGCAGCTACATCGGTACGTGCGAAGTAAACGATTGAAAGAACCGGGTGGATCCAAAGGGTTGGCAACTTGAGAGTAGCATCGACAGAGCGATGGCAAAAGATTTGGGACGTTATTTTCGAGCAACGCGACGACAACGAGATGGGAATATACGAACTGGGACACAACCTCTGACGAACTGGAATTGCTGACTTGTGGCAATATAGACAAGAAGTGCCCCTTCACCGGCACCGTCTCCATCCGTGGCCGTATCCTGACCGGCACCGTCGTTTCCACCAAGATGCACCGAACCGTCATTATCCGAAGAGAGTACCTCCACTTCATCCCCAAGTACTCTCGTTACGAGAAGCGACACAAGAACCTCGCCGCCCACGTCTCTCCCGCTTTCCGTGTTGAGGAGGGTGACCAGGTTACCGTTGGCCAGTGCAGACCTCTCAGCAAGACTGTACGTTTTCTTTTTTCCGACGAGCTCTTCCCCGACAATTGAGATGAAGAACAATTGCTAACCGCTCCGTTTGCAGATCCGCTTCAACGTTCTGCGTGTGCTGCCCCGAACTGGCAAGGCAGTCAAGAAGTTCTCCAAGTTCTAAATTGGGTGTTTCTAGTGGCATTTTTGGCGTGATAAACATCAGAGGGGAAAACAAGTTATTCTCCGCTGAAGGGTCGGCATGGGAAGTTGCTTTACAAAAATGAATTGTAGACGCAATCGTGAATAAAAAGGAATTCATGGCTACGATCTCGACGTCTCAGGGTTGTTGACGACGCTTAATTTGATTCACAAGTTCAGGAGCGCGGTGCAAAAAATCTTGATGATGAGGCCCCCCAGGTGATGAATGAATAAAATCCAATGTCTAAATACTGTTTACCAAAAAGTTTTACAATCTACAGTTGCTGCGGTTTTACGAGATGGCCGTAGTATTATGGAAAATACTACCTGTTTTGATTAAGTGACGCTGCATATGCTGCCAACTGCTATTTCACGTCGTTTGTTCTATTCCTTGTTACGGTCCAAATCTTCACATGTTATATTCTTCGTGTCTAAACAGATACTCCAGCAGCTTGTTTCCCAACACGTCGCGACGAATAGTAAAAAGGGCATAACGTAATAATGCACGTTGACACATGCGCCGCCGTACATAAAAACACACAGTGCACTTCTCCACATTATGTAATATTCGCACCCATGTCAAAAGTGTCTCCCGGTAAATCCATTCTTGTTGGGGGACGTCAGAGCCACTTTGACCCAAATAAGAGATCTTGATACCCCTGGGTCGCCTTCTGCGGCTCCAACTCTCCCTCCTTTCACCATGGGCTGGCTACCTTCTATCTTTGGCGGCGATGCTCCTAATCCGCTCGGCAAGCTCGATCCCAAGCTCCGCGAGTTTCTCGAAAAAGAGTCGCCGGTGAAATATATCCCCAACCAGCCGACAACGCCAACGCGGCGCCAGGATGCACCAGCGGCGGTAGAGTCAAGGGCAGAGCCGGCGGCAGTCCCGTCTGCAAGCCTGTACCAAGACGGACGATATGCGCATCTATGGAAGAACTACAGGCCGCTGGCAGAGGTCGAGGAAGAGACGTCGACCGATCACGATAAGCTGATGGCCGTGTTGGAGGGGTACAAGGAGCGCAAGGCCGCAATCGCCAGGGCGGGCCTCGAGAACTGTGCGCCGCAACAGGAGGAATGGATCAACTGCATGAAGAACGGCAGCTGGGAGGATCAGTTACAAATGTGCCGGCATCAAGTGCGGCGCTTTGAGAGATGCTACACTATGCAATCTGTAAGAGAGCCTCTTCTCACCATCTTTTCCGGCTAAGCGCCTTCCGCTGCAAAGCGCGACAAGAGCACACAAAGAGAACTTGTACTGACGGGTCTAAATGTTTGCAGAGATTTCTAAGAGCGCTCGGTTACGGCTCAGTAGCAGGGCGACCGGCCGAAGTGGACGAAGACATCCAGCTCCATGCCGATGCGCTGTTCCAGCGAATGCTGCAGCACGAAGCCGAGGTCGAAAAGGCCAAAGAAGCCGGCACCCTCATCCCATCCTTCGACCCCTCCATCTCCAAACCAACCGCCACTCCCGCAACCGCCGTCAAGCCGTCTGAAGAGCTCCAGAAGCAGTGGAAAGAGAAGCTGGACCAGCTACCGGAAGACGAGAGAGCAGCAGAAGAGGCCGCTCTCAGGGCCGACTTGCAAGCCAAGGCCGACGTTGCGCGAAACGTCAAGAAGATCTGGGACGCCAAGAGAGAGGAGAGAGACGTGCGACGAGCGGAAGGCCAGGCGACGTTTTCTGATACGATTGCTGCGCTCTTCAGCAGGGGTAAATGAGAATAGACAGGATGCTATAACGGACGGCTACTCATGAAGGCTTTTTATAAGGTGTTTTCATTTTTTTTTTTTCTGGCTTCATTTTTTTTTTTTTTCATGTATGTACTTTATATCAACCATGGCTGCATAGGCATTGTGTGTTTGGCTCTTTTAATGGGAAGACTGTAAACTACAGCATCTGAGCGAGGGTGGGATTATGTGTATCTATTCATCATAGATTATAAGGGTTTGAGGATAGGACAGCATAACTGAGGATTAAACAATGAAATCTCTTGAGATATAGTATTGTCTCTTACGTGCCTGTATAAACGAATCCTATCTAGTTCACTCATCTGACATGAGGGCATTGATATTAGGCTATCGCGCCAGTCGAAAAGAAGGACTACAATTTATTTTTCTCTTTTAGATATATTTAACCCTGTTTTTGTCCGTTTGACATTTACTTATTTTTTTCTTTCTACAACTAAATCTCCAACAGAGACATATTCTTCTAGGGTGGGCTGTTCATCACCACATCATTCATTCCACTTTCTCTTCACTAAGCATCTTCAACGCACAACGCAATAGCTTAATCTTATAGCAAAGTCTTTCTACAACAAGGTTCATGATAAAACTTGTAAATGTTTACCTAGTCAGCTCTCAAAAGAAGGATTCAAGAATTTCTTCCCTTGATAGAGCTTGAAGACACCGCTGCTCATAACAACAAATCTTACGGTTCCGTGGTCTAGTTGGTTATGACATTTCGTTAACAGTTAGTTGACACCACCGAAAAGGTCCCCGGTTCGAGCCCGGGCGGAATCACATATTTTTTGCTTTTTGGACTACTGATTGAACTAAATGTTTATTTTTGACTCTTGTTGAGCCAGTCATGTAAAGAAAGATTTGAGGTTTGCCAAGTTGCATTTCATTTTGCCTCTGTCTTTCCTCATTCTTGACCAACGATGGAATAAGCATAATAGCAACATTTTACTCTATAAAAGATGCATCAGATCTTGCAAGATGAAGTAACAGAAATATCCCACGATATAATAATAATATAGAGACAATGTAAAGGGCCTAACGAATCACCAAAACTATAGAGACTGCCAAGTCGAGTAACGGTGTCAGAGAACCCTTCAACTAGTCATTCTTGGAATCGCATCGGAATGGAGAGCAGATTGAAAGCTGCAAACCACAGATTATCTGGAAAAAAAGACAAACAAAGCGTTCCGATCAATAGGTCAAGGTTACGGGTAGATCGATTTTACGGGCTAGGTCAGTAAATACGGCGGTACTTTGTAAATATTTCCAGGCGTCACGTATCCAAGGCATGAAGCGTTGCTCAATAATATGGTGAGATTTATCGATTATATGTCGACTATGCTCTCCATACTACTGGCGGGAAAGCCGAGCCGCTTTGAACCGGCTTATGGGTTCCTCATTTTCCTCGTCGTATATGGGTTTGATGGGAGACTCATCCGGTTTGAGAAACCCACCGTCTCGCTGGATAAACTTTCTGCGTATGCGTTGATACTCGTCAGCAACCTCTTGGTGGGCCATTGCATCGTTGACCTCATCCGGAGGGATCGCAGCGACTGCAGGCTCTCGCTCGACTAGAGTATCGGCGATGGTGGTGCCTTCTGGACCGGTTGGCACTTGCTGTCGCTCCTCTTCCATAAACTTTGGCCGAATATCCAAGGGCCCCTTGGGAACAGCACTTGCTGGATCTGTATTATCCCTGGCCTTCTTGAACCGTGACGCTCTTTTAGCTGGCTGAGCTGGAGGTTGGACTGGTTTTGAAGAACTAGATCGTTCAACAATATCGCTTAGAGGATCTACGACATCCTTCTTTGTGTCGCTGACCGTAGGGGCAGAAGGCTCGCTTTCAGGAGCTATATCAAGACTGGGCGCAAACCGCACGCCCTTCTTTGACTCGGAATCCCCGATTTGCTTCTCCTTGAGATTTGACTTTACTGGAACTGCTGCTTTCGAGGCGGTAGATGGTGAGGATGCATCAGCTTCTTGCTTTACCAGAATGCGGCCAATGCCTTCGTCATAATCATTGTCGCTTGACTCCGCCTCGTCGGCTTTAGGCTGAGACATTGACGATTGTGACTTGATACCAAGTTTCTGTTCGAGTTGAAGCATTCGCTGGCGATACTTGTCGGTGACAACGCTGCCCTTGTAACGTCCGTATTGATCCTCGTCGTCCTCTTCATCTTCATCAAATTCGTCGTCAATGTCTTCCTCTTCGTCTGAGTCGCCTTCCTCAAGCTCAAGCTCGGCAACAACTGCCCCGACTTCGCTCATGCCATATCTCAGCATCTGCTGCCGCAAAGCTGAATCTTCTGGCGACTCGTCTTTGGGTATAACAGCAGCTTGCATGCTAATATCCTCCTGGTCTTTAGCGGAGCTCATAATCTCTTTGACACGCTTTGCCCTCCATGAAATCTCAGGCTCTTGTTCTGGTTCTTCAGCGGCCTTTGTGTCTTCCGAAAAGGATACAGATTTTTTGGGGGTGTAATCGGATTTTGTAAGAGGCTCAGATGGAGCCACAGAATCAAGGATTTGTTCCTTGGTTTTAGGCGGCTTCTGCTGAGCCTCAGCCTTCTCAATGACTGTGTCTTTTTGCCCAGCCTTGGAACTTGAAGCATCTGAGATTCCAGCTTTTTTGAGAAGAGCTTCCACGTCTCCAAAGGACTCGCCGGGCTTATTCAGCCGAAACGAGACAACGTTGTCGTCGTCGTCCAGTTCTTCGACAATGTCCAGAATAGGCTGTCCTTGTTCGTCGGTAGCATCAGGCTGACTGATGACTGTAGCGGCAGCGTGCTTGTTCTCGGCGGTCTCAAGCTGCTTCTGCAGCGTCTCAATATTCTTAGACACATAATCAATACGGCGCTCAAGGACATTAACAATCTGTTCCCTGGTCTTTAACTTTGGCTGGCCGAAGATCTCGTCAATTTCTGTCCTACTTAGGAGCTCGCCGTCAAATTCGCCATGTATGCGTTGCAGCTCTTTGGCTTCGTCGACTGCGGTCACCGCCTCGACCTCCTCTTTGAGTCCCTCATATTCAGCATCCCAGGTTTGCCAGTGCTGCAGAGCTTTCTGTAGCTGATTGACACTATCTTCAAGCCGTAGACGATGCTTTTCGAGGTCAGCAAAACTATCTCTAGCATCCGACATGGTGTGAAAAATTGAGGCCGACGGCGTCAGCAGCTTGGAGACGATGAGAGGAAAATTTGGTAGTGAGGTCGGGCACCAGCATGACTTGGTTTGGCGCTGACGGAATAACTCCGGCTAATAGTGCCGTGTAACTCTTTGTTCAATGTGGAGTCATTCGGAACAACCATTCACTCGAGCTTATCGAGATCGCTGTTGCTGCCTTGCACTTGCACGACGCCAACTAGCAACTAGCAACTAGGACGATAGAAGAATACGGGGATGGGGAAAGTGACAGCGTGAAGAAATGTGAATCTCAACCCCCACCCAAAGCTGCTGGGGGCTTTAGGTTGTCTACATAAACCGTGAACTGTCAACACCAACTCGAGACATCTGCAGGCCGAGTAAAGCGTTCCACGCTCTTCAGGCACATGATGGCAGACTCCAAGGTCGAAACCAAGTCTCTCGAGGCCAAGTGTCTCTGTGGCTCTGTCCACTTTACGGTAGATGTTCCGGTAGCATCTCTCCCTCTCCAAGAATACCTCTGCCATTGCAGCGTCTGCCGCCTCTCGACTGGAGGGCCGTGCAACTTTCACGCAAGGCTAGAGCCAGGGATCAAGCCCAATTTCATAGCGCCTTCAAGCGAGAAGAACTTGACAACATACTCCATCGAGGGGTTTGGCTGCACGTATGATTTCTGCTCCACATGCGGATGCCATATTGCGGGAGTTGGACTGGACAGAGAGCAGTGGACGCCTGCGACTTCGATATTCACAGACCACAGCCCAGACACCTTTGTGTTGGAAGGCCATTACTTTAGTGACTCGGCCTTGGATAAGGGCCTCGCTCAGGCGCTGACACACCTGGATGGACGCGAGCTGCTGGACTATAACCCTCCCAAAGACAGCCCTCGAGCCAAGACTGTTGAGCCGCAGCCAGAAGTCGGCGAAGACGGACAAGAGCGGCTGCGGGCTGAGTGCCATTGCGGGGGCGTATCGTTCACAATCAAGCGTCCCTCGCAAGAGCTACTTGAGAATGAAATGCTGAGCACATGCATTTCTCCCATTGACCGGAACAAATGGATGGCCAGCTATGATTGCTGCGACGACTGCCGTATCGCAAACGGCACGCATCTCATTGGCTGGGCGTTTCTGCCTTTGTCATTCTGCGAGCCTGAAATCAAGAGCGATCTGAAGATTGGGACTGCCAAGACGTATGCTTCATCGCCAGGCGTGTTGCGAAGCTTCTGCAGCACCTGCGGCGCAACCGTCTTTTATTCGCACGATGAACGTAAACATCTAAAGCCAGGTGACTGGCACATTGTTGATCTCGCAACGGGAATCCTTCGAGCGCCAGAGGGGTCCATGGCTGAGAACTGGCTAACCTGGAGGTCGCGCTTGGCTTGGGCGGACAGTGGGAAAAGATTTGATGCGTCGTTTTTCAATGGGCTGGGGGAGGGTATGAAGAAGTACGTTGTTGGCAAGGTGGGGAGGGAATTGACAGACAATATTGCGTGATATTCCTAAGACGCTGAAAGTGACAGCGATGTATTTTGTCATCTTCTTAGCTGAGTGTTGAAGTGTTGTGCCATATATCATGACAGCCGTTCGCGAAACGCGGAATTGAAATTAAAATAATTTTCAAATGCAGAGTTAATGTTCAGATCAAGCGTAATGGAGTTGCGAATTATTGATTGTTTTTTTCTAGATATCATCTCACGTTGCAACGTAACTGCGGCTGATCTATTACGCCGTCGACACTGATTCGAGAGTCATTCAGCTATGACGATGCCGATAGTATCCGGCTAAAAAGACGCTATGATAAGATCAATGGCACCGTCTCTTTTCCAAAGAGCAACTTCCAAATACCTAGCAATCCAACGTTGAAGATAAAAAAAACGAAGAGACAGTTTCAAGATTCTGAACTCACCCACTCGTCGGCGAAATACACGAGACGAGACAATCTGCCCGACGCTTCTGCAGCTCAACCAACCAAGACTAACCAACCAACCAATTTTTGACTTTTTCTTTTTCACAAACTAGAGCCGATTCCGGCGAGGCTTTCTCACTCGCCCAGTGGGGGTGTTTTGGGGAACTTTTATATGAGGTCAATCCTGCAGCACGCGCAGCAGATAAGGGAAAAAATAATAATAAAAGGAAAACCCCCTGGTTGATTCGCAACAACCGATGCGTTATGCATCAACGCGACCCACGACCTTTTTGTTCAGATTTATAGCCGGGCGCATACGGACTGTGCGAAGCATGGCGTCTACAAGCAGGTCTTACAATGTATGGACATGTTTCTTTCTTATGAGCCTTTTCACTCACAATACTACCTATACCGTGAAATAAATGAATTCTTATCCATGTCTGATAGGATGCGATTGACAAGCTCAATGAGCTTCAGACGCCGTTTGCGGTGATTCAAGCTCGCCACAAGGCTGGCATTCTGCCTGATTCTGTCCTTGGCATCGCAAAGATGAGGGCGTATCTCACCCGGATCGGATATACTGTGTGTAACGACTGAACTTCCCCCCTCCTCGTTTCTCAAATCCGAAGAACGATGCAACCAGCTTACTCTCGTTATTTTCTGCTTTAGCCTGCGGACCTTGATCGTCTAAACATCATCCACGTAGCGGGCACAAAGGGAAAAGGAAGCACCTGTGCCTTTGTCGACTCCATCTTCTCTCAGTACCAGCAGCGGCATGGCAGTCCTCGCAAGACGGGTCTCTTCACATCGCCGCATCTCATGGCCGTGCGCGAGCGGATCCGCATAGACTCCAAGCCCATCTCAGAAGAGCTTTTCGCGAAATACTTCTTCGAGGTGTGGGATCGCCTTGAGGAGTCGAGAGAGGCCCCTGACCCGGAAGTGCCGTTTGGATCAAAGCCGGTGTATGCCCGCTATCTCACCCTCGTGAGCTGGCACGCGTTTTTGCAAGAGGGCGTCGAAGCGGCCGTGTACGAGACGGGCATAGGGGGAGAGTACGATTCGACAAATCTGGTGTCGAGCCCGGTTGCGTCGGGCATCAGCACGCTTGGCATCGACCATGTCGCTGTGCTGGGAGACACCGTCGAGAAGATTGCCTGGCACAAAGCCGGCATCATGAAGACGGGCAGCCCGGCATTTACGATTGAGCAGCTGCCCGGGGCAGAAGAGGTTCTCGTGAATCGAGCCAAGGAAAAGAGCGTTGATTTGCAGGTGCTGAAGATTGACCGTCGCTTGGAAGGCGTGAGAATCCGACCAAACGCCACGTTTCAGAAGAAGAATGCGACGCTGGCAATCGCCCTCGCGGAGACGGCCCTCAAAAGACTAGGACTCATAAAAGGGACCTCGGAGGCGGAGCTGCCCCGGGAATTCATCGACGGCTTGGAACAATGCGTCTTCAGGGGTCGGTGCGAAGTGAAGCAGGAGAACAAGGTGACTTGGCATCTGGATGGCGCCCACACTGCAGACAGCTTGAAAATGTCGTCCAAGTGGTTCGCCAGCGAGATTACTGGCCGGTAAGACATGAGGAAGCCCAGAATGATAATGGAAAGTAAAGATTACTTACAATATGACCAGGACTGGCCCCAGAGTCATGATATTCAACCAGCAAGGCCGCGTCGAAGCAATCGATTTCCTTCAACCCATTTGCAACGCCCTCAAACGCCATGACGACGACAAACCATCCTTCGACCACGTCGTCTTCTGCACAAACGTCACATACGCCCAAACGGGCTACAAGCGCGACTTTGTCAACAACACCATTGACCCTGCCGAGGTCGACAAGCTCACCGTCCAGCGCAGCTTTGCCGACAAGTGGTCTGCCATCGACCCCAAGGCCAAGGTGGTTGTCCTACCAACCATCGAGGACGCCTTGAACTATGCCCGCGGCGTGGCGGCGAGTGCGCCTGAGGGGCAGGCAGTGCAGGCGTATGTGACGGGGAGTTTGCACCTTGTGGGCGGTGCGTTGGGCATTCTCGAGGAAACGGATGCTTTGTAATACGATTGGAATAATGTGATGATGTGGAAGCTTTGTGAAAAAAAGGGTCAAACGATAATGATAATTGGAATTTTGGGCTATAGACAAAGAAAATATTATATATAGAGAGACTCGCGTGACGCAACTATTTTGGTGTATTTTGCCCCTCTTCTTTCTTTCTCTATTTTTACGATTCAAGAACTTGCAGTACACTTCCGACAAGATGCAAACTTCCCGTGACCAAAATCCTCGTCTTTCTTGACCCGCCATCATCCTGCCCTTGCGCAAGTCTTCTTGCCTCTGCCACTGTATCCGCAGCGTTGTCAAATATCTGCACTTGACACCCGGGAACCAAGCTGCGCATCGTCTCCGCCGCCTGCTTCTGCACATCAATGTCCCTTAGTTCTCCATCAGGGGGCCTTGGGATCTCGTTGCGTGTGAAGATGGCATGTCGGAATATGTCTTGTCTCCCCGCTTCCCTCTTTGCAGCTTCGACAAAGTCGGCCAATAGTTGTGATATGTTCCTTTCCTGTTGGTTGAATACCAGTATCAAGGGCTCATCCGTGCTTGAATGGTGCTGGATAGACCACTTTGCCACTTCTTCCAAGCTGTCTTTTGTATGTGCTCCGTCCAAGAGCCACTCTGCCGTCCCGTCATTGACAACCTCACATCTGCCCCTGGGTTTCGCCTCCTGCAGTCCTTGAATCATCTTCTCGGGGATATTCTCCAGCGGCCCATCTCCTCTCATGTCAAGATGCTCCCTCACAGCCGCGACAGCCAGCGCTTGGTTCTTCTTCTGAAAATCTCCCTTCAACAGACCACTGACACCACCCCATTGCTCAATGTCTTCATTTTCAATCTCCACCAGCTCGGCCTTCTTTTCTGCGGCTCTCTCTCTTAGCACCTTCATGACTCCCGGCTGTTCATCCAACTTCAATGTAAATCCCTTGACCCCAGGCTTCAATATCCCTGCCTTGTGCCATGAAATCTTCTCCACCGTGTCCCCCAGCATTGCCACATGGTCAATCCCCAATTGCGAAATAACCGCAGCCGAAACAGCCTCCGCGGGTAGTACATTCGTCGAGTCATATTCGCCGCCAATGCCGCACTCAATAACCACATCTTTGATCCCTTCCTTGAGGAAGATATGCCACGCAAGAATCGTCAAGAAACGAAAGTAAAACGGCTTCGACGCCGTACCTTCAGCCTCAGCAGGCGCCATGCCCTCCTTCACAGCAGCCTCCGTCAATCGATCCCAGACTTCAAAAAAGGCACTGGCAAATACTTCTTTTCCGACAGGCTCGCCATTGATAGCGATGCGCTCCCGCACATTCACAAGATGCGGGCTCGTATACGTCCCCACGGGCCGATACTTCGTCAGCATGGCTGTCGCGTACGCGCAGACGGAGCCCTTGCCCTTTGTGCCCGCCACGTGAATGTGCCGCATGCGACTGAGGTCTTGGGGCGTGTATCCTGCGCGCCGAAGCCATTCCAGCATTTCTGGGATGGCGAGCGCATTGAGGTCCTGGGGAGACTTTTTCTCTGATGATTCAAAGAGGCTGGTGACGATGCGGTTGGACTGGAGGAGAGCCAACTTCTCGAGGGCTGCGTTGTAGTCTCGAGTCATGATGCGGCTGTACTTGCGGCTCCCTGACTGGATTGATGATCTGATGGTATGATTTATACGTGTTGGGATGAGTGAAGCGAATGGGAAGCGCACTTTCTGAGCAAGCCCAAAGCTCATATTCTGGATACGCATAAAGCAAAGATTAAGAGGAATGAAGAGAGAATGTTACATCATCTCATTGACTTCTCACTGGGTTTCTTGAAGACTGGCCACAGTGCTGATGTAATGATGAAGGTTAAATTCTATGGAATTCTGAGTGCAGATACTAAATGGCGGGGCACGGGTTTTATGAGCACCACCACCAACCACCACTTGATGCAACCGATATCAAATTCTGCGATGCATAATTTCCATGTTCATGTCAAGATAGAGTGGATGCAGTCTTTGAAGTCATTCACTAGGTCACAAAGAAGATTCAAAACCAATATTAAATACTTTGATGCAACATAATATCACCTTTTTCTTGAAACTTGAACCACCAGTATCTATTCCTAACTATACACGGGCCAGAAGCCCTCTCTACTTTTTTTCCTCCTCTGATTCAATCAATATACAGGACCAAAGAAATAATCTCAATACTAATTTAATTTTTACTCTACGCGCAGGCTCTGTAGTCTAGCCTCTGCAGCAATGACCTATCGTATTATAATTAGCAAAAATGTCATTCCGTTGAAAAAGGGGGGCAACGGAAAAAAAAAAAAAACTCACATCAAGCGCTTGCTGAACCTCGAGAACCTTTCGAGCCTCAGACAGCCAATCCTTACTCAAAGTCTTGGCCCAACCCTGCAGGCCAGTCATCTCTCTGGTCGCAGCATCCAGGTCTCCCTCCTCTAGATAGGTCTGCGTGCGAGTCAAGATGCTCTCGACGTCGTCTCCCTCCGCAAGACCCTGCTTCTTGAACATGACGTGGCTAAGAACCCAGCTGGATGCGTGGCTGGCAACGCCCGCATCGTCAGGGAGTAGAGAGGCCTTGCGGACCTCGCTGGCAACGCGGCGGAATCTGTCAATCAGCTGGGATGAGGTAGCGATACCCCGCTGGTAAGCTGAAGGCGTGATTGAGGCAACGGCAGCATCGACGACGGCGTCGTCTGTGGCAATCTCCTTGAGGGCGACGAGCTCGCGGATAAAAGGACGAGGGTGCTGGCCATCCTCGAGACTGGCGCGAACGGCCTCGACGGCGACGTGAAGCTGCTGGGTCTTGAGATTGGTGTCGACAACCTCGTTCCAGCCAAGAGTGAGCTTCTCCAGCTGGGATACAGCTGCCGAGAGATCGTTGAGCTTGCCAATGCGGCTCTCGCGCTCCTGCTCGACGCGGCTCTCAACCTCTTTGAGGAAGTCCTTCTTCAAGGCAATCGCCTGTTCCAGGAGCTGGTTTTGGAGTTTGTCCTCACTGAGCTTCTGCTCACGCTCAAGCAGAAGCTTGACTCTCTCGTCATAGCTGTCGCGAACAGTCTTCATCTGCTCCTCAAACTCTTGGCGCCAAGCAACCTCTTGCTGGGCAATGGAGCCCTCAACACGTCGAACAAGCTCGTTGGCGGCGGTATCAAACTCGGCAACGGTAGATCGGACATCCTCAGCCGCCTTCTTCTCAGCTTCGTCCTTGAGACCCCTCAAACGTCCACCAATCCTCAAAACCTCATCCTTGGCCTTGTTGATGGTCGAAGAGTACTTGTTGTGTGCGCCGTCGGCGTTGATAACCAAGATGAGATCGTTCAGCATGTGGACAAGGTCTCGAACGATGGGCTCCTTGGCATCGGGCAGCGTCATCAGATCGATAAACCTCAGGGGCTTAGACGCAGGCTTATCTTTGGGCTCGGTCGCAGCGGCCTTGAAGGTCTTTGGCTCTTCCGGAGAAACCTTGTCGATGGGCTTGGCAGCGACAGCAGTCTTCTTCTCTGGCTCAGCAGGCTTGGGAGCCTCCTCGGCAGATGGCTTCGCAGCCTTCTTGCTAGCAGGAGAGGCGCTTGTGCGGCGCTCAGAAGGCTCTGTCTTATCCGCTACCCTCCAGGAAGCGCCGCTCTGGGCAGGGATCCTGACCTTCTCGACAGCATCGGGATGTCTGGCACCGCCAAGGGGAGCCTGGGGGAACCTCTTCTTGAACTCCAGCTCCTCCAGGTAGAGGACGGCCTGCTCGCCAAAGGGAATGTACTCGGTGAAAAAATCGTGGAAGGAGTCGTTGATGCGCGAGTACCACACCCCGGCGCCAAAGGAAGCACCACCAAGCACAATCAGGGTCAGGATAAAGTTCCTCAGTCTCCTGAAAAATCCCTTCTTCTTCTTTGGCGGCGGGCTGGACTTGGGCGCCACGCTCTGGCTCTCGGTGGACGTAGGAGGCGGCGGCGGCGGCGTGGGGGGGATTTCTGCCGAAGTAATGGTCGTGTCGACGGGGCCCTGCGCAGGAGGAGGAGGCGTGCGTTCAGAGCTCAGCGTCTCGGACGTGGGCAGAACGGGGGGCGTCTTCTGGTCGGCGTAGAATCTCTAGATATTGCACCGGCTCGTCAGTCGCAAAATTTCCCCTCGGGATTCCCCAAAAGCTGCAATTACCTTGGCCAGCATGGGCGCTCGTTGCGCCGCGGCAACAGACCATTGGCGCCCGGCGGCAGCCGCAACGGGCTTGCCGCCTAGCAATCTCGCTGACCGAAGCGATGACCGCAACATTGGAATTGCAATGGCCAGCAAAAGACGAGTGGATGGAGGTTGGATCGGGATGCCAAGGCCAAAAGTTGACCCATGGAACAATAAACGCTCAGGGCAAAAGTTCGGCTAATGGGAGCTCCAGACGGCCGGCAGGAACCGGATCCGTGACGCAACGGATGGCCAATGCCATGCCAGTAATGCTTTCATGGCTGCCAAAAAAACAGGAACATTGATACTCAGCCATAAAATTATACGTGTGTTTCTTTATTTTCTTTCAATTTATTTTCTAACTTCTTCTTTTTCTCTTGTGCTGTCACGCCAAGTCTTTTACCCTTAAGCGCACAATTTAGACCGTGCATGCATACGGTTCCTGTTTCTCGACATTCGATGCATCGATCCACCAGTTCATACGCCCCGGCTTCTGCGGGAGCATACCTGCATCCGCAGATCAAGCACACTTCAGGAGAGCAAAAATCACAAGCCCAAGTCTTATCAAAGCAGCAATCTATTAGACGCTCAGTCATATTCTCCGAAGGACAGAATACACATCGTTCCCGTATCTCATAATCCTCCACCAGGCATCTTGTAGCTCAGAAACATGCCCATCTGCGACAAAAGCTACTCTTTAACTCTCTCTCTTTGCACATCCCAGTGCATCAGGAGGGGACTCAAAAAAATCAAGGGTGCATATTAAAAAAAAGGGGGGGAGGAAAATAAATAAAAGGTCCATAAAGAATAAATCGTCAGCCAATACCCTCCAAACCCAAGACTCCGAGAAATTTACGACGCACCCGGGCTTGCACAATGCAAGCCAAGGCTTTGAATCACTGCTGTCAGTCTATCCCGGCCTGAACCTGAACCTGAATGATCAATCACTCCCACGTATTCATTGCTGGACGTAGGGTACATGGGCATCATTAAACGTCCAGCCGTAGCATCGTGTCATGTATCGTTTAGCAGCTGCATGGTCCGTTGACATTCGTGTTGGAATTCTCTGGAGCAAGACTGACGCCGGGTCGTTGGCCAGGTCGCGCATGTCTGGGTCCGGCTTGGTCCAAGGGAAGCTTCTTTGCAATGGCAGTGAAGAGTTCTCGCACGTTCTCGGCAGTCTTGGCAGACGTCTCAAAGAAGAGAAGGCCGGCCTCTCGGGCGTAGGCCTCGGCATCTGCAGTTGGGATGGCTCGCTTATCGGGCTGTTCGTTGACCAAATCGAGCTTGTTTCCAGCAAGCGCAATGATGATGTTCTCATTTGCTTGGCGCTGTAGTTCTTTTACCCACGCCTTTGCTTTATCTAGTGATGCCTGGAATCCTGGAATTAGTACAAAGGCAAAATCAAACTTGATCAATCTCTGGGGTATTCTTTCAACGTACGGATTGCGTGATATCGTATACAACAACGGCACAGTTGGCATTTCGGTAATACATGGGAGCCAGCGACTTGTATCGCTCTTGGCCGGCCGTATCCCAAATCTCGAACTTGACCGTCGTGTTCTCATCGAGGGAGATGGTCTGAGTGAGGAAAGCGGCTCCAATGGTGGATTCTCTGAAGGAGTCAAATTGATCCTGGCAGCCTCATTAGCGACACGGTCCAAAAGGCTCGATGGCATCGGGTGCGCAGCATACCTTGACAAAACGAAGGACTATTGAACTCTGTACCGGTACGTTAGCTTTCCATGTGCTCGGCGCCGCAAGTCAAGTTGTGGCAAAAGTTACCTTTCCAACAGCAGACTCGCCTGTCGCAAAAGCTACGTTAGCACACTGCGTATTATCTTGTCGGATGATTGTTTGTTAAACGCACCCAAAAGGACGAGCTTGAACTGCGCAAAGCGAGTGTTGAGGCCGGGTCGGCCAGCGGGCGGTGCTCGAGCGGCCATTATGAGGGTTTGTTGATGCTTGCTGCGCTATGCCGATATGCAAAGAGGCGGGCGTCGTCGGGCGGGGGAATGGTCGCCGATAGTGTCGGATGCAATAGAATCTGCTCGGGCGCCAGACAAAGGCCGGTCGAGATGTCACAGGCGGTGGCGATAAGGGCCGTTGATGCGGGATGAGATGCGCAGGCGATGGTATGAAGCGGCAAAAGAGTTGAATGACGGTTGAGAATGGAGTGGCTGCGGCGAACAGATACGAGTACGGGCGAGGTACACGTCAGGCTAGAGGCTTGAGAGGGTCAGATGGCCAATGGCTGCCTCTGCATTATGTAAGCCACGGTCTGCGAAATGCTTGGCTCCCGTCAAAGTCCGCTGTCATGGTTAGGTCAGTGTTTTAGCCGGTGCCTGTAGCCGCCTGGCATGATCAGATGTCTTTTGGCGCTCAAGGGAGAATAGCTGATATCCATGGCACGAACTTGTTTTCTCCTTGTGCAGTTTAAATCCCATTATTACCGTGATTTTTTCCTAATTTGTCCAAGCACCAACGTGGGACACTTGGTATTCCATCTCTTCACTGGGTGTAAAGTCCGCCAACATCAGTCGAATATGAATCTTTGAACAAGGATAGATAGATCCGGCTACAGAGCAAAGCAGTCGCAGTTAAGTATGCAAAAAATCTTAATTCATTAGATCAATCTATATGTACAAATCTGTCTTATATATATATATACGTGCTCCCCAGCTCTGATCCCAGATTGCTGTGAATATGCTATTATAGAGTCGTTCATCCCGTCTTTTTATGTTGTATTGCGAAGCCTCGCCAACTCCGTACCCAGAGAATAAATTCTGCCCACGCCGAATCATGACCATGATAAAAACCCAAAAGAAAAGAAAAACCCAATGTATAATAGTTGGGCGCGCAGAGAAGTCTGAAAAAAAGAAATCGCTTGCGGCCGGAAGGAAGAAGTTGTACAGCTTTGATACACAACAGGAGTTATAGCCCTCCAAAAGGGCTTGTGACAAAAGTCATCATGGTAGCTGTGCTAATAGCTGTAGCTGCCGCTCTTGCTCCAGTCGTGCATTCTCTGCTGCTATCCGCTTGTTCTCCACGTCCTGGATGATTTGGCTCTGCTCATTCTCCGAGTAGTGGTCCCAGCTGGCAATGTTCTCGTCCCACTTGCGAATGCACTCGGAATCCCAGTTGCAGTCTTCGACCTGGCCGTAGGCAGGGTGCTTGAATCGGGGGTGGCGGCTGGGCCAGTTGGACGCGTGGAAGTGGTGCTTGACGAGGGCGTTGCGAGCATTGTGGTTGCCAGAGTCAGAGTGGCCCTGTCCGGCGCAAAAGGCCTCGACGGTGAGGACGAGGATGCCGCCCACGAGCTTGGACTCGTCCATGTTATGGAACTGGTCCCAGGTGACCTTGGGTCCCTTTGTCTTGTGGTTCATCTCCTCGAGCATGGCGGTGGTGAATGCAGAAGGGCCAGTGCCGCTAATGACTTGGTCAAAGTCGAGCTGCACTTCGCCCAAGGCCACGCCCTGCTCTCTGGCGACGGCCTTGAACCACTTCATGATGTTTTCAATTAATCGCATCATGACGGGCTGCTCGGGGCGTGCAATAAATGTCCATTGGCAGAAAGACATAGACTTCTTCCCCAAGATGGGGTGGTCTTTGAATTCGGGCTGATCAATTTCAATGCCGATAATCAGATCAATGTCCTTTTCGTCGTAGCGATCTGGGATGAAGCGGTGGAAAGGCTTCATGGTTTCGACGTCAATGTCGGCGTAAATGCCGCCTTCGGCATACATGACCATGTATCGCAGAAGATCGGCCTTGATAATGGGGAGATTGATGCTCTTGTAGAACTTGACAATGTCTGGGCGGTTGTAGCCATGAGGGCCATACCGATCCTCAATGTACGCCATCTCGTTGGCATCGGTGATGACTTCGTATCTCATGCTGGGGTTCTTCTGAGTCCATGTCTGCGCCGTCAAGAGATCGCGCTCTTCGAAGTTGAGAGGATCAACTTTCCACGTCTGCCAAATCTTTTGCGGAAATGTGCTGCCGGGCACAGCAGGGGCTTTTGGTTGGCGGCGAAGGACGGCGGTGGGACTGGGTATGGCCAAGACCCAATCGAAGTTGACAATGAGGAGGAAGACGCCAACGATGGCGAGGTAGAGAGGCAGACACCGCCTCATCTGTGTGGGCACCTTGTTGCGGAAGGGGCTGGCTGAGGACATGAGCCTCGGTGATCCTAGGGGAGAGTTCATGATGATGGACTCCTCCTTTCTGCTTCTCTCCTTGTACTGTAAGAGGAAAAAAAGAATATGATGGCGCAAATAAGAAGATGGGAATGGCACGGTTGCCTTAGAGAGTGGGTATCATAATACGCACAACCGCCACGAGTATAAAGGAGGAAAAAACTGGGTTGAGAGGCTTGCTATCTGATAGCAAAGCAAAGTCAAACGACTGAGGATTTTCGAGAGTGGTCTGTGTCTGTTGCGCCTCGGCCACGTAATAGACCACTGACCGGTAAGAAATACTTTTTGCACTGGATGAATGTAGCAAACTTTATCCACAGTCGTCCTCGTAGATGCTGTAACCTGTTTGTCCTGGCTATCAAGTATACGCGCGAGCGAGACTCGACGATATCAGCAAAACCGGGGGGAAGAGAGACGAGAAAAAACAGCCGCCGCTCCTGGCCTATGCGCGTATTATACTCTGGTCACATCAAAAAGAACCGTCCGGGCCGTCCATGGGTGCAATTACAGCAGATTCGTCACTTTGGCATCTCCCGCCTGGCCATCCAAGACCAGGTCGTAGAAGTACGAGTACAATCGGCCGATGCCACGGGCTAGCAGCAGGGGTGGGCTGCGCACTAAGGCGGTTTAGCTGGATGGCGAGGATCCCAGGATCCATGCAGGTGCAGAACTTGACTTTGGCGTGGCGGATCCCTGCAACAGCCGGCCAGGGGATCTGTTGATTACGTTTGGGGCCACAAGCACGCCGAATTGCTGCGATATTAGAGCCGGGCACAGCTTCCAAAAGCGTCCTACGGCAGCGGCAGAGACGGACAGTGAGAATTGCAAGGAATGCCTACGTTGGAGAAGAGCCAGCTTGGGGAACACGGGGGAGGCCAACGTGAGTCTAAGAGTACCTGCAATGTCCGCAGGACGGTCCATATTTGTGGTCATCGGCGTAATGTCACGGACTTTTTTGTTTTTGGTTCATCACCCTCTGCGTAGTGTCTCATGTAACCTTTCAACGTTATATACAAGTGACACAAAGAGTAATTCGCCGTGTGATGACCTCCTATGGCAATCTGATATGCAGCCTCTACTTTGGGCAGAGTAAACTTTGGCCGTCTTTCTACGGCGGTTCTCCCGTATGAGCTTAATTTAGTATTGGCAGAAGAACAAGATAAACAGGTTTCCATTGTGGCCGGTACCGGTACGAGTGGCTGAACAACGGCGAGGCCCGCAGAGGCGCTACTACAAAAGAGCTTCTGCTTACAAGTACTAGCTGAGACGGCGCGCGGGTATGGCCCGACACCGACTTCTGGGCGTTGCAACTCTACGAGGTACTGCTACTTGAAGCTGCGTGATGCCATTTACCTGCTGTTTGTAAGCCCTGGATGATGAGGCAATAAGCAATAAGCACGCTACAGTGGCCCGTGTTCTGAAAAAAATAGAATTACATACTTGTACATGTAGTCAAATCCTTGCGTGCACATGTGTGTTATCGGCTGTCCATTATCAAGTCCCAGACTTTGTTGAGTGGCTGGCGCAAATCACGCCTCCCGAGCCGGAATGCTGCCTCCTTTTTTCCTCGTTGCACCAGACCAATGACGAAAATTACAGCTGAATCTGCACCTTAGTTGGCCGGTCGTGTGTCCGAGGCGCCCAATCAAGCCTCTCCCACCGCACGAGATGCACAGCTCCCGTCTTGTCAGGACCCAAACGGCAGCATCATTCCATGATCCAATGGCACTAGACAGTTTTGTGTGTGTGAGGGGTAGCCCATCACCCCCATGCAGAATGCAAGCCACCGAGCAGGGGGGCCCCTGTGAGATGGAACGCTCTTCCGCTGAAGGGCTTCCTCTCCACACTCGTGTCCTGGGCCGCGCAAGAAACATCCTAGGGATTCCAATTTTCGATGGAGCCCCGAGGTTGGGAGCAGCAGATCCCAATGTGCGGGAATACTGGCGCTGATGCTCGTTGCTTGTGGCGTCTTATGGCGCTTGGTGTGCGGAGAGCCGAGTTGGTGGTGTGGGCTATGGGCCATGGGCTATGGGTACATACTCTGCAGACCTTTCGGCTGTTTCTCATCCAACTTACACGGGCCACGCCAGCATAAACCACGGATTTCCATGTGACAGTTTGCAACATCCTCGCAACAGCAAGGCAAGACTGCGCATCGCCGGCTCTGGGCGCATTCCGGAATACCGAATATAGAGCTCGATTTGCCTCATACCCATGCGTCATCGCCTTGTCCTTGCCCCCCCAGCTTCTGTCAAGGTAACCCCCCTCTCCACCGCCGGCTGGGATTCTGGATCGTGCTCGGCATCAACAAGTGCTGGTCCTTGGAAAATCTCTCGATAATCTTTCGGGTCATGTCGTCAGCTTGCAACTGCGCCTCTACGCACATCCCGCACCAGACTCAACTAGTCCGCCTGTAGCTTCGGGACCCCGCGTGCCATCGTCGCCTCCGCATGCTTCTGACCTCGGGACGAGCCTTTATCATCTGCATCTGCTCTCGTTTTTTCGGCTTGTGAAAGCTGGGGAAGCATCTGTGCGGTGGGACTCCCGCCTCGTGTCATCATCCTGAGACCAGATTAACGAGTACGAAGACAGTCCGTGACCCTCGGACTCTGGGGTTACGGGGCAGTAGATCGATCATCGAATCGAATTTTATCGATTGAATCTGGGGAAACGCGTGGTGGCCTGGTCTCCCGTGCGAGGCTCTTACGACTGAAGTTGCAACGAGCAGTCTCTCTCTTTTCACTCTCTCTGCCCCTTTCCCCTTTTCTTACTGGCGGGACACGCTATTCATTGCTACGCCAGTATGATGGAAACCCCGATTCTCGACACCAGCAAAGGCTGGGAAGAGATCAAAACCGACTATGATCCGGAATTGATCAAAGAGTCAAAGGGATATACCATCTGGAAGGCACCCAGCCATGTGCCCAGGCACAAACGGGCTCTTAGCCGCTTCATCACCCTCATCCAACGGATACCAGAGGCCTTTACAATAGCCGAGAATCTGCGCCCGACGGCCTATCTCGATGGCCTCCGCGGCTTTGCAGCCTTCATTGTGTACTGGCATCACCACGAGCTATGGGTTCACGGTTGGACAAGTCAAAACTCCATTCTGGACAATGGCTTCGGCTACGACAGCAAATACCACATGGCTGCGTTCCCCTTTATTCGAAACTTCTTCACTGGCGGACACTTTGCCGTATCAACCTTCTTCATCATCTCCGGCTATGTTCTCTCTTTGAAGCCGCTGAGCCTCATGCAGGCCGGTGAAGTTACAAAGCTGGGCGACAATCTTGCATCGGCCTTCTTCAGACGAGCCCCGCGACTCTACTTGCCAATCATCGCCGTCATCGTTGTATATCTAACGTCGTGGCACATGCTTGGCTTGTGGGTCAATGGCAAGACAAAGGCAGGAAGCTGGGCGGATGAGATCTGGACTTTCTACTGCGAGTTCAAGAATTTCACCTTTGTCTTCAAAGAGGGAGGTGTCCCCTGGCTCAGCTACAACGGCCACCTGTGGTCCATCCCAGTCGAATTCAGAGGTTCCATGGTCATCTATGCATCGCAGCTGGCCTTGTCCCGCTGTTCCAAGAATGCCCGGCTGTGGTGCGAGGTGGCGTTGATATGGTACTTCATGTTCGTCGCAGACGGCGCTCACTTTGCCATGTTCTGCACAGGCATGCTGCTCTGCGATCTGGACCTCTTGGCCAAGAAGGACGAGCTTCCGCTGCTTCTGTATCGCCTCGAGCCGTACAAAGACTTCATCTACTACCACCTTCTCGTCTTCGGCCTCTTCCTGGGCGGCGTCCCCGGCGAGAGCTCGGACGTCGAGAACCTGCGCAAGAGCCGCGGCTGGTACTACCTGGGCTGGTTCAAGCCCCAGGCAGTCTTCGACTACAAGTGGTTCTACCTCTGGATCGCGGCCACCTTTCTGGTTGCGGCCATTCCGCGCATCCCCTGGCTGAAGCGCTTCTTCGAGACGCGCTTCTGCCAGTACCTGGGCCGCATCTCCTTTGCGCTGTACATGGTCCACGGCCCCGTCCTGACGATTCTGGGAGACCGGCTCTACGCCGCCACCGGCTGGAAGACGGACGAGCACCTGCGGCACATCCCACACTGGGTGGACAAGCTGTACCTCCCCAAGTCGGGCCCGCTGGGGCTAGAAGTCTCGTTCCTGGTGCCCAACCTGATCCTGCTGCCCCTGACGCTGGCGCTGGCGGACGCAGTCACCAGATGGGTGGACACGCCGAGCGTGACTTTTACGTCGTGGCTGTATCGCAAGACGCTGGGCGGCGGTCCAGAGCCGCTGCTGCTCGGGAAGCAGGCCAGGGCGTGAGACTGTGATTGGCGCCCCGCGGCTAAAATTGCATCTTTACGAGCGAGCGATTTAATATTTTGTTTATATTGTTCTAGAAGGGAAAAAAAAGGCCGACGACTAATCTTATTTTTTCTTTCTTATTTGGCCGAAGGATTTCTTACAGGCTACGGGCATTGGTCTGTTCCTGCAGACGGGCAATATGGGCTCGGCATGTTTTAATGAGACTACTGCTGCATGTTGGTTGTTGGTCGACGGGCTCTTGGCGCAAACGAGTACATGTACATACAGGACAACTTCATTTGGGATTTGGATGCTTTTTAGGGCTCGGTGTATTTAGTTAGGGGCTGCAGGCACCCAACAAACATGGGTAATGTCACTGACGGTTTTTTTCACTTTGAAATTAAGTACCGTGGCTGTTTTTCCGGGCTCACTCAGCCAACGAGAGAAGTTCATCTCTTCTCTAAGCGACTTCTACGGTTTTGCTTCTTTTGGCTAGTCGTTTGTTATTCTGGAGCAGCCATCTCCTGACGATTATAGACACCAGGCTTGCCGATAGTATTGAGGTCTATGCTGTGCCTATTAAAGCAACTGGGTAGTAGACTAATGTCCATCCAAGGGGTTGAGGCTGCTCCGTGCAATATCTTCATCGCTCGTTTGTCTGCGGATGTGGCTGAACTGGGAATTGCCTAACTTGGGCAGGGCACCAACCAAGCGATCTCGTCTATCTGCTTGGCCCGTTGGCTGGAGTCCGCTGCTAATCCTCTGCCAAGCAGCGGTATAGATGCCTCGGCTTGAGCGCACATGTGCCACACGTTTGATAGTTGGGTACCTATGTATGCAGTGCATCAAAATCCAATACCATCAACAACCACAGCGATCAGAAATCAAGATTTATCCCACACAGCCCTCGTCATCATAATGTCATCCCTCTCCTTTTTCCCATCTCAAATTTTCCCTCCTTCTCAAATCTGGGGCACGCGGCGACATACCACAAAGAAAAGAAAAACCCACGGAACGGTCAAATGCCCAGAAGCAGTCTAAGCGCCTGTCCCCATCCCCGCTGCGACCTTGTTTGATTCCGGCAGTGCGCAGTGCCGATCGCTGATCTGCGCCCAGCACGTTCGGTGCTAGTCCTGGCACAAGGGCTGGCCGCTAGAACCGAATCTGGCCTTGCTGGCACAACCTTTTCTTTTTTTCTCTCTTTGGCTCCGGTTGAATGTGCCTCTCCCCCTGGTGTCTTGGTGGAGGCCGCTAATATGTGGAGGTGGGACATGGGCTAAAGATTATGGAGAGTGGGAGAGTACAGGTACATGTACAGGTACAAGTGCTTCTGCTCTGTGCAGCAAAAACTTGGAGTTTTGGGGTTTTTGGGGAAATCGCATGCTGTTTTCCCTCGGCTTCTGCTTTTGCATATGACAATCCCCTCTGCTTCTGGCTTCTAGGTGCTATGCCCTAGTTCCCAGATTTTCAAGGGCACTGCTGACGCCCATCAGCTTGGCTGAGTCTCTCTGCCCGCCTCATCTGACCAAAAGTGTCTCAGCAGCTGTAGCGCCTATTCGCAGATACATCATCACCGATATCACACCCCCAGCGAGGCGTTGCAATGTCTGGATTATAGTGCTAGCCACACCTTCAAGGTTACATTCTTCCATCTCAGCGTGCCAGGCTCCCTGGTACGTTCCAATCCGTGGCGAGAGCAGCCGTCTCCACTTGAGTCTGCAAGACTGCTCATCCTCATTAAGCTGGCTCACTACAGTAAGAGAATTTGCCTACGGGAGCAGTAGTCCAGTATACTTGTACAAGGCAGATAGGGAAGAATTCGGCCATTCGCTACGTACCTACGCATAGCAGCCTCTTACATCATTTGCCCTTGCTTGCTGCTGCTACGAGACTGAAATACGAGTGCCGTAGAGTAATTGGACAGTCCCTATTCACCGAGCCACATTGGCTGCACATCCAGCACATCGTATGGCTTACAGTCGCCATCATTGCTTCTCATCTTCTCATCTTCTCACCGCCGCATCTCGGATCCCAATCGGCGGCCATTGAACCCTGTAACTGCAAAATTTTCTGCACACATCTCCATCCAGGCCTGAGCGTCTAGTTCATTTCCATTCTCCGCCATCGACACCGTCCATATCGCCGTGCTTAAGCGACTCCAGAGTCCCAATTTCGCGGTGGAGCCGTAAATCACCAGCTTGGCTCTTTTAGGCCCGCCTGGGGCTTTTGACTTCCTTTTCGTATCGTCTCTCATCTCGATGGTTCTGCATCTGGGAACCAGGTTGTGGTGGCGTCGATCCGAGTACGCCTTTGCAGCCTCGCGTTAAGCGCCTATCTAAAGCATTGTCTTGCGTAATTCTATTTCCTGAATGCTACAACGCCACATGGTTCCTACCAAACATTAATCTCCAAGGGGCCTATTTTTCAAGATTGAGCTTCTAGAATCACCAGTCATTCTCTTTCTCATCCCCAAACCTACCTAGAACGTTATAGAAACCCCCACGCGCACAACGACCAGGTTGCTTCAATTCGGAGTCTCCCTTTCTCGACTGTGCTCCTACTAGGCTTGACTTAGTAGTGCCCTTGCTGCCGTGTTCCGGCAAACGTACATACGGATACCAGCATCTCTTTACATCGCCAAGAGAGGGAACCCACTGTCAAACTCCAAGAGAGGAGGCCTCCCCTGTCAGTGAGGACGTCCCGTCTCGTCCTGGAAAAGCAGCTCGCGCCACACGATCCATATTTCTAGGCCAGCAGCTGCTGGCTATCAGCGGCCTCACAATGTTTGGGAGAGACATGAGGCGCTCATTGCTCTATGTGGTGCCTGCTCTCATCATCCTCTGCGCCATCATCAGTACATATAGGCTATCACCAGATGAAATCAGGATAAATCGATGGATGCAGCCAGCCGACGGCAAAGCCGACTTCAGTCAGGGCAAAGCAAATGCCGGCTCAACTCATGAAGAAGCGGAAGTGCCTCTAAGTTTTGGAAAACCTGAGGCTGCGGGAGATGCTCCGAAGTCGTATCCCACAGGTAACAAGTCTGTCCCTCTTGATATTCAGACCTCTCATCAGGAGATCTTCTCAACCTCAACTTCAGACGGAAAGTACTTTTCCATCGACTTTGCGGGCAAGCACAATGGCATGAACCCCAACATCATCCCTCACCCAACTCTGGAGAATACATGGATTGTGGCGGCTCAGATGGTACGGGGGGAGGCCGAGCAAACCGTCCACTTCACAGAACTTGTCTGCAACGCCGCTTTTCAGGGCAACGTCTTACGATGCCTCCAGCCTCCAAATGTCCTCCCTGTTGTGCCAACAAAGGGTGGCAAATGTGAGGGCGATCTCGCCTACTTCAGCTCCAACATCGGCCCTCATGACGCCCGTGTTGTGTACGGCCCGGATACGCCGTACATCATTTACGGCTCAAACTCCCAGTTCACATGCTTCGGCCAGTTCATTCAAGACTTCCGCGAACTTGTTGACTGGAGAGGAAAGGAAGCCGGTTCTCAGATCTTCCTTGAGGGTACAGAGATGCAGCGCCCGCTGCCATGGAATGCCATCGAGAAGAACTGGTTTCCTTTCTGGGACCCCTTTGGTAACATGTACATCCACTACGACGTCTCGCCTAAACGAGCGTTTGCTCAAATCAGCGCTGATGGCACAGTTGGCCTTGATCTGTCAATTGGAACCGAGGCGGAAGATGCCAAATGCATTGCAAAATACTACCCCCCAATCCTCAACTCTCTCGAGTCGATCCATCAGGCGTCCAACTCGCTTAAAATTACCATGTGCAAGCGAACAGATGCCATCTGCATTGCTAATGAAAGTAACACCTTCATCTTCACCATATGGCAGCACAAGACCTTTTACAACTTCCACGGAGTCTACGAGCCGTACCTTATGCTCTTCCAGGAGCACGCACCTTTTGCGATGCACGCCGTGTCGAAAAAGCCACTCTGGATCCACGGCCGCCAGCAGCAACACGACAAAGACACTTCAGACATGTTTTATGTTACATCAATCGCTTGGAAGCGTCCCGGCGTTACGTATCACGGATACCTGGACGACGAGCTTTTTATTGGATTTGGCATTGAGGATAGGGAGTCAGGGGCTATTGACGTTACGGCTGAGGAGTTAATGTCGGGACTTGGGCTTTGCACAGAGGCATAAGAGGCACAGGATACCCATTAAAGTTGCTTTTTCGATGCTTCCATTTTCGATATCTTACTTTTTTCTCTTTGCAATCTTCGATACGCCATTTTCTTCTTATTCTGGGTATACTAGTCCTATATCAGCTACCTAGAGAGTTTACGAAGAGACGAATGAAACTTAATGTTAATTGTAGCCAATCCAAAACACTCATCCGACGCCCGATGAATGTTAATCTCGTACCCGAGACGCTGTACGAGACTCTGTACGAGATCTTATACGGGGCTCCTTGAAATATCAATTCCGTTACGTGAAAGGGAGAGGCAATAAACCCTTTTATTTGCCCTTCCTTGCTCTTTGATATTGCGTTGCCCCTCCAAGGCTCTATAGGGGGGATAATCAGAAAAACTGCGCCACTCCCCCTTTTGCCAAGTGTGGCTTTGCAGTGACGTTTTGACCACTTGGTGAGGCGGTGCAGTTCCAAACGTCCTTAGCTGGCATTACAGCAACTTCGCATCTCCCTCATTCTTTCATGTGATTGATCCGGGACGAAAACAGCTGAGCTATTCACAACACGGCAAACAGGGCTGGCAGCCTTTAGAAATTAGAGACCCCAGAGAGCTGTGCGGATACAATCAACGGCGCTGTGCCTGTAATCCATAGCTGTTCAGAGCAATGGCGCACCTAGCGGCAGCTAAGCTGCCCTATCGCGATATTAACCTCAAGGTCACCAGCGATGCCTATACCTTTACGTCGCCTTCGTCGCCCGATGCGCCGTCCCTGGTGATTGACCGACCGATGGGAGACATCCGCCTGGTCCAGGGCGGCTTCAATTCAACGAAGCGAGCGACGCGCGTCTCCAGCATCTCCGGCATTCTTGGCATCATCCAGCTGCCACTAGGTCAGTCTTTCTAGGGCTCTGGGCTTCATGCCACGCCAAAATTCATGCCGAACGGGTTCTAATCACGATGGAAACACAGACAAGTATGTCATCATCATCAGCAAAGCCCAGCCTATGGGAAGGCTCAAGGGGCAGATGATCTACAAGGTTATTTCGACCGAGATTCTCCCCATGCGCGAGCGACAGATCCACGACCCGGACGAAGACACCTTTATCAACCTCCTCAAGACATTCCTGGCTCAGGCGCCTCTGTACTTTTCCTACTCGACCGACCTGACCAACTCCATCCAGCGCCAATCCCATGCCGACACCTCCCGACCCCTATGGCTGAGGACAGATGACCGCTTCTTCTACAACAAGCATCTGCAGTCAGAGCTGATACGGTTCCGGACCGCCGGCTCACGCAGCCAGCCTGGCCCGCAGCCTGCGACCGACCCGTACATCCTGCCTTGTATCTTTGGTATGCTCGAGATCAAGCAGACCAAGTTCAAGAGCACGCCTCTGACCATCATCTTAATCTCCCGACGCTCGCGATACCGTGGTGGAACTCGATTCTTTACTCGTGGTGTCGATGAGGAGGGCCATGTTGCCAACTACAACGAGACGGAGCAGATTGTCATTCTCAACGACAGCAGTACAGGGCTGGGAGGCTTCGCAGGCAGCAGTGATATGCAAAGTGGCAAGTTTGGCACGTCGGCAGGCCAGGAGGTGCAGGTCCTGTCCTACGTCCAAACCCGTGGCAGCGTGCCGACTTTCTGGTCTGAGATTAACAACTTGAAATATACGCCGAAAATTCAAGTGCGAAGCACCGATGCTGCTCTCGCCGCGGCAGCGAAGCATTTCGAAGAGCAGATCCGTATCTACGGCGACAACTACCTCATCAACTTAGTCAACCACAAGGGGCGAGAGCAAAAGGTCAAGGAGTCTTACGAGCAGATGACCAAGGCTCTCGTATCTATGCCCAAAGAGCAGCGAGAAGCCAACCGCCTCACCGATGAGAAGTTTACGACCATCCAACCGGGCTCGAGCCGCCAACAGTTTGATCGCCTCCACTACGTCTACTTTGACTACCATAGCGAGACAAAGGGCATGCAGATGCACAAGGCCCATGCCATCGTCGACAGGCTTCGTGAAGCTGTTGATGCGCAAGGCTATTTCCGCGGCGTTGACATGCCTGGAAACAACGACGGACGGATCGAAGCCCGCAGTCTGCAGACCAGCGTCATGCGCACAAACTGCATGGACTGCCTCGACCGTACCAACGTCGTCCAGAGCATCTTTGCCCGCCACATGCTCGACCGCATGCTGGTAGATGTCGGTCTGCTCGCACAGGGCTCGATGTTCCGCAACGAGGATCCCGAGTTCGAGGTCCTCTTCCGCAACATCTGGGCCGACAATGCCGATGTTGTGTCCACGGCCTACTCTGGAACGGGCGCCATGAAGACCGACGTCACCAGGACTGGTAAGCGTACCAAGATGGGAGCCCTGCAAGACGGCCGTATTGGTGTCACCAGATACTGTCTCAACAATTTCCTCGACGGTCCTCGTCAGGATGCCTATGACCTCTTCCTCGGAGTATACCAGCCGGGAGAAGCCAATGCCGGTACCAATCTCATCTTTGGCGATAGGCGGCCGATTCTCATCCAGGCTATCCCCTACATCCTTGCCTTTAGCGCCTTTATCGTCCTCGTGGGCATCTTTACCCCACGACCACCCAACTCGAGCGTTCTCCCCATGCGGCTCTTTATTCTCTTCTGGTCCAGCGTGGCAGCTTGGTGTTTCTACTTTGTCTGGACTCACGGCATGCTCTATGTATGTGATGATTCTCCTTTCTCTCCTTTGACACGTCGGTAAACTAACACTTGTTTGTAGGTAAACTGGCCTCGTTTGAACCCGCTGTCATATGCTGTTGATGGCTACGCCGACAACTTCTCCAAGGCTAGAAAGGACAAGGTCATTGGATCGTTTGTTGCTAGACATGAGCGTGGACTAAGTACGGCCCGTTTCATCAACGCAGAGGAGGGCAAAAAGAGGATTGAGTAGATTATTCTTCCAATGCCTTGGAGATGTGATCTTGTGGCGTCTGCTTTCTTCGCTACCTTCACCTTGAACTTTTCTTTCCCTTCGTCGCTGTTAGACTTTGCTTGCAGACGCAGCGTTATTCCTGTAATCCGCCTATTCCCTTCTTCCTGTCCTCTTATCTTCTTCTTCTGGGCAAATTCCCGTCAACAAGCGAGAAATTTACTTCTTCTCATCTTCTCCATTTGTCATTACTATTTAAATTTTTTTTTCCACTTTTCAAAATTCGGGAGTCGTAGTCCCTATTTATGTGCTGCGTTATTTTTTTCGAAAGAAGAGAAAGAAAAGAGTCTACATTTTTCACTAATATATAGACAGAAATTTTCTTTTTTTTTTTAATACATTTCTCAGCTGAAAAGGATAATAAAGTTTGCATTGGAAGAGGATTTCATAAAATGTTTTAGAAAAAAAAATAGAGTTAATATGTTTGGTAATTGAAGAAGAAAAGTTGAGAAAAGTAATCTGATATTTATTCATTTTTAAAATACATATAAAAAAAAAAAAAAGTAAAGCCAAGACAAGAGAAAAAGATGATTTTTTTGCTACCTCACTCCATGGCTATGCACCGAGTTATCCCTTCAAATCCAAAAAAAAAAAAAAAATTATTAAAAAAAAAAAAAAGAAAGCAAGGCACTAAAACCCAGGTTTGATAATATAAAAAGAGCTTTGCATTGATATTGTTGAAGGGGGGGTATCAGACAAGAAAAGAAAAGTAGAAACAAAAAAAAAAACTGGGGAGCTACAGCTATATGATTGCTGAATTCCCATGATGTTAATAGTAATTTGTTTAAGGAGCATAATATCGATCAAGTTTTCCATCCAAGGGCTCTTTTAGAGTATTGCTTCCTTCCGGGAAAAGAGTATAAAATGTCTTATCATCATAGCCATAGAAGCCACTTGACGCCCCGCAAAACACCCTTCCCAACACCAAGGAAGACGCGCAAAATCATCACCATGAACCAGACATACCACATGAAGCCCACGAGCAGCCACTCCACCGTAAGCCAGAGCCCGCGTCGCAGCCAGCGGAACCTCCTGCGGCGCGTCTGGAGCATCTTCTCCATGGTGTCGACGACGTGCTTAATTTTGAGGGGTTGGCCGAGCGCCAGGTCGCGGCTAATCTCATCCGCCTCGTCCGCAGCCTTGCGGGCCATCTCGGACAGGTCGTCGGCGAGATGCGTGCGGACTTCCCAGACACGCGTGCGCAGAGCATGGACGGTCTTGTCCCTGAAGTAGTCGGCCGAGGACTGCCATCGCTGGCCCCACGACTGGATGGCCACGCCGAGGGTCTGGGCGGCGAGGGGATACATCTCGCAAAAGGGCCCCTTTTGCTCGTGAAGCTGGAGTCTGACTTGGACTTGGTAGGGGGTAAGCCTGGTGATGTCCGTCCAAGGAACGCCGCCGGGCTCCTGCTGGGAGGTGGCTTCGTTCAAGGCGAGATTCTCCTTGCTAAAGGGCTTGTGCTGTTCATATGCGCGGCGATGCATCTCCATGGCCATGACGCCAGAGCTAAGTATCAGAGCCCGCATCCTAGCGACTTCGCGCTTCGTAAGCTTCGCCGGGGCGCCGTGCAAGCCACGATCTGCAATCGACCAGTGCTGGCCCAGCGAGCGTCCATGCTGGTTATCCTTGTCGCTGAGTGAAATGGCAGAGTTCAGGCGCTTGTCTGCGTCTCGGACTCCGTCAGGGATGCTGTTGTTCAGCAAGGATTCAGGGTCGGAGACGTCCGAGTCTCCTCCTAGTCGAAGTTTGCGTGAAGTCGGGGGAGATGCAGACGACGACGCGCTTCGAATGCTAATCTGAGGGGGCCTGAGAAGATCAAGCTCGCCGGGCCGACGACCAGAATTGGAATTTGCAAGTCCATCAGCTTTAGTGAGCTTCTCTCCGCCATTGACAAAGCTGCGGTAGCTAGGCATGTGCCGGAATTCAGGCATCGTATCGAGGAAATGCTTGGGCTGGCCTTCTTGAATTTTTGTAGAGGGCTTCCGCGATAGAGTCATTGGTGTTGATCTCCGTCCTCTCACTCTATCACTGTCGGACTCGTCCGTCGTATCAAGATCCGGTGTCTCGCCAGGTGCGTCCTTCTTCCGTATCATGTCTCCCAGCTTTGAAACGCCGCCTCGGAGCACATTGTCAATGCGCGGCCCTTTGAACATGCCTCGTAAGCCAACGCCCTCGTCAGTTCGAAGCCGAGCGCTGGCCATTGGGCGGAGATTCTTGCTGCTATCCGATCCAGAGAGCAGCTTTCCAGCAGGACTAGACTGACGCCTGCCCCTGCCCAGAGTAGACGTCGAGCCCGAGCGTGCCAGATTGGTTTCGCGTTTCGACAGTCGGCCCTCTCCATCATCATAAGGGTCGTCCAATAAAGGTCCTCCGCGAGCTTCGCCATTCTTGTCACGCATCAGCTGCTTAATCTTGTTGATGGGGTTTCTGGTAGGAGATGTCGATCGGCTGTAAAGTGGCGAAGTATCAACACTGGCAACGGACTCAGATTTGCCATTGCGAATGGGTATGGCCTCTGGTGAGTTGGGAAGAGAGAGTCGCTTCCCTGGAGAAATGGAATGGTGATTGGCATCAACACTCAGGCGTGTCGGAGATCCTTGCTTCACCCTGTCAAACAGGGCAGCTCTGCGCTCGGAGTCGCTGATTTCCGCCACAGAAGAGCCTCTTCTGCTGTGGAATCGAGAGGGAGGCTGCTCAATGCTTCGGTCATCAGCGCTCTCATTATGGACCAAAGCCGACTCCTCGAGCTCTCTTTCGCGAGCCTCGCTGGCCACCATCTCCATCATCTGTTTCTGGAGTAAATCATTCGAGTTGCTAGAAATGGTTCCCTTACGAACCAGTTTCGCCCTCTTCTTTGGCTCGCTGTCGCTGTCGCTACTTGAATCCTCCGAAGAGGAGTCCTTCCCGTGGTGACCACCACCACCGCTTGCATGTCGATGGTGAAAACCCTTTATGTTGTGAAACTTTTGTTTGGCTCGATCCTTGGCGCTGGTATGCGATAGCTCTGAGCGAACCTTTGAAAGTCCGAATTCCTTTCCTTCGGGAAATGTTTCAGTCGCCTCATAATCCCTCGTTGTGAATGGCGAGATCTTGCTACTGGATTCCTCTACTTCTCGGGACAAAGGCCTGCTCAAATCAGAGGATATAGGTGGGAATATTTTACGCCAATGGCGATCTTCAATAAGATATTTGTGTCCGTTTTGCTCCAGCCAGTATGCGTCGGCGATGACATCGCAAGGGTCCAAAAACCAGTCCACCCGAGGCCGTCGCGGTCTGGCAGCAGTGTCCGCAGGCGAAAGAATCATATCTGTCTCTTCGGCAGAGTGGTAGGGAGGAATAGAAGTCCCGTCATCAGCAAGTGGCGTCCCCACTATTGACTTTTGTCGATAAACCGTATCAACCCATTGCCTGACGCTGTCTACATCGCTGAAGCCCTGCCGCTTTCCGTCAATGACTTTCCTTTCGCGGGCTCGCACTTTGCGATTTCGAATGTATTGCAAGGGGTTGTACTGCCGGCCTAGCGTTACAGCGAGCGATTGGGAGCCCGCTCCAAACGGAGAATCTGGTGAGCTCCCCGACGTAGGCCTCTCGAGACCAGGCTTCAGCGGAGGCAGCACGTCAAGCAATCGTCTATACTGCGCCCATAGCTCGAGATGTACCTTTGCCTTGTGCGCTCTGGCCAGTGTCGACGCAGAGAACTGATAGCGGTATTGAGGATCGTGGGCGCCCTCAAACGAGGATTGGAAGTTTCCGCTGCCTCTCGACCCAGGGACCAAGGCCCCAGACGATGGTTCTTGGAGTAGACTGGGGGATTCCGTCCGTGAAAACTTGCGCTGCTGCTGAAGATGTTGTCGGATGTTATTCGAAGAGCTCCCGTCCGGCAGGGGGGCGAGTCGCGGAGGAGCGGCCGTTCTATGACCGGTCCGTCGCGAGGCCAGGCGCCGAGACTCGCTCAGACTGAGCGCCATATGCACAATCTGCGACGAATCCAAGTCGGCCACAGGGTGCGGCTCTTGGTGGTGAGAGTCTGCGAGCATCCTGCCCTCGGCCGAATGGCCAGTATTCGGCGGCGAGTTGGCAGGCTCTCCAGACGGCCGGATGGGCGCAGAGCTCTGTCGCATGCCCCGTTCAGGGCCTGGACCAGCCTCAAACGAAGCATCACGCCCGCCCAGCTGAAGCTGAAGCTGCGAGATTGGAGGAGCAGGAGCCTGGGTGTGGGCAGTCCGCTGTCGACGAGATCCCAGCAGCCGTCCTCCCCCAAAGGCGTCGTGCAGCAGAAACCCGCCGCCCAGCCGGCCCTTGTGCTTCTTCTGCGCGCGCTCCTCCCGGTGTGTGTGTGCATGTGCTTGTGCGTGTCCGTCGTCCGCGTGCGAAGAGACCTCGGTATGGCTGGAGCTCAGGGGATCGTCGTCGTCGTGGAGCAGGTCGTCGTCGTCTTCCCGCTGGCTGGTCGCAACGCTCGACTTGCCCATCTCGTGGCTGCTGTTGCGCCGTCGCTCCGGCGTCGCCAGGCCATCTCGTCGCCCGTCTCGGTGGCTAGCTGAGAAGAATCCTGCAGACCGCGGCGCAGGCATGTGATGATCGGCCATTGCGTCGGCACCGGCACATAGTCGCCAGCTCTAATGCCCGTTGTCTGAGATGGTGCTACTGCAGGCGCGAAAGGGCAGGACGCATAATTAAGAATTACTGCAAGGATATAGAGAGTAGAGGAGCAAGGAGAAGAAGAGAAGAAGAAAATTAGAAGAATTAAAACTTGGTAAAAACGTAGACGAGTTTGAGAGAATAAGGGGGGGGGACTTGTAATGAGGGGTGTTGCAAGTTCCGCTACAAGTAGGGATGGGAAACAGGCGAACGAGTTCTGGTGATGCGCATCAAGCAAGGCACGGTTTGCGCTGCCACTAGACTAAGAGCAGTATCTGGATGCTGCACAGATTGGCTGATTGCCCTTGGACAAAGAAAAAAAAAAACTCTGCTAGCAGCAAAGCATCTACAATGTAGCAGAGACGATGGATAATTGCTTTTTTGGCAAAGAGGCGCAGCGCAAGCCCGGATTTCGCTTTGGGGACGCGCAACCAGCTTCGGGCTGCCATTCTGCGCTCCAGTGGCTTTTTCTTGGGGTCCTCATTTGCGGCTGAAGCTCGGACATTTTTTTGGGGCCTCCAATCTCCAAATGCTATATGCGTGAATCAAGGCAAATCAAACCAAAATCTAGCGAATGCCTGGGCGGGCCTGTCCCTTGCTTTTGGAGATGAGATCCGGTTTTTTTTTTTCTCTTAGTGCGCCCAGCATGTACGAGGATGTCACTGACACGCTCAAATCGTGCATCACACATGAAAATCATGCACAAGCGCCATCTCGTCACTGTCAGAAGCCTATTTTCCCGGCACGTATGAGATCAATGCCGTTTTCAGAGAAATCGCATCATTCATTACAACATTGACTTGATTCATTTATTCCATCTAGATTCTTCTTTCCTCGATAACCTTTATTTTCATTTCTTTATACAACACACGTCTATCGTACAGTCGTTTTCTACGAGACATATAAACCAGGCACCACCTATGTACATAGGTACCCATGCATCATGATGCATCTACTTACAGATTCTAGAAGAAAAGATCTACAGGGCACATCAAGCCGCCACAACCTCATCGCATCGTCCGCACAGCCCATCCTCCTCTTGGGCAATGTACTTCCAGCACCGTGAGCACTTGCTCGCCTTTGGCGGCAGCACATGCACAACGCCCTGCACGCCGTCCACTGCAAACTCCCTTGAATAGCACCAGTCGTGGCTCTCAGGCGCAAGGGGGCTGTTCAACTCCACGGATGACACCACAAACATGGCATCCAGCTCGTCCAGGTACTCCTTCAACACGGCCGCCAGTCGGTCATCGTTGACGGATATGTTGACGGAGCACTGGAGCGAGCTGCCGAGGGCTTTTGATTCTCGGCCCTGCTCCAGCCCCGCCTTGACTGCGTCGTGCACGGCAGACAGGATAGGCAAGTCAAGACGAAGTTGCGCCTGATCCATCGTCAAGCGCGCGGGATCAATCACACGTGAGTTGTAGAGCTGCCGTGCCGGATTCTCGAATGACCTGCGAGGGGGTTAGCGTTTTGTTGGAGAAAACACAAAAAAAAAGGCCCTCTAGGCACCAATGATGAGAAATCACATGCAGGCAAAACTTACAAATCTCCTGCCATCCACGTTGGCCTGTGAGACCAGGCTTCCTCCACCAGCATCGGCGTTATCGGTGACAGCATTCGCAAGAATCCGACCAAGATGGGCACCAAGACACCGCCCCCGTCGCCGCAGTAGAGGCGATCTTTCAGCGCCTCCAGGTAAAAGGCAGAGAGATCCGTCGCGATCCATCGGTTAATCAGGCCCGTAGCCTTGTGGAATTCGTAGTTGCCATATGCCTCCCAGACCTGAGCCATGACATCCTGAAGCTGCAAAATGGCAATCTGGTCAAGCTTTGTCAATGGTGCTTGAAGCGCAGACTGATGTAGTGATCCAAGCAGCATCTTCAGCGTTGTACGGTACTTGATCAATGCACTGTGTATCGGTTGCAAGATGGATCCTCCCACTAGGATATCAGATGTAAAATCACTGCTTGCTGCCCAGAGCCGCAGGGCATCGGTGCCAAGCGCATCATATCGCGCAACAGTGTCGTGTCCTTTATTCTTCAGGGGAGGCAGAAGCTTGCCTTCCATGATTTCACTGGGACCGATTGTGTTTCCTAGAGACTTGGACATCTTCTTGCCCTGCGCATCGAGTGTAAAGCCATGCGTGACGAGTGTCCCAAATGGCGCGGCAATGTCAGCTCCAGACTTGCCATCTGCTGTTTGAGCGGCCACAAATGTTAGGAGACTTGACTGGAACCAGCCTCGGTGTTGGTCAGAGCCTTCAAGGTAGACATCCACAGGACGTCCAATCTCTGTCCAGCTGCTTCCGCTGTCAAACCAAACATCCATTGTATCTGTTCCACGGCGATATTTTCCTTTTAGCGATGGTGCAATCCAAGTTGCATCGTCTGCGCTATCCGAAAACCAAGCATCTGATGTCTTTTGTTCCATGACAGAAATGATGTGCTCGATTGACTCATCCGTCATGACTGCGCTTCCAGTTTCATCGTAGAGGGCCGGAATAGGCACACCCCAAGATCGCTGTCTAGAAATGCACCATTCACTTCGACCTTTGACAAAGCTTTCCAGACGAACCTTGCCAGATTCTGGGACAAAGCGCACCTTGCTCAATGCCTGCAAGGCATCTTCCTTGATGCTGCCGACGTCTGCGAACCACTGTGCCGTAGCGCGAATGACGACTGGTTTCTTGGTGCGCCAATCGTATGGGTACTTGTGCTGAAGTTTATGAGTCCAAAGCACATCTTGTCCAACCAGATTCAGTACAGCTTGGCTTCCGCCGTCAAGAATAGAGGGCGCAGACGTTAGTTTTTCAGGGTCATCCGGGTAAGCCTCAGGAGTAAAGTAGCCTTCATCCGTGATAGGTGCAAAAGCTTCAATGTTCAACGCTGAGCACACTTGGTAATCCTCTTGTCCATGTCCGGGTGCCATGTGAACCAGCCCAGTTCCCGAGTCGGCCGAAACAAAATCAGCGTGAACAATGGGCTGCAAAGTAGAGGAAGCCCCCCTCAGCTTGTTCCGATATTGTAGACCCTTTAGCTGTGAACCAGGAATCGACTTCGCAACGAGCACTGCGGAGGGTATATTCTTTTGCACCTCTTCGATACGGCTCTCCGCGACCAAGAGGCCATCGTTTCCGGCTTGCAGTAACGCATATTCGAGCTCGTCGTGCACAGCAATCGCCTTATTGGCAGGAAGCGTCCAGGGGGTGGTTGTCCAGATGGCGGCATACAGTTGTCCTTTAAACTCGTTCAATCCAGCAATCGAGCTCCAATCAGACATGATGGGGAATTTGACATAGGCGGCAGTCGACACATGATCGTCGCGATATTCCAGCTCTGCTTCGGCCAGAGCCGTGCGCGACGATATCGACCAGTAAACCGGCTTGTGCTTGCGATATATGAGGCCGCTGCGGACCATCTTCTGGAACACGCGAAGCTGTCGGATCTCAAAGGCCCGGTCCATGGTAGTCCATTTATTATCCCATTCAGACGCAACTGCAAACGACTGGAATCCCTTCATCTGGTCCAGAATCGTCTTACTTGCCAGGCGCCTCGCAGACTCTCGAATCTTGGGCGGGCTCAGGCCCTTTGTGCCGCTCTCCCCGAGAGCCTTCATCTCAATGGGAAGGCCATGGCAGTCCCAGCTCGGCCTATACATTACCCGTCTACCTCCTTGCACCTGTATCCTGTTGATCATGTCCTTGAGAATCTTATTGATCGCATGGCCGGCATGGAGCGGTCCGTTGGCATATGGCGGGCCATCGTGAAGCACAAACGGGTTCTCCTTGGGTCTATTGTCTGTCTGCCACTTGTAGAAGCCATCCGTGGAGTCGCGTAGGAGTTGCTGCTGGAACTTTGGATTCGGTCGAGCTCTGGGCATCAAATCAATGGTTAGCAAGCCATCATCTTGAGATTGACATGTCAACTTCAAGGTGCAAAGGAGAGCAAGCTCACGGGAAGCTTGAGCGGGGCAGCCTCAGCGTCGATTTCCATGACTTTGACATTTTCGTACCAAGACCATGCCGGATGACTGGTACGCGCTGGGCCTCGGGGCCTCACTGGGCAGAATGCGGCGTAATTGGCGTTCTTTGGCACGGCAATCCCAAGGAACTGGAGGTTTTTTTTTTTTCTTCTTCTCTAGCAGCCAATATCTCGCGACATGCCACCAATTCCCCCGCGCCAACTGAGATCCATTGCTCCAATTGGCCGCTATGGCGGGAGCTTTACAGTGGCTAGACCCTGTTTTTTAGTGGACGAGCGTGGGGCAGAGCCTCCATTACATCACTGGCGAATGAAGCGCCAGCGCTGACAGCTCCCTTTTTCAACGTCTACGCTTTTTCACGATAAGCAGGGCCATTTGTAGTAAAAAAGAAACAAAAATGGCGCCCATACGCCGGTATTTGAGAATCACAAAATACTCCGTCCTCGAATGCAGGATATACTTGGACAATCCGGCCCTGGCACAGTCATGGCTTCTGAATCCTCGGAATCCAATTCTCCCACAGGTCATCGAAGCCATCCGGCCGCTGGTGATACCGAAGCTCCGTGAAGAGAAGGAAAGAAGTAAAAAGAAGGGCGCCAAGAAGAAGACTATTAAAGATGTCATCGTAAAGGGTATTCCCCCCCTCTTGGCGCATTATTTACTTGGTGCGAGTAAACAAGTAGAGATGCTAACTTGCTGGCAGACGACTTTGAGATATCCATGTTCTTAATGGAAACAAGCACGCGACACTCTCTACTCTCAAAACACAAAGTCTTCCACGACAAAGGCCCGTCTACAATCCAATCCAACGCATCCAAGCTCATCGCGGAAACGAATTCCAGCCCCATCGACGTCGACGCCAGTGATTTCGCACCAATCCGCATCGAAGAGGACAGCGACAACGAGGGCATCGCGCTCAGCGACATTCCATCCGCCAACACTCGCCGGCAAGCAAAACGCCCAAGGAGCAACACCATCCAAGACGACGACGAAGATGATTTGTTTGTAGGTTCTGACGACGACGGCGGCGACGCAGACGACGGCGGCGACGCAGACGACGCCTCGGTTATCGATGTGGACTCGGACAGTCGCCGGCCAAAACGCCTCAGGGGCCCTGTGAAACCGCCCGCATCAGAGTCCGAGGGGCAGTTCCACGACGACTACAAGAAGAAGCTCGCAATGGACGTGTCATATGAAGGGTTCGCGATTTACGGCCGCGTGCTCTGTTTGATCGTCAAGAAGAAGGAAGCCAAGAAGACGGCGCAGCAGAACCTGGGGGGCCAGGCCAAGATGGAGAACTGGATCACGTCAACTCAGATTCCGGTCGGCGAGGATGCTGCTTGATCGAAGCGAGAGACCAGAGACGAGGGGGGGGGCGTGGCTGGAAGAGTAAGAGGAAGAAGAAGAGAAAAGGGAAGACTCGGCATTGGTAATACCATTTAGTATCGCGTATACTGAAAAACCTGAAGCTGAAACCACCACATTTTGGCGGTCTTATCACAGACACAGCTTTTCGCATATTACACATTTGACTCTTCTACGGCGCTCTTCGCCACATGGTCCATTTATGGCATTGCAAAAAACTGCGTTGAATCAAGCTCATGCCATTCACGCACGTTTCCGCACTCAAGCTGAGTAATGCCATGCAAAAGTGCCACGGCATTGTCAAATCGATGCTAGAGTCCAGTATAAATGCCCACTATCATGGCATAAAAGCTCCGGATCAGATCAGAGACCCTGGACCAAACACTGACATCATAACGGGTCCCCGACCACATGTCTTGCTGTTTCATATCGTCCGGGTAGCCCTACTATTTCTCAAGTAATGAGAATTGACGGATTGACATTTGCTCAGCATGCCTCGGTTCAACCGGGCAATGGATCAACAAAGCATCTGTTATCGCACCCATGCTCATCTTCAAACGTTTCAAACGGGCCATCCCGCTGCCCTTGCCTCCGTATTCTCATGTACACCTACACCGACTCTACCTGTAAATGAAATGGTGGAGAAGAAGGAAAGCTATCAAATACGGTGTATACATACTGGCCCCCCCCCCCCCCCCCCCTCCCTCCCTTCCCCCAGCACCAGAAAAAAAAATGGCGATATGTGCGGAGGTTATACTGTTAGCAGCAAATCGTCCAGTCTGGATCTCTCATACCTGGCACGTCAGGCCAGGCTAAATTAATATTCCCGCCCTGTCAAGGTGCCATTCTCGTGTCTGATTGTTGAAGGGGGGTCTTCTTGTCTTCATCTCAGGTGAGAGAGTCTAGATCTTGGCCTGTCTGTCTGGCAGGTGCTCCGGACGATAGGCTGAAAAGGTGCCCTTTCAGACCGGCGGGCTCTTGTTTGTATGTACAAGTAGCTCAACAGGGACACTCATTTACACCCAAGCGCCGTGATTGGCCCATCAACGCGAACAGCCCGGGCCGTGATTTGATTAATTGCCTCGTCTCGACTCACCACGTGAGGCGAAATGACAAGGCTGCATCGCGTCTGATTGGCTGTGTCGAGCGACGGGAGCTGCCTCTGGCCATGTAGCCCGCATAAATCTGCATGTTTGCTCCGTCTTTTTTTGTCGCTCTTGTCCCCTCTGCTGGTGAGTAGGTAGGTACATACACAAAGGTATGTTTTTGATACCTATCATTTTCATTCAGTTCGAGATAACGCATAGTAGTTGGGCATGGGTATTTCGGGTCAATGGATCATGTGCGCATTCTGCTGCGTATGAGGTGGCATGTTCCAATTTCGACGAGTCATTGGGCGCAGAGCACGTCACGTCACCGCAACTTTGTTCGGGTCATTAATCTCCAGCATATACTGTAGTATGTAGCAGTAGTATCCTTTTCCCATGCACAGGTAGGTCGCGGTAACAGGCCGCAGGGCGGCTATGAAGCTCGGCGGACGGCTGGCGATGCTGATGGATACGGCCGAGCGCCGCAACATCTCGGCGGCTATCGTAAGACATGCTAGACCAGATGTCCCCATGTACTGCAACTCTGCCAGGTCGACTTGGCCGGCGGCAGTCTCGCCAGTGCCAGGGTAGAGCGTCCAACACGGCAGGTCAAAGGGCAAGATGCAATTGACATGCATACAGGCGCCCATCGTACGGTTTGTTGCGTCTGCGTCGCATCGAGCAATTAGAAAGTTATGTATCAATGGGTTCAATTAGACAGGGCCAAGACGTTGGGGCAGGCATGCATAGCCCCCGCAGAGGGGTTTGCAGTGCATTGCGCGCGGGAACTGAAGAAACGGGAAAATCGTCGAGCGCTGGTTTGCCGAGAATACCGCGCCAGCCATGCAATGCACAATGTGATGTACGGCATCGCTGCGCGCATGACAGGACCCCCAAGATGCGTGGATCTCGCGAGGTACATTGGGCGCAAGTACCGTTTGTCGTTGTCTGTTTGCGTACCTTGCTGCACTCCGCACCACGGTAGGCTACGATACGTATCTCGACGATGCGTTGTCAGACAAGACAAGCGAGTCCGTCCATCCATCTCAGCAGACCCCTGGCCGCAGGTGTAGCTGTAGCTGTATAGCTCCAGCGGGCTCGCGAGCTGAAGCCGTGCTGGCCGACCGTCCTAGACCGTGGTGTGCGTGCGGTGGTTCCAGCCTCCGTCTCGGCCACACAGGCGGCTGCGCGCTACACCCTCCCTGGCGGGCTGTCCCCTCAGCTAGCAGAGGCAGAGGCTGAAGCCATCGCGAAACCGACGGCCGTGGCTGCGGGCTAGTGCAGCAGCGCGGCTTCGCAATCCTCTCTGGCCAGGCAGCGCAAGATAGAGTTTGCCGGAGGATCACTGAGCCGATGCCGAAGCGAGCAATCAATCAATTAGTCCGTCAACGTCGCCAAGGCTGCAGCTGCGTTGCATTGGTTAATTGAGAGGCAGCCTGACCTCTTCCTCCATCCTTTGCCAATACGAAGCAGGGCCGTATTCGTTACACGCTGAGTCGCTGGCTTGCCTACCCTGTAAAAAAGGCGGCAGCATCACGCCTTCTCCACGATCTGCCCACTTTATGGTGATTCGAATATGTATGATGACATGATGGGTCCAATTGTGGTTTGTACCTGTGAATACCTACGTTAGCTACAGTAGCGACGGGAGCGGATGGCCGTCCGTCTCGATGTAGGGCCATGTTAGCTAGCATCAACACCGGACGTGCTTCTCCGCGCGCTGTCGTCATATATCCCAAGCCTGAGAATGAGGGGCACCACCACTACCAAAGTCAATGCGACGACGGCGCGAAACGAATTCGTCTCAATTCGGGGTAGTAGTGGTCGAATGTCAATAGGCACCACCATCCCTTCATCCGTGTTGGGCAATCCCGATGGATGGGACTGCAATTTGTACCTCTGTACTTTCAGATACTGACTTACATCGCAGCAATCTACACTCGGCAGAGCTCGAACCACCCACGGCTCAATCGGATCGCGTATTGTCCACGGTACGGGGTACTCCGAGGTAAGAGCCTTCGCATCCGAACAATTGGTAAAAAGACAAAAATAAAGCGAAATAGCCGAACCATCTTGACTTTGCCAGCAGCCCCGACAATCCCCGTAACAGCCAAAGCATCGTCTCAATCAACACACACACACAAAGGTTGCATCTTTCATTTCAGAAATTCCAGACTACAAAAGGTACCTGATGCTAGGGAAGAGGCCGCGAAACTCTAAAGCCCTTTCCGAGCAACAGTTATCACACACACTCACACGCCTTTTGTCTTTGCTCCAGCGCCCTGGATCGTTTACCCCAACCAGCAGCACCTGCGATTTGCTGGAAAGAGGCGAGGTGTGGCATCCCATCGCTGGCCCGGCGATCGCCAGGGGGTTCGCTTGAAAAGCCACAGCACCCCTGTCTTCCACGTGGGATTCTGGTGGCTTTGACGGGCAAGATTCTCGTTGGTGGAGCTTGGAGCCTCCTCTTGGTCACTGCGCGCCGGCCGAATAATTTGGGCAAAATAAGAAAAAAAGAACGGATTCATTCATCTCATTCAATGGTGTTCGACTCCACCTAGCCGAGAACTAGTAGTACATTTCCAGTAGGCGATCCATTGTACTGGTGGCGTCTGTAGTTCCTACTTTTTTTTTTTTACCCGAGTTTAATCAGCATTTGCACGATCAAAGGCGTCAAGATTCACCCAAAACTCTCGCTTCCGAGTCGCTCCGGCGGACGCGTGCGCCTTGCTGACACCGTTACGGCGACAGCAACGATAGATCGGCTCCTTGGCAGTCCATCGCCGAGCGAGCCGGATTTTCGCTGAGCAAAGTCGCAGCCGTCAGCCGTCAATCGACAAGAGAAAAAGTGCCATGGAGAGAACTGAACCGGGGACAGAAAACGGCAGGTGTCTTGTGTGTAGTACGGGTACGACAACGTATGGCGTGAGAGAGAGAGCAGTGTGGGCTGTATGGGTAGCATGCGTCATGTAAGTGATAAATGATGCTGTCTAAACGGAACCTTTGCAGTGTTACGGTAGGGCACTCTACGATGCTATAATTATAACGCTCGCGCCACAGGATACTGTAGTAACTTGAGCAGTGGTAGTGGTGGTGTTTAGTGATATCCCAGAGGATCAATAATCAGCATGCCGGGCTGCTGCATAACGAAGGATGCGGTGCCTGACCGCAGGTGAGCGGCACGGCCAGCGCAGCGCATCCCATCGCATCCTCACAAGGCTCGACCAAGATGCCTCCATTCAGCTTTCAGCTTGGCGGTTCGTAATATGCGCGTGGCTGTGTTTGGCACGGGAGGATGGGCTGCCGTGCGGCTGGAGACGAGGGTTCCTGAGGCATCTCCCGCCGTCGCATCGTGTGCGCTCTAGCGACATTGGCTCCATGTCGTCTCGTCGCAGAGCCGTCTACCGTAGGTACCGTCCGCAGGTGTGTTATTGGGCATAGTGCCGAAATCCTCCTGCAGCTGCGGGCGCGCTCAGCCGTCGCTGGCAGCTCCATGCCCTTGTAGCGAGATGGATGACCCAGTAAAGCGGTTTCACCCTCAAGACAAGGCTGAGCGTCATCGTGAGGATCCCCTGGTTCACGAAGCGCCCGATGACCTGGGTTGCGCAATTGTAAGCATCGTGAAGGGCCCCAGAGCACAGAGCTGTCTCGCAATTCCCAGCAGGGCGGGTGTCTCGAATGCCACGGTAGATCGAGCTGGCATCAGCAACGGCGCAGAAGACGCAAGGATCCCCGCAAACATGGCCGTGATCATCTGACGATGGACCAGGGCCGAGCTGGAAATCCTACCATGCACGGCGAGCAGCTGACTCAGTGTAGAGGGCAGTATTGCAGTAGCCTGACAACCAACCTGAGTGAATCCATGTCGCAGATGCTTTCGTACCAACAACAGTAGTAGTATATCCATATCCTGGTAGGTACTGTAGCACCATCAGTTTCTCTTGATTGATATGTGTGCTTACCGGTTCATCCATTGGGAGCTAGCATGGTGCAACTGCAACGCGTCGCACAAGGTACGAGATGAGCGGTAGGCATATTGACGGCCTCGCCGCCTCGCCTAGCTGCCAAGCTTTTGTTGTCGAACCAACAGCCAAAGCTTAATGAAATGAAAAAGGGTGAAACAAAAAGGAGGAGAGATTCGATGCCCTGCCAAAACCCTCATTCGAAGGGAAATGGAACGACTCGACGGCCCGACGGCCTAACCAAAGCATATCTTGCCCTAGGCATAGGTGATGGTGGTGCTCGTATGTACGAGTTCGAGTTCAGGCTCAGGTACCGCGCAAAAGCAGGGCGGCATGGCAAAAAGCCTCAATGCTCCCTCGGAAAATGCGGAGGGCCGGCTCAGCGCGGTGATTGGCAGGCGCCAGTTTGCGCTAGGAGACGAGGCCCAGAGGGCTGGAAACCGACCCCCCTGGAAGGGCTGGAGAGAGAGCTGGGGGCCAGGGCCTGCACCGCTAGCGGGAGCTGATGCGTGCTGTGCTGCGCTGTGCTGGCCGGCTGTGTCAACATTCTGCTCTGCTGGACGCGGCGTGAGCTCTGATTTGACACATCGATATTGATAGGGCCTGGAGCGATGCTACCCTCTGCTTACCTGGCGAGATCTGCCCTCTATATAGGGCCCCAGGCACTGAGTTGGCAGTTTGCGCCTGTAATAAAATGCAACATAGGCTTAAAATGCGCGCGCCGTGTGTCTCAGGAGGTGGCAAAAACACGAGCGTGCGACGGGCGCTGGAATGGTGGTGGCTTGCTGCGCTGTGCCTGCTGCTGGGCAATTTAAAATTGAAAGGCGTGGTTGAGAGAGGTGATGTGTCAGAAAGGCAGAGGGATAGTATAGTTGATATCAATAGAGCGCACCTCAGAGGGAATAGTCGCTTGTGCAGGGAGGTGAGGAAGGTTTCAAGGTACCTGCATAGGGGGAGGAACAGGCTCACGAAAGCCTACATGTCATCAAGCGAGCAGCGGGAAGAAAAAAAGTCAATTGCAGAATGAGCAAGGTTTTCGGCTTACTTGTATGTTTCCCAACAAAGTAAAGAAAAGTAACTAATTGAACCAAAAAAAAAAAAAAAATTAAAGATGGCGGTGTAAAAGTCTTGTTCACGATCATCTCAATCTTACGGTTCGTACAGAGCCATCATCATATCAGCCTAGATAGGTACCTAATTTTAGTCCTCCCTCCGGCGCGCCAGCCCACCGGCGATTTATTGACAAATATTCCGTCTTTTACGTTGAGGATTACGGTGGATTACAATTCATGGCGGCTCCTTGTATTAGAAATACAAAACATGAAGACGATCCAAAAGGCAGATACGAGTGGGAGAAGAAGAGCGTGTGACTGCCTGTTTCATATTAGCTAGACAACTGCTGAAACAACAAAAGGTCACCGTTTGCTTCAGTCATTCGGCGCAGGAGCTGCATCTCAGCGTCATGATCTGTCGTGTTGAACTCCTGCTCTCCGCACGCAATCTTGTCTTGCATCTACAAACATGCCTGTCCTACTCGCACCAAGGGCCGTCGTTCTTCTAGAAGGGATGGAGGGGGGGGGGGGGGGGGGGGGGGTGTGTAGCCACCGTAGGGCAAATCAATCCACCATCATTACGTTTCGGCACAAGGGAGAAAAAAAAAATTCAAATACCTACCTACAGTATTAGTACGGCACAAGAATCTGCCCGCTGGCTCGATCAACTCGAAACAGCGGTGTAATGTAGTGCTCTGGTGGTTTTTTCCGTACTTTACTTGTAAGAGAGAGGCGTGTGGTCGCCTGCAACTGGTGCCGATTCGGCTGATGCCGCTTTGGGAGATTAAAGAGGAGCGCTAGTGATGAGACAGAGGCGAGTTCGAGCCAAGCGATATCACGAACTGCGCTGCCCAGCTTTTAGCCCCGAACGCTGTCACGGCACTAGGGAGGAGCAAGAGGCTGCACGTGCGTAGATACGGAGCCCTGGTACGAAGCAGTGCATACTTGTACATGCATTCCTTCCTGCAAGGCGAATCCTGCGGGTGCTATAAACGGTTCGTTAGCGGAGGATTGCGTGTGGTGGTAGATGTCATGATACCATGATAGTAATGCTACCCTATCATGATACGGTTTTGGTTGCCGGATACGATGCTGTCGATCGGGCTCTGCTCAAGGCATCCTTTGTGATTGCTGCTCTTGGCTTCTATTTACGAGTAGAGCGTACCAAGGGCATGAATCCTTCTTCTGGCCAGCTAAACTAGCGGCGCTCTAGCCCAAAGCACACCGACGGCCGATCTGTCAAAGAAAGGTGAGATTCAGGATGTCTGGTGCCTTTTTTTTTCCTCTTACATGCTAGCAAAGAGTGACTCCTGCCCAGACCAGTGCTAGGCACGAGGAGACAAGGCAAAAATGGCGAAGTAGATGAAAAGGGTCGGTGGAATAACAGATACCGAAACAGCCTTATTCCCGCCATGCTTTCTAATACACATGTACAAGTATACTGTTGTGACCGTTCATCCAAATACTCGTGCCACTGTTACAAAAACATCAAGCACCTAAAGTGAGACATTGGAGTAGCATCACAGCGCCAACGCGTAACATTTGCTTTAAAATAAAAAATAAAAATAAAACCACGCCATCAATGTCTCACCTCCAACATGCCGTGTGTCGTTATTTCGCATCACATGCGAGTACGAAATCAAAGACCAACATGAGGCTAAAAATATTTCGAACCGATAAGCAGGGCACCCTGCCGACCAGGCAACAAATGACAGCCTATTGTCCAATCCACACACGTCAAAAAATTTCCAAAACAGAAAAAAACGGCCTGTCAGGCTGGCCACCCCCCCCCCCCCCCCCCCCCCCCCCCCCTTCTAGGCCAGGTACCCGTCGCGGGGTGGCTCAGACACACGCCAACCAGAGAAAAAGGATGACGCCTTATCCGACTTACCGACAGCCCTGTCATGTCATCAATGGCTCTTGCCTTTGCCGTGGTGGTCTGTGTTTACGAGATAACGGAGAGCATGAGCATACGGCATGCTAACGAGTCAAGTAAGTTACTGTGGCATCTCTTCCTTGCCCCGTGCGCTTGGCCATCTACAAGTATATACTACTGAGTAAGGTAGACTCCGAGCTAGAAAACAAGATGGTTCTATTTTTCCTTCTGGGCTCATTCATCGTTGAGAAAGAGAGGAGATGTGGCGAGTGGGCTGGGCCCCGGATATATCCGGAGGCTCAACTCTTTGCCCGAGCCAGAGAGGTGTCCACTTGCCAGGCAAAAAGGGTCGTTGGCTATCTTTTTCCCGTTTGTCCATCTATGATTAAGGGTCCCGGAGACGTTATCGTTGGTAGATGGGCTCGGCAGTTTTTTCTTTCTTTTTATCCCAAATGATGAAATGCAAATGACTAATTAAGCCGCATAGAAATGCAGGGTGCAAATAATACTAGCCCCAACGCATGCTGTGCCCGCAATGATCCTGGGCAAACGGTCCAGGGCTGGGCAGGGCGTGTTGGGAAATTTCACGACATACTGTAAACATACAAGCCTATACAGTACTGCTAACGCACACCGAGTAAAAGAAGCAAAGATGAAAAAAAAAAAAAGAGGAGCCCCATCTCGAGTATGATTTCATCGACTGCCCCGCCCCGAATGACTCTTAATTTGGAACGTGCATCGATAGACAGATGCATGTGTCCAGCGTAATCTTATTCTAAGCTACTCCCGTATGCCTGTCGGGCTATTTTTCTGGCGGGTAATGAGAATACTCCGGGAAAAAGAAAAAAAAAAGTCAATCCCTTGCATCTCAACGCCAGAGACAATCCCCACAATTTTTTTTTCAATATTAGAATAGCATTCTTTTCTTTTTGTAAAGTGAGAAGCGGGGGGGAGCTTGGGATTTTTCTCAGATGGATGGATGAGCGGCGTACCCCAATGGAATACATGGCCAAATCGGGCATTTGAGTGACAGACAGCATCAGACTCGCATATTGAAGCTGCCATGTGAGTCATGCCCAGGCCAAGCCCGCATGTCGAAGCCCGACGATACGATGGGGGACAAAGATTGGCCGTGCAGGGATGATTGGCCGTGTTAGTCCATTCGCTGCGCTCACACACACACAAGATTGTCACACAAAATCACTGCTGACGGCGGGCAAAACTACTGAATAGTCGAGTAGACGACTCCAGGTTCGTGGGAAACCACTACTGTAAGCTAAGGACGTTGGCTTAAAGCAGGGCAAGGCTGCAGCGGCTCGTGGAGGGCGAGACGGGCTTCTTACTGGCTGGGTTTGAGCGTGGTGAATCACCGCGGCATCTCGCTCTAGGCACACTTTTGATATACAAACGGGCGAACTGCGACTTTAAACACACCGCATTGACACGCTAACAACAGCCAGCACAGCAAAGCACACACATAACAGCGGCAAAAAAAAAAAAAAAAAAAAAACAGTCCATGTCATCATCGACGACTTTTTCCATCTTTCTTAGCTTATTTTTCGGGGTCCGCGGTAGCGGTCACGAGCACCAGACGACGGGACCGTAGGGTGGGGGAGCACATGAAGGATCCATCTCCTCGCTGAGTAGCCGTTACCAAAGCCTCGGGCGGCTCGCTGGAAAATTTCACTTCTCGTCGTCTGTTGGCCGTAATAGCCTATTTGTTCCCATTAATAAGATGGAGACCCGATTGCCGATGGGTTCACGTCAGGCTTTGACCGAAGCTCTCGGCTCTGCAGCGTCCCGCAATGCGGTGAGAAGCGAGCTAGGCGCTTGAGTCGTGAATTGGCATACGTAGCGTAGTGCAGGTGGGATCTTTTTTTTTTTTTTTCTTCAGTCTCCTCCCGGATAGCGTAGACGATCCTCTTGGCTGCTGCAGTAGCATTTGCAATGGGTGTGTTATAGCCGGGCTCTGAATGGAGAAGAGAGACAAACAAACGAGAGTGAAGTGTCTTTAGCCTCGAGGCAGCTTAGGGTAGCTCTCTTGATCGGGGTAGCATCCAGCCTCGGCGATAACATCGACTACACGAGCAGGCCATGCATCTAAGCGCCCGCCAGGCCACGATACTACATCGGAGAAGCTCATTCCAGTTCAGTCGAGTCCAGGTGCTGTACTTGTTGAGACGTAAAATACAACACAAGACCCTTGGAGCTTCTCAACACAGCACCGTTTCACAGCTTGCCGATGGGATGGCCGGCCAGGGTCGATCAAACCGTCCAACCGTCTATCGCTGCGAGCAGCTGACACCAGAGACGACGTCCAGAGCCCGACGCCCCGCAAAAACGCAATACATAATCGCGATCTACTTCTGTGGCAGCCCTGCAGATCATCCAGAAGGAGTGAAGCCCAGGCCTCTCGGATCGTCTGGCTCTGGCCCTCTGACGTCGCACTCGGACGATGTGCGCATCGCATCTACACCGCATCGCCGCATTGAGCCACCGCCTGTGCGAAGCACAAGCACAAGATGCAGAAAAAAGCCCATCCAGAGATCCATAATCGGGTAGCAAACGCGCTAGAAGGTTTTTTCTTGCCTTCCATTGCTTCGTAGCGCAGCTCCATAGCTATCCACTGCTCTTCATGCAAAGCAGCAGACCATCCGTTTACCGCCTGGACGAGATTTTGGCGGTCAACGAAGAAAAAGCAGCACAAGTTCACTGCAGATATCCATCAGGCTACGAGACGGGGCCGCCAGCGCAAAGAGGCTCCAGCGCGGACAGGGGTCCAAAGGCCGCCAAGCCCGCACTGCGCTGGGGCGGCTCTCTGCTGGCGAGGCACCTGATCACTTTTTTTTTTTTTCCTTTTTCTATTTTTTTTTTTTTGCTGTAGTTGCCCGCATGTCTCGAGTGTGATTCGCGACACATGTGGCCAACTGCGAAAATCACACATGCACGGATGCATGAACGTGCGCTTTGCAGGTTGATGACGAAAAAACAACAACGAAACAGCCGCCAGGCGATCAGGATAGGGATTGTCCGCATCGAGAAAAAAGGGAATCCCCTGTCTCAGTAGTATAAAGCACCCTTTTTCTGGTGTAGCATGCAGTACGGAGTAGAGCAGAATGCATCGCTCACGATTATTCGCCCGTGCTGTAGCATTTCGTTTTTCGCAGCCTCAGCTCTGCATGGCTCCAGTCTGGGGTGAGCATCCAATTTCAGAAGTGGCCCTTGGTGCCCCACGATTTTCTGGCTGTGCAGTTCCCCTTCGGGCGGTGGCCAGAGCGCTGACTTGAGAAGACGAGCAAAATGAAGGGCAGAGGTGATGAAACGTGCTAGCCCTTTTCTCCACAGCCATGGCAAATTTCGGCACTAGAAGGAAACAAGAGGGCTTCCAGAAGACTTCCATACGGTGGAGCCGAAGTGCTGGGCGCTCCGTTAAGGGGAGAAACGAGAAAACGGAGGGCCGTTGTGGGCCTGGCCTGTTTGATTGACCGGTTTGATAGCACGGAGAAGTGCGAGCGAGGCCCTGGAGCCGTTCCCAATGGGTTCGCACGCCCGATAGAGGGCGCTGGGGACAGTCGGGGCCTTGTCTGAGGCAAAGGCGCGATCCAGCCAGTGTTGTAATACGGTAATTACCTTGGTTGTAGATGCATACGAGTACGGCGCGCTACTGTTCTGGTGAGAGAAACGGAAAGGGGGCTGTGTGAGAGAGAGGCAATCAATCAGTCAATCAAGCAATCAGCCAACCAGTCCATCAGTACATCAGTCTATGCGTGTTGTGTCGTTCCATCTCTGGCCTCGGCCGGCTGCCTTGTCGCAAAAGAGCCGGCGTAGCAGCGGCGGCAGGCGGCAGCCTGCCATTCAACCGACACCAGCTCAGGCATGTATAGCACACTCAACTGATTTGCGCCGGTGAGCGCTCGTACGAGCCAGGTAGCATTTCCTGCCTTGGCTTTGCCTCATCTAGGTAGGTACTGGCCCTCAGCCTGCAAGGGAGGACTGCCAATTTCAATTTACTTTGGAGGCCAGCTCAGCGATGCCACCAGGCCAAAAACAACAGGAACCTAAACCTAAACACACCAGCAAGAAAAACAAAAAAGCCACCTCACCGTTTCGTATCTCGCTGTCTGAGTCTCTCGCTCGCCCTCATCAAAAACGCCCACCGCTATGCTTTCCTCTCCCAGACAGGGGCCCCGGTCTCAGCAGCGGCAGGGATCAGGGCTCGACTCAAAGCTTCTGCCCCCTGTGCCTGTTTCAATTTCCTACCAGGCCCCGCTGGGCTGGCCGCTGCGTCACGGCCAGGGATGGCCCATCAGCTGTGAGAAGCGCCCAGCATGAGTTGAACCGTATCGAGCACGGGCACACGGGAAGACTTGTGGGGGCTGCCATCCATCTTGCGGTCTGCGTTTTTTTGGTTTTTTCTGTGCTCTGCTCGAGGTACAAGCCCCGCTGGTACTCGCGCCGGGCCAGACTGGGCTGACGTATGTATGCCAAGGCGACAAATGAGCACCGGCAAAGCGCGCTTGATCTTCGCACCCCTCCAGCGCTGCACCCCCCCCAACTCCCACTGAGTACGAGCACTAAACAGAGGGCCCCTGGTGCTGCGCTACTGGCACGCTCTTCGTCAGATTTGCCTTTGCCCTCCAAAATACATAAGGACATCTTGCCCTCGCTTCTCTCCACGAAACCCGTCTACTCTCCAGATCACCAGCATCAGAAACAACAAGGAACATCTTGCACTTCCTCACCTCAACGCCTCTCACACTTGAACTTGCTACTTGCACCTGTGCATACCTCGCTCAAGCCCATCCACTCGACCATCCACTTACACGGGACCGCCTCTACCGCCGTCCTCCAACAACAACAACAACACCACAACTCAAGCCTCACAGCTTTTTACATCCTCACAATGCCTGCCCAGCGACCTTCTCACCTTCCTCCCTGCCCGGGCCCCCCGCCCAGCCGACCTCTTCCTCCTCTGCCTAAATGAGTGCCGCTTCTCTGAGGACCACCATTCGAACTTCAGAACAAGAACTGGCTATACACACTCTGTCATGGGCTATCCGGAACTCCACACATATATACAAGGTTTTCAATCTTTTCTTTTTATATTTCGAGATGCGGAACCCCAATGGCCTCTGCTCCTCCGTCGTGGGGAACGAGACGCAGGGTTCCTGTCGGCAACGGGAAAATCGCAAGCCATCTGCTATGCGAAGCGGATCTGTGATGCACGTCACCACTCTATTACCACTCTGTAATACAAATGCCTCTACCGCTGCGGGGCTGCAACATCACACAATCTACATGCGACGCGCTCTCCCGACCTGGACTCTCGCCGCCACGGCCGAGATGCAGTCACACCTGCTGCTGCAGCAAACCCCACCGAGCTGGGCCTCAGCGTGTCGACATGCAATCACCAACCCTGCTCTCACCGGCATTGATCAGAGAAACAGCAGCTTCTCTCAATACAACACAACCGCATAGCCGCAGGTTGCACCATTCTCTCAACGCTTGGCCACCTGACGGGCTGCGTGCATCTCGCTCTCCACACCGTCCTCGCTGGCTCGAGCGGGTTACTTGCGCATCTTTCTTTTACATCTTCGACTTCGCTTGTGTTGTATTGCGATTCAAATCTCATACACGCTCTTCTCTTTAATACTACCTATATAATACTTTGGGGCACTTTCTTCTTTCTTTCTTTTTTATTTCATTTTGGAGTTTATGCATATCTATTTGACGTCTATGGAGGGCGGATGGGGGAACAACATCATCGGACGATTAGGGATTGGGAGGGATCACACTGTACTATTACTATCAAGGAGCATTCGTGGGTGCGTCGCGGAATACCCTGGGATGTTGACGACCCGTTTACTTTTGGCTTGGGAATATGATTTGGGCAACGATTGAAACGCGGGATTGAGACTATCTGATTACTATTATTTTGCCCAGTTTGGCGAACATAGACATACTTTGCAATGAAAGCCTTGCGCATTTCTGCCACTCTTACGCTTTACTTTATGACTTTTTACTTTGTGACTCTCCGCTTCGTTCCACTCGTCGCTCTTGCCTTGTTAGGATCTTTCTGGTGCTATGATCTTTGTTGGGTGATCGTCCGATGCGCCCGAAAATGACTGGTCGCCTGTAATTTTGAGACAAGCATGGGGCGAGGTGTTTTATTACTCAAAGAGAGCAGCCAGTGCTACGTTCCGCATTGAATCTCGTGCCCTCTGGCTGCGCCTCCGGAATACCACGCTGCGACAAGGTCAAGAAGAGCAAGGAAAGGCCTGGATCAGAAGAATGGCCCTATCGCCGATTTACATGAATGAAGCAATGCATGGTACGTTACAAGCCCTGGACCGACATGATCTTTTCTTCTCATTCTCTCTCATTTAATGTTATGTAAATCACTCAGATCATGCCAAGACTTTTTTTCTTTTCTTTTTCAGCCACCGTTGCCGCATTCCGTCTGCCAAGGTTCATATGACATATATACACTGCTACGGCTAATACACCCGCTAGGTGCGGCTCTGAGATAAAGACTCAGCTGGCATGGACTTTTAGCGGAGAGGAGAGTCAGCGCTTTCCGCGATTACCGTGTAAATGATTTAAATTTTTTTTTAAAAAGACGAGATTGATCCTCGGTTTTCACGTTCTCTTCCGAAAGCGTCGGGGGGGCTGGCAAGAGAAAGCGAGAAAAAAAAAAAGGGTCTAGGCATGTGGGGGAGCAAGTAGGGAATAAAGGGACTCTAAAATGAACCGATTGTTTTTCTTTCGGCCGAGGCTATCACGGGGAGGCCGCCGGGGATTTCCAAGTTTTCTCAGGTTGATTAATTACTTAGTAGACCTGCCGTCAAAAATATGTACTACTTGGGACGAGAGAATTGTGTTGTGTTAATTGACTGCCGTTTTTTTTTTTTTTACTTTCCTTCTTTCCAAGGCCAGAATGGTTATTGTAAGGATACCCATGATAATGTGCGACGAGAATAGATACTTTAATACGATAGCTTAACGCTGGGAGGCAAGTGCCGTGGAGCGTACTAGATGAAGCTATTACTTTTTTATGCCAAATTTTTCCTTCTCTTCTTTTTCTCGGGGCTTCTTCTAGTGGGAATTAGACAAACAGCGCTTTTTGAGGTGGCGGTGCTAGTCAAGAGTCCATTTGGTTCTTAATTAGCTGATAATGACGAAGCTACCAGGCCTAGATGAGATTGGGATCGTGGCCTTGCGTCTTCTCTTTTCTTTTTGTTCTGTTTTGCTACTAGTCTAGGATTTCATGACTCGGAGAGATTTCGAAAGGAATCGGACTACGGTGGCGGGCTGTGATGCTCTTCCGAGATTCAGCGATATGGAGTAGGCATTACGGAGCAAACCACTAACTAGCTAACTCGTTATCTCCATCTATTAGGACGAATAAAGTCGTAATAGTGGCATGTACTATTAATTACACCTTGTACACGTTGGACTTTTTTTTTTTCTCCATCTTGAATCGATGTTCTTGTTGCGGATAGCAAGACACCCCCCTGTAAAGATCGAAAGCGGAATAGCCCGTTCCCCATACAATTTTAATTACAACCTGAACACTGCATATCTGTGGCGAAGGCGAAGAAGAAAGAAGGCAAATGGAAGCCCGTAATATTAAAATATGCACGATTAAAGGGGGCGAGGCGATTTGTGCCTTTGGGCGGGAGTACTGTTAAGTCGCAATGCATTGCACGTGTAAAGCAAACAATTGAACCAAATAGCCACCGTTTTTCTACGTTTCAGAGTCTGGATTCATTCAGGGGGTTCAGAAGAGTAAAAGAGCAACAGCAATCATGATGTAACAGACATGAGATCTTGATACGAGTACGCTGCTGGCTGTGTTTTTAACGGCACCGGCAAGATGCTATTACTCCGAGCCCGCCAGCTACGTGTAAGCCAGCCTGCCGTGACATGGAAGCCTTGTGCCTGGATGGATCAGGCCTGGATCCAGAACCTGAGCGACCTGAAGCTCGCAGCTGTATTGCGACTCTACAGCTGGCGTTGCAGCGCAGTGGCGATAAGAAGCGCTCCAAACATGGTACTGACGGCGGTGGGCATGCAAGGATCATCCGTTTGTGGCAGCACCGTCGTCCAGCTACAGCAGGAACCCGTTCGTTCCGTTTACTGCAGCCTCCAGGTTTCTGAAACATAAAACATCTCGCCACCAAAGGACCCTCCTTTTTCGTTGGGGGCGAGAGGGACAGTAAAAAATAAAAGGGTGCATTCAAGTAAAATCGTTTGCAGCTGAAAATAAAATTGCGATGCGATGGCGATTGCGATGGTCGACCCTCCCAAACCCCCGATGGCCCAATCAGGCCAATCCTGCATATCCCAGAATGCCACGAGAGCCCCGGCGATCCCCGGGGGCCGCGTCTCAGCAACTTGATTCGTTATGCAACGAGCAAATCATCTTCTTGAGACGCAGGAGACGTCACGTGCGGTTGCGCGGCTGAAAGGGGGCCCTCCTTTGGTCTCAATGGCGATTGTTGGTGGTTGTGCGGCTGGACAAGATGCTTGCCACGTATATCCCTGGCGTTTGATATGGCGAATCCTTGGATGAATGCATGTATATGTCGCTACATGCGTTTGATAGCCTCTTGCTTTGTTTGTCGTTGCCAGGGATCAATGGGTAGGGGAGTATTCGTTGGCTAATGCCAATGTGTGTCTAGGACTTTGCTACAGTATGTACTAGCGAAAGCCCGGCTCAAGAGGACGCCTGGTTGAGTCAACGATGAACGAATGATTGGCACGTTCCCTTGCGTTTCAGCTCGCCAGGGTGGGCATCGAATAGAAGGCTGGTGATCGTCTCTCGCACCACGGGCAGTGCCACATGACCCTGCAGTTCTGCCTGGAGAAGCACAGCACATGCACCTCAGACAGAGTATACATGTAACTCCAGTCATGTTGTGTGACGTGTGGCTTATGACGGTTTTGTATTGCGTGCAACCATCGCTAAAGAGATTGTTTCGAGAAAAGTTCATCATGCCACCCAGTGCTATCAATACGAGCATGTGTTGTCTGACAACATGAGAGCTCGAAAGCCACACGCCCCCCCCTCTTGCGTTACGGAAGAACGGATGTGTGCCAATGACAATCTTGGCAAGACATGGCCTGAGGCTTGTTTCTATATCGGGATGAAAGCATATATATGGTTATTTCTCCGTGTATACGACCACCTGTCTATCGAAGTGCTATTGAGATTAAGATGTCTTGGCACGATGTGTTTTCTTTCATGACGTGTAATATACTTGTTCAGGTCTTGCCAAGGGTCCCCCGGATTTTTGTTTTCAGCCGTGTCAAGCCACTTGACACGCGAAATGAGGAGCGCAGGGCCTTTTAATAGCTGCTGCTAGTGGTATCTGTCTGGATCCAAGCCGCTCTTTTGGGTGCCGAAGCCCATGTCATCTACTAGTACCGCGAAGCTAGAGGCGAGCTGCAGTTCTACTTGATAAGAGAAATGAGCCGAGCCGGCGTACTTTGGGAATGGAATCTGATGATCCACGTGGGAGGTGTGCTTACAGCTTTTTCGAATCTTCTTGTTTCCAGGGCTATTAGGGGACGTGGACATACGCAACTTGTAAGCTAGGTTCCACTGCCCATCTTCTTTTGAGAGTGGCGCGTCTTGTGTCATTGCTGTTAGTAGTTACACGATCTAACGGGTCTGTGTGGCGTATTGGTGATTGAATTTCTTGTTTCTCAAGTGTGCTGTCGCACCGACGACATGAGAGCAGCAATTGTGGCCTGATGTCCCTGACTTTACAGGTAGCACATGGCCTGAGCTGTTGTGCCTTGATCATATTGAGTGATGTTGTCCTTGAATGGCATCTGTTACGGGCACTACAAAAGCTATAGCTATTTACTATCCCTACCCCCTAGTATCACATCGTGTTACAAGCAGAAGCGGATGTTGTATAAGTGACATCCCGCTTTAGGATACCGCATTGGCGAATGTCTTGAGAAATGCAGTGGGCAACCCGGATCTTGTTTAAAAGTAAAGTTGGTTGTATGATACGTTTGATTGCCTGAATGTTCTACCAAACGAGTCATTTTGAAGCCCTTTTAAAGTGAGATTCCGGCGCAATGGATCATAGGCTTGTACAAGGATGTCGGTTCATGAGATGAAAGTAGGCATATGTACACTTGCTGGAAACATCAGCTGAGTAACCCTCTCCCATTTTACTACCGTATCGGAATTTATGAGTAAAGAGGTTTATACGGCCATCTATTATCATAAATTCTATATACGTACGTGCAGTTACTTGTGCCGACAACCTCTCTAAAGTTGGACATATTCGGCATGGCTTGGTTGCGCCAACCATGTTGTAAACCATAAATTGGCAAAGCCTGAACACCATATGATCTGAGTATTATGTGGCATAAAATTTACATTACATTTTAAACTTTTAAACCAGGCCAAGCGGTATCTTCCAGAGATGGTATGCACCGCCTAGTAGTCTATCCAAAGAGACCTATGGTGAGATATCCTCGCCATGAACAAATGCTGTAGAAATAGATTTTCTTTATAAAATGTAAGAAACATTTCCGTTAAGATCATCATTGCCACATTATTATTATTATTATTATTATTGAGCTAACCTGACTTTCTTCTCATCACCATCCAACGAAGAATTGTAGGCATCAAGTCGTTGCTAGTGGCGATCTCAAGTGCATGCACCAGTAACATTGGCCGATCAAGTCGAAATTGTGGACCGGCGACCAAACCTTTCTTGGGAATTGATGCCTCTTTGCTCTAGTCCCAACCTTTTCCCACGTAAAGCAACGACGACTTGATATTGACAATCTTCATCGCCTGGCACAAGAGTTTATCGATTAATCTGCTATAAAGTCAAACAGAATTTGACGGCCAATTAATTGAAACGCCACTGCCCCCCCCCCCTTACTACTGCGATAGTCTCTTCCTTGTGCAGACACCAACCTGGCAAACCCAACAACTCAGCAATGCTAGATCTTCACATCTGGGGCCCAGCTTTTGGGCTGCCCTCCATTGATGCAGAATGTCTGGCCATCATAACCTACTTACACAACGTGCTGCCCGCCTCATCATGGCGCCTAATACCCAGCAACGATCCCTCTGTCAGCCCCTCAAGTAAGCCATTGATTTCACTCTTCACCACCCACTCATTCTATATCGGAGCTGCTCGGTTTCGGAAGTGGTTTCAAACGCAGGATGCTGATTCTCTGTGATTTAGATCTTCTACCAGCATTAAATCACGAGGGCAACTGGACAAGCGGATTCCAGCCTATTGTCCAGTACCTGGCATCATCAGCGCTTTGCGATGACCTGGACGAGAGCCTCAGCCCTATCCAGCGGGCAGACAGCGTCGCCTACAGCGCATACTTGCGAGCTCACGCAGGACCTCTCGTTGACTTGTCTCTCTACGTCTCTGCGGCTAATTGGGCCACTGCTACCAGACCAGCGTACAGCTCACTGCTGTCTTTCCCCCTGACATGGACGGTTCCAACTTTGATCAGATCAGAGGCTATCAAGCGTGCCGAGCATCTCGGCCTCGCTGAACTGGACAGCGACTTTGATCCTAGTAGCGGCCTTCATCTGAGTTCCGGCAGAGATGCGCTGCCGGAGACGTTTCGGCGACATATACCTTTGATGACAAAGAAAACTGTCCATGAGGAGATGACGCCGGAGCAGGCTACAGCAATCAGATTGTTCAGCCTGACCGAAGACTGCCTTACCGTGTTGGATGATTTAATAAAGGGAGAGGATGACCATCACCCTCGATTCTTCGCCGGCGCCCCAATTACGTCGCTGGACTGTCTGGCATTCGGATACCTGGCTCTCATGCAGAAGCCTCCTGTACCCCGAGCTTTCCTCAAAGACTGGTTAGAATCGAAAACCCCAAGGCTACACAAATTCGTCGATTCCATGCTCGCCAAAAGCATCACCGAGCGCGGCGAGCTTCCCTGGACAGTCCCCGACCCGACCTCTGCCGTTCGCTTCAGCGGTCGTATCTTCGACTCTGTGCTGCGCTATCTTCCCAACGTAGGCGAGCGATACGCATCAGAAGTGCGCCACAGGGCTGAACAGCAGACAAAAGGCTTGGATCAGAGAGCTCTGATGTTGATCGCGGGCGTGGTGCTCACCGGCCTGGCGACTGGCTATGGGTTTCAGGCATATCGGGCGATGCAGCCGTTTGGGGCATCAACTCAATCGTGGCAGCCCAGGCGGACGCAGTCACGGCTGAGCGAGTTTGGACAACTTGGTTCGATGTTGAGTAGTGCCATGGGCCCTGTTCAGCCAGTGCCTAGCGGTCTCGATTTTGGAACTCGGGATGACGGAGGGCCTGGTGGAAGATTGGTGGAAGTGGATTCCGAGGTTGATTGAACGTAGGGAGAAGGGGTATAAAATAAGTCAAAGAAAAACAAATCTCAATAATTGGTAAAATCATTTCATTTGGTATTTGTTCTTTCGCTATGATAGATGCTTGCTTGCGTCCTATGAGCCATTCTCACCGCCATTGTATGTATATTTAATCCGCAAAATGATGCCCCAAATCACTTTGAAATCTATTAGTTTTCATTCCAACGGGCAGCGCAATCGCTCTATATCTGTCGAATCTCCTTGCCCACCATTTCTGGTCTCTCCACCTCCCACTCATCTCTCAACACGGCAAAAGTCAAATCAGACACGAACAAACTCTGGGCCAGACTCCACACTAGTGTAATGGCGTAAAAGAAGTTGGCATTGCCGCTGCCGGCGTATATCCACAAATGGTAAAACGCAGGGCCGAGGAAGGTTGCGTATAGCATGGTGGCAGAGGCAACATATGTATATCGCATGATGGGGTATAGGTGCCGGTATAAAGCCAACATGGCGAGGAACAGACTGGTGTCCGCAATGGATGGGTATGGTTTGAAGACGGCAAAGATGCCCAGAAGAATGGTCAAGACGGCTAGAGGTTGGGCGCGTAGTCGAACCGAGAGGCCGCCCACATATATCACGAGGTGCAGCCAGAAGACAGCCAGGAAAAAGGCCCGGAACGAATCGAATATCTCGATGAAAAAATACCACCATAGCCCGACGTTGGGAGTCAAGTCGGACAAGGTGAGCTGAATGCCGTATGTTCGAGCCAAGAAGTCCCACGAGTTGCCTGTCAGAGCAAAGGACATGGCTAAAAGCAAGGAGATGCAGATGGAGGCGATCAGGACAGTCTTAATCGAGAATTGTATGGCGGAGCCAATACGTCGCTTTTCAGATTGGCGATCATAGGCGAGGAGGACGAGAGGTGGCAGCAGCAGAATCGGGTACATGGATAGATAGGAGGCGAACGAGATGGCGACCATGGCGTTGAAGGGGGAGCCAGAGAGGGCCTTTGCAATGGCAAAGAGAATCGCGCAGTTTGTGAAGACGCTGGTTGAGCGGCCAATGCAAGTCGCGAGGGTATAGGGATTGAATAAGAAGCTACATGTTTACCATTAGCAACCAATTACATGTCCATTGGTTTCAATTGCGTGGATGGGGGGCGGTCATACGCTGCAGCTACCAGAAGCCCAGAGGACCTCTTCGCTCGCCGAGGAGATGTATATAGTTTCGACTGGCCGGCCTCTCCCGAATCGGCTATTATAAGGAGCGCATATGCGCTGAGAAGATCCACGAGGATGTATAGCACTGCCGTAAAGATGGGCCATGTCTTGACGTCTGGGAGCAGCGAGAACAGCGGGAGGAGTAGCGGCGCCTGGTGGAAGACGCCGCCGTCGTAGGGCCAAACATTGTGGTTGTATAAGAACAATCCCTCTTGTACTATGTCGCCAACAGCGAAAATCGAAAGATTGTCAGCGCATCATGCTCAATTGCCGTGTCTCTGCGGTGGGGTTCGCGATGCGCCTTACATCGTTTGAAGCTCGTCACGGGCGTGGAGATCTCGACGCGGCCGGTCAGCAGATCGGGCAGGCTGGGGAAGGCGGCAAACAAGATGAACCGCAGCAAGGCGGCGCCAGCGAAGACGCCGACCTTGCTCTGCAAAGTCATGGTGGTGGTGGTCGACATGGCATCTCCTAGGCCATGTTGAGGGGGAATGGATATTGGAAGCTCGGAGGTTAGATGCTAGCACTACTACAGGTACGGAGGCCACTTGGCCGCAGCTCAGCCTTGCTGCCACTGGCCACTGGCATCTTTAGCGCTCCTCTCCAGGCTGCTACAGGCTTCACAGGCGGGTCCTGAGAGGTGGCTTGTGAGTGGCTTGGGCGGGTCGGGCGGTGAGATCAATTTGGCAGGCTAGTCCCGTTACAGGCAGCGACGTGGGCGGTGGCGCATGGCATTAAAATTTCCAGCTTGGCAGGAAGAAAAAAAAAAGTTCAGTTGGTACAATTGGCGATTTTACTGCCCCGCGGTCCTTTTTTTTTCTTCCAACGAGCATCAACACCGCATATCGCCAACAGTCAATCAACACAATGGCGCGGATAAAGAAGAAGGGACAGGCCGGTGCGGCCAAGAACTTTGTCACGCGAAACCAGGCGATCCGAAAACTGCAACTCAGCCTCCCCGATTTCCGCAAGCTTTGCATTTGGAAGGGAATCTACCCTCGCGAGCCTCGCAGCAAAAAGAAGGTCTCCAAGTCTTCTACCGCTTCGACCACTTTCTACTACACCAAGGACATTCAGTATCTCCTTCATGAGCCGCTGGTGCAGAAATTCCGTGACCACAAGTCTCTGGAGAAGAAGATTTCAAGAGCATTGGGTCGAGGAGATGTCAGCGATGCCAAGAGACTAGAGACCAATGCCGCCCGCCCAGAGAAGACTGGAAAGCCGACCTATACTCTGGATCATGTGGTTCGTGAGCGCTACCCGACATTTGTTGACGCATTGAGGGACTTGGACGACTGTCTCTCCATGCTTTTCCTCTTCGCGAACCTGCCATCGACCTCCATGGTGCCTGCCAAGATGATTGCCCGCTGCGAGCGACTGTGCCTCGAGTTCCAGCACTATCTCATTGTCTCAAAGAGCCTGACCAAGTCTTTCCTGTCAATCAAGGGTATCTACTACCAGGCAAACATCCAGGGCGAAGACGTTCTATGGCTGGTTCCGTACAAGTTCAACCAGAGAATCGTTGGCGACGTCGACTTCCGCATCATGGGAACATTTGTCGAGTTCTACATGACGCTTCTCGGCTTTGTCAACTTTAGACTGTACACCTCAATTGGCCTCAAGTACCCGCCCAAGTTTGATGCCGTCAAGGATGAGAATGCTGCCGAGCTGGGTGCCTTTACGCTGGAGGGCAAGACTCTGATTGGCGGCGAAGAGCAGCAGAAATTGGAGGACGTTGCTCACAAGCCGGACCCCAAGGTTCAAGCTGCCGTCAACAAAGTTCTCAAGAGCATCACAAATGGCACTGCCGCTGAAGACACCAAGACCGAGGACAGCGAAGAAGTTGATCAAGATGCAGCTGGTGCCATTGACAAATTTGAGCCCGCTGCTCCTGGAGGCGACGTACTGCTTCAGCCATCCTACAGTGGCATCAACCCCAACTCTCTCTTCTCCAACTTCACAATCTACCTGTCCCGTGAGACTCCCCGTCAGCCACTCGAGTTCATCCTCAAGTCATTTGGCTGCAAGCGAGTTGGCTGGGATGCCGTGCTTGGTGGTGGTGCTTTCACAACCGACGAGTTAGATCCATCAATCACACACCAAATTGTCGACCGACCCCCTATACAAGCTTCAATGGATGAGGACGGCGATGGTGAGGATAACCAGACTGCACAGAAGCTGGCAGCCAACCGACGTGTGCCTGGACGGATATACATTCAACCTCAGTGGGTCTGGGATTCCGCCAACGATGGTGAGTTGAAGGAGCCTCATCTGTATGCCCCTGGCGCCTCGCTGCCCCCGCATTTGAGTCCATTCGTCCGCAAGGTGCAAGGTGCATACGATCCGACAATGCCTCTTGAGGATCAGGAGACCGAACATGAGGCTCTTGAGGCTGGCGATGATGAAGAGGCCGATGCGGATGAGACCGTAGAAGGCATGGATGTCGCAGAGTCAGGAGATGAAGACGAGGACGTGGATGAAGAGGATGAAGACGAGCAGGATGAGGACGAAGAGGAAGAGGAAGAGGAAGATCACAATGATGCCCTTCAGCGCCAGATCGAGCTTGAAGCAGAGATGGCCGGCAAGACGGTCCAATCAAAGGCTGCCAACCCCAAGACCAAGGCTAAGGAGGATGCACGAAAGGCTCTGGCAAAGAAAGCACGCGAAGAGGCCGAAGACTTGGAGCGAGCCAAGGGCATGCTGAGCAAGAAGAAGAGAAAGCTTTTCGAGCAGATGGAGTACACAAACAAGAAGAAGAGTGCAGAGGATGCCAAGCTGCGTTCAAAGAGAAGAAAGGTGGAGAAGGAAAAGGCAGGCAAGGCATAGATTCGAGATGTACTATTTAATATACTAGGTAGTAGTGAATGGGTTTCAACGGCGTATATGCGGTTCAAATAAAATGAAATTTTATCTTAATAGAAACAATTTTGAGATGAAAAGTGTAGTAGTGATTTCTTGAATGAGAAGCCGCAATTTCGTTGATAAAAGTTGACAGACAGTGCTTTGGTAAGAGGGACATGAAATTTCTTCTTAGCACGTGAACTTACACTTTTCACCATAGCATTTCAACCTCAACCTCAGCTCTCATCGATATTGACGTCAATTAATGATTTGCTTAAGAAAACAAGAACAGAATTTCCTGTTTTCAAAAAAAATTAATATGGGAAAAAAAATCTTAAATTAATCGGTACATAAAAGACACATCTTTCGATACCTAGGGATGCGGTGATCACCACACATGGATCGAAGTTCTCCAGAATGGGATCTCGACAGCGACGAGATCGCGTCAGTCACCTCTCAAGACCTACACGATAACCGCCCGAATCGCTGGACGGGACAACAGAGAACATGGCAGCGCATGACGGCTGAGGAGCGGCGCCTGTGGCAGGCGATGGAGGCTGTGGAGGATCAGGATTTGGCGGTTCATTTGTACAATGCGTTTGCGCTCAAGAAGCGCGGCAAAGATTCCACGGCGGCGCAGGATGTCACAATTACCATGGTATGCCCATAAAATTATCAGATTGCCCTGTTGAATTGCAGCACATGATTTTTGGTGGATGAAGATGGGCGAGAGCGCTGGCTTACTTTGTGGTGGTAGGAAAACGGGCAACAAAGCATATGGGCGCCGCCAAAAGTTTGGACCGCATGGCCGATAAACGAGAAGCATGTGCCCCGGCAGAAGGATGCCTGGCGAGAGAATGATGGGTTTGACAGATTTACGTTTCGCAAAGCTGAGAAACAGATGCCGAGCTCTGAATTACACGAGGAACTCGGAGCGACCATATTGAGGATAGCTGGAGAGCGCTTTCACAGAAGCAAGAGGAAAACTGTACTCACGTCTATTGAGGGAGATGCGACCTCTTTGGATCTGGGGGGATCTGAGAGAGAAGACGCAAAAACGTCAAGTATACCAGCTCCGTCATCCCCATCTTCCGCGTCTGTCCACGAAGATGTGAAGATGCTACTCGATGACGAAGGAGGTCGAAGCCATGGTGAGGATCAAGTCCACTCAGTACGATTAACTGGAAAGAAGAGAAAGGCTCTGGAGACATACGAGCCTGTCATGTCCTCCAATGACGATTTATCCTACGCGCTCATCAAACCCTCTGTTCGACATATTCTCTCACAGCTGGATGCTACACTACATATCCTTCACAGCGCCCGCATCGCCACCACAGATTACGCCTCTGATTCGTCCGCAACATCCGACTCGGAATCCGACACTCGCGCTGGTACTAAACGAGGCCGTGGCCGCCCTCGCAGTACGAAGCTCACAGGAACAACAGCCTCTCCACACACCGGCGGAGCCACCACGCCTAATGCCAGCAAACGTGGCCGTCCTCGAAAAGTCCACGTCCCTCGCGAAGGAGAGACTCACGAGGAAATGCTTGTTCGCATCGCACGCGAATCGCACAGGAGGCTTCCCGACACTGCAAAGGACAGAGACGAAGCATTTGAAGAATGGCTCCGCCAGGGCGACGAGAAGCTGGAGCGTGAAGCGGCCCTCATTAGAGAGGAGGAAGAGCTGGGAATCGATCCGCAGGCTAGTGCCCAGGAGAAACGACTTCGCAGGCTCGGCCTCCGCGACTGGAGCGATGTACTTGGTGCTGCTGCGCTGGCAGGCTTTTCTCACCAAGTAATTGCCAGGACGGCCAAGCGATGTGCGAATTTGTTTGGCGAGGGGATGGTTATGCGGCGCCTGGACGAGGTTCCAGCTTCGAGAGGACCGCCTTTTCACACCATGGAATATCGCCCAGAGAAGATCAACCTCAACAGTCTAGATAACGATTCTGAATCGGATAGCGGAGAGGATGCTGCCACCGCTCTGTCATCTCGCCGCACCTCTCGCCAGCCATCACAAAGCCGCCTCTCAACCCGCCGCCTCAGCTCCTCGCCATTCCGCGGACGTTCCTCGCCTCGCTCTGGGTCCTCAGCCCCACGAAACCGCTCGCATTCCAAATCTCGATCTCGGTCGCGCTCCTCGGCCGGCTTCCACCTCTGCCCTGTTCCAACCTGCGAGCGCTCAACTACAGGCTTTGCGCGCAAGCAGAATCTTCGCCGGCATATGCAGCTTGTGCACCCCGGGCGCGGGGATGACCAAGAGGACTGGGATAGCGAAGATGAGGTATTTGGTGCGGTGCATGTAGATGGGTTCTTGAAGCCGATTCTGGCTGCTCGCGGATGGAGGGAGAATGTAACGGCGAGCTCGTTGGTGATTAGGAAAAGGGGACGAGAGAGGCGAACGGGAGAGGATGAGGACGATGACGATGAAGAGTTATGATTCTGACAGAGACTTTTAATTATGAAGGAAACATGTATGTGATGGTCGGAATGCTGAGTGTGAACAACATATAATCTCAGGGCTTAGAGTCACTTATGCAGGCAAATCTTGGTTAATGCTTAATTTCACTATTGATTTGTTTTACACCGCTCCATGACAAGATGTCTATACCCAAATGTCCCATAGTATACACACAAGGAAAAAAAAACCCCCAGAAATAATGCCAATATTTCGTAGCTCTGGGCTGATGCTAAACCAGAGTGCTCGAGCAGCTATACTTTGCAGACATGCTGCAAAGTGCTAATGCGAGATACACGAAACAACGCCAAAAAGATAGAAAGAAGTAACACCGAAAAAAAAAGGCAAAAGAAAAATACCGGAGAAAATCTAGAAGTCATCTTTAAAAAGCCGCGCGCGGAGGCTTTGATATTTGTGGTATTCATATTCCCGGAAAGGCTTTGCTGGTTCATTTTTATGGCGCATTCGCTCGAATCAATGGCATGAATACCACCTGTTATCAAGAATGACAAACCACCACTGAAAAGAACAATAAGCGGTTGGTGAAAAGAATCCTAAATCAACCACTGCTGTCAAGTATGACAAACCGCCGCTGAAAAAAGGTCCATAATCAAACCCGTAGCTTCCCCAAGAAGTCGTTCTATGCCATAAGAAGCCATCAAAGCCTTCCTTTATGCTCCGTGTCATTAGTAAATATTCTCATCTCTCATCTCAGTTTCAGCCTCGGTATCGGCCTCGACCTGAGTCTGGATTTCGGCCTGAGCCTCGGTCTGGGTTCCAATCTCCGTTTCGGCCTCTGACTCGCCTGTTCCAGCTCTTTTTCTGGCTTGTTCAAGCTTTTCCAAGGCCTTGTTGATAATTTCATATTGCTCGCTCAGCGTGGTTTGAGTCTGTGCCCTTGATTCCTCTCCCCAAGCGACGGAGGGTTCATCGTTTTGCTGGAGGAGATCCTCCAGATAGAGTCGTATATCCTTGAGTTCGTCAATCAAAGACGAGAGATGAGAGATGGCATTTGTATATTGTACATTGACTTCTTTGAGCAGTGTGATTTGCTCATCAAAGTTGCGCTCTTCCTCCACTAGACTCCCGATGTAAGCCCAGATAGTCGACATGAATGACTTGGGCTTGGCTTTCTCTGCGCTAGAGAGACGTTGGGCCTGATCATTGATTGCGCCCAAGTGAGCCTGGCCTTGATGGAGGAGTAACGAGAGAGCTTTTCCTTCTTCAATAAGCTTATCTAGCCGATCCTGAACAAGATTTATATGCTCAGAGTATTTATCCAACAAAGCCCGATCATTACCAGCTTGTTCTGATGACTTGAATAGATTCAGAGGTCGGATAATCCAGGCTACGGAAGGAGGTAGAGAAGGCGTCTCTGGTTCCATGGATAGAGAATTGATGTGGCGAAGAGTCCAGCGATTGATGTTGATGACGGAATCAACCGTTGATCCAACATGGATATAAAATGTCTGCAAATTCCCGCCTACCTGGCCGACCTTTGCTATGTAAGCATTAAGTTCCATGATGAAATCCTCCCGGGTCGCGATTTCGTTCTCTTTGAGGAGAGACCTGAGACTTCGAGTAGCGATTTCTGAATGCTTTAATCCAAGTGGCATAGAGAGACCATAGGCGCTCTTGTCCAGCACACTCTCAAATCCCGATTGAACTTGCATGAGGTTGGTGAAGTCGATGAAGGAAGTGGCGGAGCGGCTAGATTTCTCAGTTTCAAAGAATCCAAGCTGAAAGTTGGACACGCTGGGAATCTCATTGATAGAATCGAAAGAAAAGGACTGGATTTTATCGCGGGCGGTCTCAAAAGAAATGCCATTCGAATGAACGAGGTATGCTGTGAGAGCAATTATGATGGGTATTACGGCGTAACGGTAGGAGAGAGAAAAGACCCGAGCCAGTTTCCGAGAGAGGCTTGAAGTCGATGGCAAATTTGTGTCGGTAGTTTGCCAATCAAGCGGCCCCTCATTTTGCTCCCTCAGAAGCCTAGCATATTCTCTCTCCTCGTCCTCGTGCCAAGTCCCACGGCGGTCGTCATCCGACGCTACGCTGGCTTCCTCAGTATCATCGTCGGCCATTGCGGTTCGCGAAGCCTCGCTCGCGACTAGATTGTTGGCGTCGACGAGAGGCATCCGGAGCTGTAGTTCGGGTCGTAGATTGAAACGTTGCGTGGACGTATGAGCGCTTGAAGGGAGACTTGGGCGGAAAGGTTGGCGCAAGATGACTTGGTCGTCGTCTTGGTAGGTATTGAAATCGCGGATGCTGTCTTGAGAAGCAAAGCTCATGCTACCCTGACTTTGTGAAAAGGATTGTTGAGTGGGCAACCCAGTGGAAGGCATAGCGCTTGAGGGAGGGCTGAATTCGTCGTCGAACGCCGTATCAATAATACTCGTGTCGAAGCTGTCATTTTCGCCATCGACAAGGCGCCATGAGCCCTCGGCGGGGATTTCGCGCCGGCGCGGCGGCATATTTCAATGATTCGAGAGGTATTGGGAATCGCACGAAGAATGGTGAGCTGGAATGCGGATTGGGAAAGCGAGCGATGGTAGGCCGGCCGCTTGTTGCGACTCTTCCCTTGTGTTTAAGGGAAGGGATGTGTGTTGGTTGATTGACGCTAGATCGGC